AATCTAACAACGAAGCTTGCAATTCCAGCAAAGTGGGGTTCTTTTGGTACATACCCACCACAACCACATTACTCAAGATTGAAGATTCACAGTAAAGGAACTTTCTTTTTTTTCTAAATCAATTACAATAATCATTAATTTTCCAATCTTGCAATTCTCTCGTTTTCTAATTTTTTTCTACAAGAAATTAAATAAAAATAAAAATAAAAATAAAACCCAACACTTCATATATAATTGCTATGCTTCCTGGAAAAAAAATTAAAAATTTATAATTTTTTCTATACATGTATGGCCTGGAAAATTGGCTTTACGATCTGGAATTGCATCATCTGTTAGTCAGCCTTTCCTTTCTATGCAAAACAGCTCCAAAAAAGTCATCATTGCATGTGCATTTGGAGAAATACCAGAGTTTATACTCTATAAATAAAGGAAAGAGAGGAGCTGACAGGAAATTGTAGAACCAATCAATGCCAAGAGCCAAGCAGAAGAAGGAACAGCTCTAGACGAACCTCCTGTGAAAATGTCTGTCCACCATGAACTATTGATCCCGCTTGGCTCGTTCCCGGATCCTGTGTCTGACCCAGTGGCTGTACTCGTAGTCGTAGTTTGAGACCCTGTTGCAGATTTTTGACTGCAGAAATAACATTAATTTCAATTAGCAAATTATATACATTAGCTTGACACATACAAAACAAAAGCAATTAAGGAGGAGAAAAAAATGCAACCCAGTACCAAAAAGAAGAGAACTTTGCAGATTCACCCAAGAATCGCATGACATTATCAACAAGAACAGTCACACATTGCTAAAATGGATGTAACCGAATAAAGCGAAAGATTAGTGGAGAAATTATGGTTACCTAGCTACTGAAGGGCAGAATGTTATGACATAATCAGCTCCTGTACATGTAAATGTGCTAGTGGCATCATCATAGGCATAGCTATATGATCTTGGACATGCAGCTTTAAACATCTGCGAATAAACAGATGGCTTACACGTGTCTGGTGTCGCAAATGCGCCGCTACAACAGTACTCAGGTGTTCCAAAAGCCTCACAAGCACTCTTACAAGCCTGGCCTGATCCGTCCTTTAACTCTGCCGGACACTGTTGGTTTAAATCGGTTATACACCCGGTTGACAAGCAATTACCAGACCCACGATTCGGTTCAACAACCATTGGTAAGTTGTATCCATCAACTAGACTAACATCGTAGAAATCTTGTGTACCAGACCCGATTGTGAATTCTGCTAGAGTGGCAGGTGGCTTAGCATTTCTACCGTTGCACTCAATTTGGTTAGAGGCACAATCAGCTGTTAGGCAGCTACCCTGACCAGTAGCCGGGTCAAATGTGCAACCAGTTCTGCCCCAAAATCGACCCGACCAATTTGGTGGTGATTGAAACGATCGAGAGCCGCCGGGAGGAAGCTGGAATCCGGTAGTTTCTAACGGAGAACTACCAGCATTGGACAGAATACCAGGCCATACTGTGTAGCCACATCTGTTTATTAGAGTAAATGTAGCCCCTGATATACCTGCGATAATACAGGAGTCAGTACACATTACAAGCGATATAAAAACATTCGGGTATCTATCAATTAAAAGAAAACTGTAAATTACATACCTTTGGAGATTGTGAGCAAAGTGAGAGCTATGTATAAAGCAGAAGTAGAGGAAAAAAGATCCATTTTGAGAGAATTGGAGGTTATAATAAAGAAGAAGAAGGATGAAAAGTAGTATTTGTTTGGTAAGAGAGAAATCAGAAATGGAAATGGTGGGATAGATATGGGAAGGGAAGCTATGTCACCCTTTGTCCTCGCCTCTGTGTTGTATATAAATATAATGGTGAAACTGTGGAAGTTGCAATGAAGCGACCAATTTCTTTTTGTTGAGACAGGGAAGTCAGTTCCACGTCATACATGATAGTCAAACTATGGAAGGAGGTGGTGTTAGTGTCGCCCAATTCAATTTTATCCATCCAAATACTTAAATGCTTGTGAATATCAATAATAAATTAATAATCATAATAATAATAATAAAACAAAAACATGTGAACTCCATGGTCAAGCTCATTTTAGTATATATCATATACACCTTTTATAATATTATAATTTATAAAAAAAATTCAGCAATATATATAAGGTTAAAATAAAATTGTGAATTATATAAAAAATAATAATTCTCTCCTAAATCAATCCAATTTGGTAAAAATTTTTATGTTGAAAGGGTTAGAATCCTATGAGTATGCAATATTTGATGTCTTTTTCCATTATAAAAAACGCACAATGAAAAATAAAAAGAAAAAATTTTAATTTGAGTCACCTAAATTAATTTAATGGCGATATGAATAAATCAAGTTGCCGATTAATGTCTTATCTTTCCTTTTTTATCTTGTGATTGTGATAGAATTAGTACATATAATCTATCATGTTTGTGCTTTCGTGATCTCACTTTGTCTGGACATAAAACTCCTGTGGGCTATAATATGGAGATTTGCCTTTATTTTTAACTTCTATTACATCAGCCAAACTCACCCTAATCTATATATGTACACACACATGTGGTTCGCTTGCTTTTATTAAATGTATATAAATTACGATCAATTAGAATTTAATTTAAAGTTTCTTCAACTAATTTTATTAGTTAAAAGTAACTTGATATAATATGAATTTGAGTAATTAAAAAGCAACAAATATATCTAAAAAAAAAGATTAAGAGCTATTTTATTTATAAATTAACGAAATTCATATTTTCAATTGACAATAACTTAATGTTACTGGAAAATATTTTTTAAATCAAAATGATAAATAAACTCATTTTCCAATTAAATATATAAGTAAGTACACAACTTACAACTACGTATATTTATGGAATGGTGAAGATTTTTTAATCTCTTCATACTTTAAACATACGAAATGCATTATAAACATTAGTCATCTTCGAAGAAAATAAACAATTCAAATATGGAATTTAGAAACGTCCAGTAAACCATATACGTAACCCATACATTAATTATATTTCCTAAAATCACAATATAATTGCACATTTCAATAATAACTATGTTTATTGGCAAAATGAGATAGTTTTGCATACATTCATAATCCTGTATTTTCACATTTTATTTTAGTGAAGGGCATGATGGGTTTCCCGCGAAATTTGAAAGACTACAAATAATCGACGAAAGTGTATGATCAAATTTATGTAAATCATTTAATATTTCAGTAAACCGAGCCCACCAAATTAAGCAAATCCAGCAAATTAATAAACTACGCACAGACCTCCATTTTCAAAGTTTTGAAAATTTGGAGAGGATTATGTTAAAGAAGCTGGTGCTTAATTCAGTTAATCAGAATATCTACACTGCTTTGGCAAAAGTATATTTAAATTTGATTTGCAAAACACTTATTCGACCTTCCTAACGTGTTTGAAGAAACAATTCCACGAATCTCTCCATCGTATACCTTTTTAAAAATAAAATAACCAATGCGGCTATCTTGCACGATTTGTAATTCTTTCATCTTTCTAATGGAACTAGATTCCTAATCATCAAACACTCTGATTTATACTTATAATACTAAATAGGATTATTCATAGTGTGACCAATAAGAATTTTTTCTAAGTAAGTTCTGATTCTGGAAATTTTATTTCTAATTGTAAATTTTTCCTTTTAATAGTCATGGGTATAATTGTATTCGCCAAATTCATCCACAAGCTAATATAAAGATTCATTCTTTAGCACGAGCTTATTCAGATATACTATATAGAATGTTGATACAATATTATATGTTTTTTTTTTTCTTTAATGAAGTTTCTCTCTTTATTTTTCAAAAAAAGAAAAGAAATTTTGCATTCTCAGGTTCAATTTAACACAAATACTAAAAAAAAACATTTAGATTCAGCCTAATGTAAAATAAATTAAAAAAAAAAAAAAAAAAAAAAGGTTCAATTTAACACAAATACTAAAAAAAACATTTAGCATCAGCTAATGTAAAGAATAAAATTTAAAAAAAAAAAAAATTAAAAAAAAAAAAAAAAAAAGATAAGCAAGAAGAAAGGTAAATTGCATGGCTCCAACATCCATGGGACTATGGGAGGCCACGAGTGACCTAATTATTTGATTTTTATAATGTCATTGTTAGAGGCAGTGCATGGGAAATTGACACTTGCATGGATAATTGGGACATGGATCGTGGGGCGGTGGTGGCATGCATAACTGGATCCTCATCCTGGTTTGCCACGTATTTGCCCAACTCTGTGTAGCCGACCAGGAGAAATTGTCTCCGTCGGTAACGCCATCAGCAACAGCCCAGCTAGGATGCTAAAGATCCGTGAACCTCGCTGACCAAACATTAACGGCTGATTATCGTATAATATCAGCCTCACCTGAGCTTAAAACCACAGGCCAACGATCCTCTTTTTTTTTTTTTTTTTTTTTTTTTCTTAGAGAAAACTAAACACGTACTATTTTTTTAATAAAAAATTTTTTTTTTTTTTTTTTTTTCTTAGAGAAAACTAAACACGTCTATTTTTTAATAAAAAATTTATATTTTGATGGGTAAATCATAATTGGAATTTAGACAAGTCATTTCATTTATAACAATTCTAAAAAATGACCTTTTTTTTTTCCCTTTCTGTTTAAAGATCTTGTGTATTGAAAACTTCATTAAAGGTAAGTGGTTATTTGGCTTTCAATACCAAATAATCACAATGCAATACTCAATCACAAAGCATTCCAGTCTTTTTTTTTTTTTTTAATTTAACGAACTAATAGCAGTATTTATTTATTTATTTCTTAAAAAACAGATAAATCTTGCATATGCAAAATAATACTTAATATTTTTTAAGACATGGAATCTATAAATGGATGAATCTACACAAATTATAGTCATCTGAATAAAACTGTTGATTGCATTAATTGATTTGCCATGTCTAAAAAATTGAAAGTTAAAAATAAAAATCTTCTCTAACACTATTATTTATTTAATAGGTGAGTCTCATGTGTCACACTCTCTATTTTTATACGATATGTTAAAACATCGTGAATCGATTTTTTATTTTCCTTTTTCCTATTTATTTATTTTTCTTCTTATTCTTCTATTTTCGTATTTTATTTTCGTCCAAGACTAAGGGCACCGATAACTAAAATAGGGTGAAAAAAAAAAAAAAGAGCAAGCTTATTGGGCCGAGCCCCGCCGCCGGAGGATGGGGCCAGTTTATAGAACCTTGAAAAGCAAAAGTTTAAGAACCGACTTTGCTTTTGAAATTAACAAAAGAGATGCCATTGCCCGATACGAGCATGTTATTGCTGATCCACGTCACTCTGTACATGGTGCCGTGGAAGCCACTTTGATTACGGGACCCTCTTATTTTTTTTATCTGTTCTCGATTTGTTTCCGCGTCACAACCGCAGAACCATTCCCATTGCTCTATTTATAATATACCCTCCTTTTGTTTTCTATATAATATTTCTTCATCCAAAAACTTTGTGAACTGTCGGGATGGCCGAGAGGTCTAAGGCGTCAGATTCAAGTTCTGATCTTCGGAAGAGGGCGTGGGTTCAAATCCAACTTCTGACAAATATGATTTTAATTTTTTTACTTTTAAATTAATTTCAACCCTTTTTTTTGTTGCGAAGAATAAAAATAAGAATACTATCGCGCTGCGGAATATTCGCAGGAAACATGCATGTCAAAGTTAGGAAAAGAAATTAAAAAAAAAATTAAAAATAAAAAGTGAGGTGTCCATATATGTTGCATGTGGAAAGTTGAGAGCTTTTCAATTTGTAGATTTGTATTGCCAAAGGTGATCCATACACGGTTAATTGACCATGTTGGCTTTGATTTTTGAATAAAGTTAAAAGTATTAATTAGCCCTATCAGATTAATTAAGATAATTGAAAGTATATATGTATATTTTAATTATTCAGATTAAAAAATTTAATGCAATTGCCAAATCTTTTAAACAAGATTTGTAAAAACATGAAAGAAGGTTCATTGAATCTTCACTACAAGAGCATTAAGCATTAACTGATCCTTATGACTAATACTTATTTACAACTTTTAGCTAATGCTTATAATCATTAATTGTCGTTTCTTCTCTTGCCGCGTGGACTGCTTGAAATCATTTTGTTTGAAGAAGCTTCAGGAGCTGGCCTTGCAAATTCTTTTATATTATAGTACTCCATACGACAATAGTCAAACAAAAGTAAAATGGAGAAAAAGATTAAGACCAAATTAATAATTAACCAAAAGTAGATGAAATGTTTGTTGGTACATAGCTACAAGATAAGATTGCGAGAGAAAGATTACACCTATATATATGTATATCTGCGGCTGGTGTTTGTTGAAACTCACTCCAGCACACCAAAACAAGTGGTTCGTCAAGCAAAAGTGCAATGTCTACGTTGCATGCATGTATATTCATCACAACCTTCGAGAAGAAATTACAGTCAGTACATATACCTAAGTAGGTGTATCTTTTAGACAAAGTAACCTTTTAGGCTTTTACAGAGCTTTAGCTGAGTTAACATGACGCGGAACTACACTTAACCTCTTCCAAGTCTTTCATTAACTTTCTGTCATCTTTGAAGTATCAATTAACCCATGTGCCCTCACTTTAAGAAGAGCCAATTTCAACGATTTACATAATTGATGTAATGTAAATACACTCTATTCATTTAAATGAATTCATGTTTTATCTATTTTGAATTTTTAATAAACCGAATGGGTTTCGCTATGAAAAATTAAATAAATCACATTCAAAAAGTTTTTCTTTTATTTTATATATAATCGTATATGGATAATAATCTTTAATTATAATACGGACAAAATACAAATTGTATATAAATATAGCACATATAGCACATGCAATTTGATATACCAAATTGGTTATCACCTTTCTCATCTTTACTTATGACTATGGAGGGAATTAACAATATATAAAAATTAAAAAAAAAAAAAAAAAAATAGAATCGGTATAGTGGATAATAATCTTTAATTATTTAATACGGGACCAAAAATACAAATTGATATGAGTATAATAGGAAACACGATATATGCCCATGCAATTTTGATATAAACGCAAATCTGGTTTATCCACCTTTCTCATCCATTTACCTTCACTGGACTATGAGTAATTAACCAATATAAAACATTAAAAAAAAATAAAATAAAAAAAGGTAGAGAAGAGAGGTCAAGGACGTCGAAAACCAAACTGCACAATCTCGTTACCCCACTACGCGCAGAATGGCTTAGAAGGGCTCACTCCTCATCTGTCGTGTAAAGTATAAAAAAAAAAAAAAAAAAAAAAGGAAGAAGAGAGGGGTCAAGATGTCGAAAACAAATTGACAATCCTTACCCATAGAGCAGAATGGTAGAATGGGCTCATGTTATCTGTCGTGTAAAGTATACCATATGGATAATTGTTAGTGTAATATATATGTATATATGGTTTTGCTTTTTTTTTTCTAAGTAACTTTGCTCTCTCTTTATAAAAAGATTTGCGTCACACTAACAATGGTGATCCTGAAAAGGATTGTATGCTCCTTTTTTTTTTCTCTCTCTTTTCTTGATTTGCAGTTATATAATCGTCTTCCTTCTCCTCCTTCTTCTTATTCGATATCTTGGGATTTCGATTGTTGAATGTATAATGACAGAGACAACATATATACCGACATTCTTTATTCGAGCTGCCAACTTTAAAGTTGCAGAAAAGCTTATAACTGCTTAATTGTAGTTGGAGGTCAAAAAGAAAAGTGAATTTAATATGTGTAAATATGACATCAAAAGAGATATATTGTTTAACATATATCATAGACATTCCATTCCATACATTATCCCTATCAACAGTGACATAAACAATCACTAGCTTCCAAGCTAAGTTTTTGCTTCTTTATTTCGAAAATTTTGAAAGTTACATTTTTTAAATTTACTGTCAAATTTTTCTTTAAGACTTTATATTCAACGACTATATGTTCTTTTTTTTCGTTGGGGGGGGGGGGGGGGGGTTTGCGCATTTACCTGGACAAAATTAGGGCTTGTTAGTTAAGGCCTTAGACGCGGTATTAGACTTTCAAAAATAAGCCCATATGAGAAAGCCCATTATATCCATTGGACTTTTTATGTACGGATTGGCAAATATGAACTTGAAAAATAAAAAAGTATTTTTACTTTAAAATTTTATTCGATCTATACTATAAAACCTATCAAGAATCGATCATGTAGTTTCCTTTGAATGTCCTATTAGGCTATTATACATAACGCACGATGAAAATATGGGTTCTGTTGATATTTAAAACTCATTTTTTTTAAGAATCTCAGAGTTCATGAATCTATATTTTATTTATTTAATTATATTTCTATACATGACTCACGAATCATTTACTGATAAGACTCCACTAACATTTGCCAAACTAAAAATTCATGAAAATGGGTAGTGAAGTTTGACTGAATTTGATGAAATTGCGGAAAGGGTTTCATTTTTTTTCAAGAACTGAAGGCGTAAAAAGGAGAATTAGGTAAGGTTCATGCAATAACCACATAAAATGTCTTTTTCCGTCACCAACAACAAACTGCTTATAAGCATTTTGGTGACTCAACAATGGACGAATGAGTCATAATCTCTTCAGGTAATTTAGTTTGGTCTGCAAAAGTTAAACTATGTCTAGTCATATTATTTTGTCTTATATAAAACTGTCAAAATATGGAAGTTCGTTCTAATTCAGTCTTCAACCTACAGAATTAGAAATGCACTGTAGTTAATGATTCTCTCAGAAGCTTGACGATGAAGATTGATCTGTTGACAACATGTTTCAGCTGTCGCATTTTTTCTGCTTTTAAAAATTAATTTATGATCAATAAGATAGATTAAAAACTCCAGTCTATCAACTAACCAAGCCCTAATTGTATTAGGACATTAATTAAGTCTTTAATGCCTTTAATGGTTATGAGGAATGAGCACGATACATGTTAGTCAAGTGGTCGGCAAGAAAGCAATATCACATGTTCCATCCTCGTGTCGATGACAAGAACGAATCCAAGTAAACGGTGAAAAATGTGTCACGATTCTATAATTGGATAATTAAACATGTTTTATATTTTAAAAATATTTTGGATTGATTTGGTGAATATCTGGATAGAGGTTAGGTAAGTATTTCCTCTGTTGGCTTAATTATTTGCAGTTTCAATTTCTGCAATTTAACAATCGCTACCGTTAATTACAAACACGTCACCACTTCTATAATTGGATATAAGGTCTACATTACGAGCAATAAAGTAAAGTAACCTTCTTCACAAGGAATATTCTCAATTTAATTCGGAGAAACAAATTTAAAAAAAAAAAAAAAAAAAAAAAAAAAAAAAAAAAAAACACGATCAACGTCACTACTATTAATTGGATATAAGGTCTTAACATACGAGCAATAAAAGTAAAGTAACCTTCTTCCCACAAGGAATATTCTTCAATTTGGAATTCGGAGAAACAAAATATTTAAAAAAAAAGAAAAAAAAAAAAAAAAAAAAAAGAAAAGGAAGACAAAACATTGATAACTAAGATACATGAATTACACATCCCGTGAGGTGGGTGTTAAATAATTAAGAGACGGTATGGAGTACTTGTCTCACTAAGAAGTTGGTTAATGTGACATGGCTGTAGCTGACAACTGTATAAAAAATCACTCGCCTAACGTGAATGTTGCTCAAAAAAAACAAAAAAGGAGGAGGTTGTGATTCTGCTAGCCGCACGTCAAATTTTTATAGCGGTGAGGATTATGAGTAGTTGTGAAAATATACGAGGACTCTTGTTTCACATATATATTAAACTATTAGCTATCGTATTACTAAATGTAGTTATAATTAAAAAAAATAGTGTTTTTGATATAATGTTAAAAAACACGTTAAAAACTTATAATTAATAAAAATAGATGTTTTGACATAGTTAAAATACTAAAAGCCTACTTAAAAAATATTTGCCCGTCAACAAAAAAAAAAAAAAAAAAAAAAAAAAAAAAAAAAGAAAAGAAGACAAAGATAATGAATTACACATCCCGTGATGTGTGGTTAATTAATTAAGAGACGGTATGGAGTCCTTGTCACTTAAAGAAGTTTTAATGTGCATGGCTGTAGCTGACAACTAAAATCACCTAACGACTAACGTGATATGTTGCTCAAAAAAACAAAAAAAGGGAGGGAGTGTGATCTGCTATGGATCAAAGTTTATAGCGGTGAGATTATGAGATGTGAAATATACGGACTCTGTTTCACAATAATAACTATTTTAGTACGTATTACTAAATATTATAATTAAAAAAAATAGTGTTTTGATATAATTAAAACACTAAAACTTATAATTAATAAAAATAATGTTTTGACATAGTTAAAATACTAAAAGCTACTTTAAAAAATATTGCCCAACAGGACCATAATCAAACTAAAATGTATATTGTCAACTAGAAACTTCTTAATCAATATCAAACTCTGTTGGAGGTGGACCAGACAATCTGATTAAAATTTCACGCTCACGGGTCAGGCTCTGGCGCATGAAATGTTAAGTTCTTACTGACCAATCTAACGCTAGTTGTCAATTTTAGGTTGCAAGAAATGTTTGATGTCAAAGCAAGCATCACGCACATCCTGTATGTTGAAAATAATTGAGGCATTACAAACACTGCATCACCATCCACGCCTTAAACACTCAATTGATTTAATTAAATTATCCAAATCCATTTTTAATTTTTAATTTTGAATTTTTAAATTAAATTGTCACAACTGTTTTTATATGCCGGAAGATTCCCTCTTAATTATAAATGGATACGCAAAATGGCCAATTGAAGTATGACGTCCAACAAGAAGACAACAATTGAAATTATTTCATTGTCTTGGCACCAAATGTGGTAGGTTACAATTTTTTTTTTTTAATATTGCATATGAATATGATGTCGAAACCAATAAATGAATCACATCCCCATACCAATATTTAAAAAAGAATTGCTATTATCTAATTCTAAAAGCTACAAGATTTAAAGGAAAAATAAAATCCTATCTCTAATTCGCTGTTCTGCTTCGTGCATTTCGCACCACCACCACCTCCACTCACCACTACGCCCCTTCTATGCTACCATGTACCCGGTACATGGTGCCAAATCGGATTTTAAGAGGAGGCTAGTGGTGATCAATTGACGGGTGAGCATTTCCAATCAACTGCCACGTCACTAGGGCCCAGGACATGAAAAAGTACAAACAAACAAAATAGATTGTAGGGTCCACTTCTGAAACGACAATATAATTTGGGCCAAAAAAATATAGATGGCCGTTTTTTGTAGCTTCTTGGGTCGACTGCTCTCTCCCCAAGACCCCGCGATCTATTATATAATAGTGTAATTATATAATATTTTTTAAAAGCTAGCTAATTATCGAGCTACCGCTAGCAATTTTAGAATACGTGCGTCAACTGCCAAATTGCTACCGTGATACTGACAAAGCACGCAATACCATGTGATCCCAGCACGTGGGTATACGTGGAGGGTGATGATGCTCCACTTTGGTCCAAGGCACCTTCGTATACCATGGTGCCATCCATCAGAGATTTGTTGGCGTTTGCGCTTGCATTTGAAGCGTCAGTGCTCCCCTGCGACGATTTCTGACTGCAAAACCGCAAGAAGTAACCGTTAGCATCTGTACCATCAGAATTTTTTAATTACTATAAAAATAAAAAAGACAAGTCAACGTGTTGTAATTGGATTGGCTGTCAGATCAGCCAGCATAACTGGCCGTTACAAAGGTAAAGTTTGGGGATGTGCATTGCAGTAAAGTTACTTTGGGATTCGGAATGGTGTCTACTGGTATTGGCTTCAGTGCCATTGTTTCAGATGCAGTTCCCTGCTTTGGAGACCGTAAACGGCGTAAAGCCAAAGACGCAGTAATTTTAGGCACTGTGAGCACATAAATGACTATTCTACTCCTGCCAGACTCATGTCGGCGTGGAGGTGCAGTGACTTTATGCACACGAATTTGGCCATAGATGACTCCGCCTCGTAAATGTTAATCTGAGATTATTCTTTGTCTGGCAGCAATGTCAAAAAATGGGGTGGTCTTGTCAGAGAATGACAAATTAACCCAACGTTCATATTTTCATGCTTTAGTTAACTTCTAACGGTCAAATAGAGGGCAGTGAAACAGTAAAAGTGGGGCGTGACAAAAGGACTTTTTCGTCAATTACCTGGTATTGGGGGTTGGGCAAAAGGTGATCAGGTAATTCGCAGAGGCACAAGTGAAGGTGCTTGTCTTGTCATCATAAGCGTAGCTATATGCGTGTGGGCAAGCGTTCTTGAAGGTCGCAGAATACGAAGATGGCTTGCAAGTATCGGGTGTAGCATACGCGCCACTGCAACAGTATTGTGGTTGCCTGAAAGCTTCACACGCGCTCTTGCAAGCTACTCCTTCCCCTGACGTGCTTGTTACCTTAAGCTCCGACGGACACGAGCCGTTCAAATCCACCACACAGCCTGTGCTTGAACAATTCTGGCCAGTGCCTCCCTGAGGTACTACCAGCACGGGAAGATTGTACCCGTCAACAAGACTGACATCGAAGTAATCCATTCCACCATAACCGTCAAGCTTAAACTCCGCCAGTGTGGCAGGAGGAACAGCGCCGCTACCAGAACATTCTAGCTTGCCGGAACCGCAATCTCCTGTTAAACAAGAGAATTTCCCGGCGGAGTCTTCTGCACAATGGGTCCGACCCCACATTCGACCGCCCCATGAAGCAGGTGGGTTGATAGTTCTGGTCTCACCCTTTTGGAGAACGAACCCGGTGGAGGAGAGAGGCGGCGCGTCAGCGTTTGAAAGAATGCCTGGCCATACGGTGTAGTCACACTTATTTGATATTGTGAAAGTGGTAGAAAGGACATCTGTAGCAAGAATAAATCTAGAGACTGTTAATTGATTGATGATTTTGATATAATTGTCTAGTTTTTCATTTTACAGGACGCCATTATTACCTGGTAGAAAAAAATGGGCAACAAACAGAGAACACAGGAGATTCCTTAATGTTAGTTGAGCCATGGAAGCAGAACGCGGAGCTTAAACGATGAGGGAGAGAAAATTTTGCTTATATTTTATAATTAATTAATAGAAGAAGAAGAAGAAACTGAGCCCAATTCCTCCCTTTTCTGTCTTCTTCTTCTTAGAAGTGAAATTGGAAAGAGCGCTGTGAGATTTTCTAACGCTTGGGCGCAATGGGTATTTATAGAAGCGAAAGCGAGCGTCGCAAACTTGGTTAGGTTATATCTAGGCGGACCCACAAAAACTTTCTGACAGGGCGCCACCTCGGCTTGATGCTGCATGTCGTTTGGTAAAGAATTGATTTTGACTTCTTTCATAAAAATTTAGCAAAAATGTATATTTAAGCCTTAAAGTTATCTTGCTCGTTAAATTTATAAACTTTTATTTATTGAGGTTAAGTTCTTAAATGCTATATCTGTTATATAATACTTTTTACATTCGAGAAAATAGTTCATTATTTCAAAATAATAAATTTTTTAGTTTTTAATATAATAATATTAAATGCTCCCTCCGTTGGTGAATAAAAAAAAATACAAAAATGAGTTGGTGTGCTAAGGATATAATGGTTTACTATATAATAGCATAAATAAACTAATAATTATTCAAGTAAGTGTATTGAAAACAAGTGCATAATTTATAATAAGAAATTGCTAAACACTTCTTTCAAGTTAAGATGATTATTATTATCATAATTATTGAAGACCAATAACATTGTTAACTTGAGAAATTGAAATAAGTAGATGGTTGGAATTGGACCGAAAAAAACCCAAAATTATCAACGAGGTCAAATTGAAGGTTGCAGCCTTTGTATATTGTCTTATTACATAGTATTAATTATATTATGGAGTCGTGTTTGGTTAGCTAGTTAGTCTTTTTGCATGCAAAGATTTCTTTTTAAGGGTCAAGATTCTTAAATGAAATGACAAGGTTACATGTTAAGATCAGCTGGATTTTGCTTGAAGAACAGTTAAAGTTGGCTTCAACTTCCAACTTGCCATGTGTTTGTTTGTTGAACAGACATAAGTAGTTGGTGTTTTTAATTTCAAAGAGATTTGTTGTTGCCAGAAATTAGTCTTACCAGAAAGCAACCGCTGGTCCATTAGTTCTTGAAATATCTCTCTCAAAAGGAAATATGAAATAAATATCCCTTCCATAATTCAAATATCTTAATGCCAGTATCTGAAATTTCGTGTAATAGATGAGCCACCGCGGTAGACTAGACCGGCGTTAGCAGCCTTAGCACGCCAACTTAGAGAGATACTACTGCATAAATATACAATGTTGGCAAACTTCATCATTTGATAGGTTAAAGATATCCGTAAATGGCGGCAGTTAGACCCTTGAGACTGAAGAGTGAAACCAGTCCAATCATAACTTTAGTCCCTTGGGTCAAATCCTACGTCACAACTTCCCTTTGTTTCGCACAACGCATCAATATATATACCCCAGTTTTATTTTAGTATAATTAATTTTATTTGGTGTATAAGGATGGAAAGGTTAATCTATTTTTCTTGTTGAGATTCGAAAAAGAAAATATTGCCCGACAATTTGTAAAAAGCAGTAGAAAATAATAACATAGGTCTTTCACTTTTTGACATTAGCTTCTTAATCTCAGTATAACCAAATGGATCTTTTAAAAGATTGGTTGTTCTCACGTCATTTTTGCTTCAGCTTATAAGAAATGTATATGTATCATTTTGTAAAAGAGAGCATCGCTTTCAGTGCAATCCTAACAAAAGTGCAGTGAACAGTTACAAGTAGTATTAATAACGCAGCCATTGAAAAAATCAGGCCGCAAGGCAATGGTCAAAATTTAGGGGTGAACATGTGCTCCATTACAAGAATTGAAATGATATATTAATTTAACAATTGATGGAACCTTTGAATATGATGAGCATTTAGACACTTTATTTAACCAAAAAATCATACCATTTCCTGGTTTGGATTTTGACCAATTTGCCACAGCAAATTGGAAATGAGAAAAGTCAAATTGGATAAGGTCCCGACCTACCATGCCACGTTCGCACACCTAAACTCGGCTTCCATTACTTTCCTTTTCCTTTTTTTTTTTTTTTTTTAAACCAGGCTCCCAGTTAAACTATTCCCTTTCCTTTTTTTTTTTTTTTAAACTAAGAATCTTTTCCTTTTTTTTTTTTTTTTTAAATAAGGAATCCATTTCTTCAATTCTCTTAGTAATTGGGTACTTACCAATTTCATGAACTCGAATAGGAAATGATTATAAATTATGGTCACGTTTATTTCATGTGACATTCACTGGAAACCAAACGTCAGAACAGCAGTAATTCTACTCGTTCATATGTTGTGGATTGCATTTATAAATTCTCTCCCACGCCCAGCTTGTTGAGTTGAATGAGGTATGTTGGAGAAACTTCCATTCAACTACCACCTATTGGAATTTTTATTAATTAATTTTGCGTATTAGCTTGCAATGAATCAGATAAGTACGTTCTTTCTCAACTTGATTAGATTTTGAATTTTCAAATAATTATTCACTTGAGGTTAGTACATGTGCAAATTTGGGAAATTCTTCATCCATGAATTTGTAATGTGCTTTTATTTAGTTAATAAAAGGACACAATGAAATAAACTACATAAATTTAATTTAAGAAGGAGCTGCGTGAAATAAGCAATTAAAATCGTCAAGATTGAAATTAATAAATCAAAGCAGTCGGTAACTGAATTCTCTCCAACTGATCGCATAGTCGTATGGCCCCCACCGAAGAACGAACACTTAAATGCCCACGTGATATCCAAATTTTACTCTTTAATGCATAAATGCTAATTTTGCTCCTCCAACTATCAATATGATCTAATTCATACCATTTTTGATAAAACAAAAAAAAGAAAAAGCAAACAAAAACAAATCGCTTTCAATTTTCACAATTTTGAGTTTTTTCTAATTTTTTATTTCAAGTTTTATTATTTTAAAAACAGAGAACTTAACATTTTATTATGTTTTATCAAAAGTTTATTTCATAAGATAAACAAATTATAATTTTAAACTAAAATTGAACATCAATAAATATTGAAGGATCAAGTTGAACTTTTATCCTCCTTTTTTTTCCCCTAACACTCTAAAGGAAATTCCCATAAACCCTAAAGGCCCAGAATAATCAAGCGGTTCTAAATATTGAAGAACTAATCTTGCTCTTACAAAAGTTGGGACCACTTTACGATTATAATTGTCATAAAAGGGGGCTTTTATCATAATCAAAAAAGCAAAGGTTAGCACAGCTGTCACACTAATTAACTAGAAAATGACACCAGAATATGAACTTAACCAGCCTTATACCACTAAAGGTCAAAAGCTATGCTTTTATCATTTGCAATTCTCCACTTACCGACATGTAAAAACCCTATAGGTACTCCAGAAAGGAAAGGGTCCTAAATTGAATCCATGGTCTTAATCAATTATTCTCAATAAGTTAAATGTGCTCACATTTTGTTTCTATCTCCAAAGAGAGCACTACAGCTTCTGTCAATCCAGGAGAGGCATACGGACGCTAAATCTGTGTGAACAAAACTTGCTTATTTGACAGAAATTTTGAAATTTTAGATAATAAAATTCAAGAGAATTTGAAGAGCAGAAGCAAAAGACCAATTTGATGATTGCTTGAATTTTGAGAGTGACAGACAGGAAACACAGTCAAAATTAGTGATGCTTCAAAGCAACAAAAAATGGAAAGTGTCCCTTCACCCTTCATATATCAAACCAAAAATCAGCTGTCCATTTGGTGAAAGATTTGATTCCCACCATAAAATTCTATGCCTGGAAGCATCAATCAGAACCAACTATTGTGAAATCATATTATCAATATATGACTAAAAACAATATTTTTGTAACTTTCAATAACAATATTTTAAGCAATCTCTTGATGGATTGACATCAGCTGATGCTAAAAAGGAATCCTAATTGGAAGACTTTAAACATCATTATTGATGATAATTGATAAACAAAACCTGCATAATTTAGCAGCCAGCTTTTGTAGGTATCTATAGTGACAAATATGTTGCCATCTTATACCATCTATTGCCTCATCTTCCAAATTCGACAATATTGCTACTAGTGTCATAAAAGACGAAGATTAACAATTAAATAAATAAACAGTTCTAAGCCACAAGAATTCATAAGAAATGAAGATATCAGACGCAAGGAGGGCAATCCAGAGACTAGAAGCTAAAAGTTTTTATTATAGGTTTTAAAGCTTGCCCCTGCAGGCCATACTGCACAGTGCGCAAAGTCCATTCAAGACTTTTTATCACTGCTGAACTCATTATTGCTCTGCCAATATATACCCTTTTAAAACTTTGATAAGTAACTTACCAAAAGTGATCCGAAATATATGTCTACGTGTCCATTCCTCACCCATCCACCAGAGAAAACCCAAATCTAATAGCCCAAGTTCCCATTCACACCGATTACTAATCCGCAATGGCCTGACCAATGCTCTTTTTGCTATTACAAGCAATAATAATACTGGATCTATCACCCAAAACGGAGTTTGGCAGCGAAAAGATAGTGTTTGTAGGATATATTGTCGTGTTCACACTTCATAGACCCAAGGAACAAGAATTGTTATGCCCATGGACAACTTTGTTAAGCCCAAACCCAAACCAAACTAAGGCCTAAAGAGACATGTCATATATTTTAATGCTGTCCTCTGTAAAACTGTTCGTATCAAGCTACTTTTTCTTCTTTTTTTTTTTTTTTTCTTCTTAAATAAATGGTTGTATTGTCAAAGTAAGGCAGCATTTATAAGCCTACTAGATTCTGAGAAAAGTTAAGTCACAAACCAATATGATGAGATTCAGCTGGCATTTGCTTGGCAAGAGCACGAAGGAAGCGGATGAGGGGTTTTTTGGCAGCCATTATTGCAGCATCTGCTTCTTCATCATCAACCTCCTCAGAGACACTCTTGCTTTCTTGAACTGCATGCACTTTTCGAACAAGTTTACGTAGTTCCTATTCAAATAAAATTGCCACAATGAGAAACACAAAATACACGATCAAATATTAGTTTTACAAGCAATCATGCACTTATACAAGATACATAAGCTAATTCATGACTCATGAAAATGGGTCCTATCTTAGAAAACATATTTAGCCTAAAATATACTTGATTCACCACAGCTAATTATTTCCTTGTTCTCCCTTTTCTGGAAGACAGAGTGCTTACTTACTGAATGAGAAATGATAAATTGATTAAATTCCATAGACTTTTAACTTATAAATGACCGTGTAGTCTATTTTTTATGTTTTGCTCTCCAAATGATTCATTTTCCTTAAATAGTGTGGACTGCAAATAATTCATTGGTTGGAGGCATTCTACTTACCTGACGATCAAAATCAACGGTATGAACAGCGTACACTTCATTTGTAATCTTCAGGTCCTTATTGATCAAGCCATCTAACCATCTGGTTGCTATTATGATGTGCTCTTGTGAACCCTGAAAATATTGTTTACGTGGTAAATGTAATGTGTCACCATGGATATAGTATCTCCTTAAGGAAGCTCATGCTATAAATTGTGAGATAAGAGCATTTTTTTTGTGGTTAATCTCTACTTAGAATTGCATGTCCCTTCCAACAAGTAATTACCAGAAGTTTAAAGCTCCCAAGAGAGTTCTCTAATGCTTAGATCCCAAGAATTCTAAGTTCCACTTCAAGTAAATTGCCATTTACCATATGGTTTGTCCACATAGAAAGCAATATAGTAATTGAGAGCAATGGTGAAACCAAAATGATATGTTTAGTGAAATGGTAAAAGCTAGAAGTAAAGGTTGACGGTAGTTCTGAGACCTCAAAAAAGGTTGGGGTTTTGAATTAGCAAATTTCATCTTAGGAATTGGAAAGGAATATAAATAGGGTATTTGGAATGTTCTTAATTTCTAAATTTAAATAGAAGAAAATGTACTGCAGAAAAGTATCTTCAAGCTATCAATGAAAACTTAACTTGTACAATCATAGTCAAAGTTATGGATCACTATCATACCTCTTCATCCTCCTCGTCTTCTTCATATTCAGTTTCTTCAGCTTCTTCATCATCATATTCAATAATCCCTGTCTCTATACCAGGCACAGCCTGCAGCCTACTCCAGTCGCCATCTTTTGTTGAATGAATCAAAGCGTCCATTAATTCTGGTTTTACGTCCCGTATTAGTTTCCCTAACAAATTCAAAAGATCACGAATCTTGCAAGCAAGCTGTCATAAATGAAGTAACATATGAAACTTAAATGCAAAAGTTACTCCATATGTGCATGCCGTCTTAGTTAACAAATTAAGAATAATATAAACTACACAACAAGCAAATAGAAAAGGCAGGATAAAAAAGCAAGGTAGCTTTTATGAATCCCTTGTGGATCGTTGATTGAATGGAAGAGCTACTAATTGACACTAAGGTTTAGAAGAAATAGACTCAAATACCAATAAGGTTATATTGCCTCCGCTTTCCCTCTCGAACATCCGGTCCTAGTCTCTGCGACCAAAAAACAAACACCTTAAACTCAAGTTTTTATAATAAAACAAGCACCTAATGAACTATTTCTTCTAGCTCTACTACTTATAACCAAAGGAGAAGAAACTAAGACAAAAGTATCTTATAATGGAAGCACCTTAACTAGCATTATTGCCTCGTACACTTCTCGCTCAAGTGAAGCCACTCTAAAATCACATGCAAACGTATAAACGGGAACAGATTCACTTAACTTGAAGGGCCATTTTCATATCCTAATTCGGTTAGAATGAAGAGATTTTTAAAAATAGAATATAATATTGGAAGCTACCTGAGAATGCGCTTAATTTGAGGGGCGGAGAAGGAAGCCAGCTCCATGCCCCAACGGACTGCGCGCCTAGCCTCGCGCTTCTTCTGAGTGCGGCTCTTCTTTGTATCAGAATCAGAGCCGCTGCTGTTAGATCCTCCTTCTTCCAGATCGGAGAGTGTTGGAACATCGGAAAATCGAAGACCGCGGGATCCACAACGGATGCTATGATTAAAGGAGTAAACAGAAGCTAAAACAAGACAGTGAGAAGTGGTTTTACTAGTTAATAATAAAGATGGAGATAGATGAAGATGAAATGAAAAGTGAGAGCAGAGTTGCTGCTGCATCAGTGGAATTTGCCTAAGAGGCCGTATGAGTCTAGCCATTGCTGCCTCGCTTTGTGTTTGATGCAGTAAGAGTAAGGAAGTGAAAATCGGGTTATTTTGAGATAAGCGAACCGGAGCCGACTCTCAATATTTAAGGACATAAGGTGGCTTAGCAAGCCCAATTGAAAAGCTCTGTTATTATAAGTTTGGGCTTCAATTTATGTGCCTCTGCTCATAAAGACTAAAACATATAAGCCATGTCCACGGTCAACTATCAATTTTATAACATGATGATGGAAACTTTTTCACGCTTTTTGAACAATATTGAAAAGTTTCCCGCCCGCAAACATCACCGTTTAATGAGAGTTATTCTCTCATATCCTCCACGCTACTCTGTCCAGCTATACTCTTCATCGCCAGATTTTCATACTTAGAACAATCATCAATCGAATAGTCTCCCTCGAGATAGAGATGTCTGTATATAAATCCATCCACTTTTTTTCTTTACTTATGGTTTTAGTTGATGGAATATGGATAGGGAAATCTTAATTTATCAACCGTTATCAGCCGACTGCATGATAAGATATTTCTATAGTTTGCAGAAATTTCTTGTTATTGAAAAAGAATGATGATATTAATATATCATCTTCTTCGCGGTAAATAAATACTCTGTTTTTAACTTTGATTTGGTATCATGCAGCCTGTAATTGGATATTATCGTCCTATAAAGATTGTGAATTCAAATCGCATCAATATTTGAAAAAAAGAAACTATAACATAATCTTTCAAAACGTAAATTTTGTTTTGCATTTCAATGCATGAGCACTGCATTGCATATATTGATACAGTGGCTTCATTTTGAAAATGAATAAGAATAGGAAAAAAATTGCAGTCTGCAGAGAAGTTTACACATCTACGTTGTACAGAAGAATCGGCAAATAATGGAATGATGCTAAAATCAGTAGACTTCAACGTTCCATTGTTCACTCTTTTTCAGTGTTCTCTTGTGTTCAATCCAATCGATGCCTGAAAGGAAGAGTGTCATTAGGAAGAAGAAAAGAAAGATCAAATTCAATATATTTGATTCTCTTATTAGTTACTAACGGTAATTACCATCTTTAGCTGCCAAAGAGCCCATGATATCATCAATACCCTTCTCCATTCCCTTAAGCCCGCACATATAGACAAAAGTGTTGTCCTTTTTTAGCATTTCCCATAGCTCCTCTGCATATTGCGCCATTCGGGTTTGAATGTACATCTTCTCTCCCTTGTCATTTGTTTGTTCTCTGCTTACTGCATAATCAACTCTAAAGTTTTCTGGAGCCTTCTCTTTCATCTTCTCAAATTCCTGGTTTTTTAGCACAGACATATTCTCAGAGTTAGAGCCTAATTAAGCACAAAAGCAGAATAATACTTGGAAAGGAATACACAGAGTATAACTTACATCTTTGTACAGCAAAGAGCTGCTGGTTGGGACACCCAAGAATAGCCAAGCTAATCCATTAAACTGCATTCAATGTTAATCAAGTATCACTTAATTAGTCTTTAATCTTGGTTTGGTGTCTCATTTTATGCATTTCAATTCAAATTATTACCTTGTAGTCATTATGCTTCTCGAAAAACATCTTCCACAAGAATGAGCGGAAAGGAGCAATTCCAGTTCCAGTTGCAAGCTGCAATTTTATAAAGGAAATCAAGAAACCGATCAAATGAACAAGAGAGTAATAACAAGTGAGAAATAGAATAAGCAAAATTGGATAATGGCTACCATAATGATTGTGGCATTTGGATCTTTTGGCATAAGCATTTCTTTTCCTACAGGTCCTGTGATCTTAACTTCAGCACCAGGTTTCAAGTCACCTGAAATTTAAAAAATTTAACTGTTGCTGTCATATGATAAAATTTCATGGAACATATTTGTTCTGATCTTTACAATTATAAGCTAATAGAATTAAAGAAAAATGACAAGTTGACTGAAGTAAATGAAGGAAATGCCAACTTGGATTATTCTTTCCAAGCTGGATGGTTTCGAATATATATATATATACAACTTGTGAAATTATTCCTTTAAATATAACTGCAAAAAGCATTCCAGTCTGACCCACAGACTATACACATTGACTTAAATTCTTACACAAGAAATTTGAGCAGACTCCCTTCACAATTTCTCCTTGATCATTTGTATAGACAAGCCTTTTGACACACAAAGAAACCTACAGAGCACATTTTTACCGAGATTAATTTATCAAAGTAAGAGGAAACCAAAAACTATAAAACAGTTCATGATTCAGTAACAATTCCTAAAGAATACAAACTGACCTACAGAAAAGAAAGTAAAGATTAATTACAGTTTTGGAGTCGCCCAGGTCTCCAAGAGCACTGCTAGCGATAGAATATAATCTAAGCTTGTGGGGTTTTCCATTCTTATCAATACCATCAGGAATAATACCAATGGATTGGCCTTCTCTGTATGGAACTTCCCCTGTATCATCCAATAATTAATTTAACTTCCAAATGACCAATGGCGCTCATCAAAGAATTCAGCTACATATATACCATAGAAAAAAGTAATTATTAATGGTAAAGATAATTAAGTAATTAATCTGACCCTCAGTGCCGAAGACCATGTGCCAGGTCTCTCCAGGGGCATCATCTGCAGTAATTTTGGTATTGAGAAGACATGTTCCAGTGTATGGATTCTTGGGCTTAAATTTGTTGACAACTACACCCTCCTCATTCTTCTTTGACACCTTTTCCACTTTAGCAGGAGGTTGTGTGGTCACCTGAGCTTTAATTGTAACCCTTCTTCCACCAACATAAACATTTCTGGAGTACAAGAAACCCTACAGTATATGACATAAAAAACTCAAGTCTTTATCGTAAACTTTAACACTGTATTACATACAAATTGCATATATATATATATAGTTCAAATTAGAATATAGAATACCTTGTTGAAATTGATTTTTTCTGGGGCAATGTTGGAGACTCTGGAAGGAAGAGAAGATGAATTAGTGGTTGGAAGCGACACTGCCGCATTTACAGTGGCAGCCATGGTCAAGGTTCAGAGAGAGAGAAAGAGGGATTGGTTACGAGGTAAAGAAAGAGAGAAAGTGGGAAAAAGAAGAGGGAAGGAGAGACAAAAATGTGTGAGCGGATTATAGAGTGAGTGGATGAGAATTGGAGGATAAATTGCAGTGGCATTTTGGTGGTTATGGTTGGAGAGCTTTTCAGATTCCATGAAGAAAATCGGTGTCTCACCTATCTTTGCCACTCGTTGACAGAGTCAATAATATTGTTTTTCTTTTTCCTAATATCAAATACTGAATTATAAACTGAAGCTTAATTTTGGGCTCTTAAATTTGATCTAAATAATTTCCGATGGCCCAGCTGCGACCCAACCCATTTGAATAAACTCCACGAGCCTAGTCTATTTAGGCCTTTTTGATTCTCCCTACGTTCCAGTCCACCATTGGTTTCGACAATGATGCCCTGTCGTTTAATGTCTACACGTGTCACGTGCAAGGAAAGGCCTCGACAAAGAATCTTTTCCGCTCGCTCAGGAAAAGTTTCCGCTGACAAAGAATCTTTTCTGCCCGACATCGTTTTTGTCGTCAATGAACTGAAAATTTACCCAGATCTTGGTTACAGTCAGCAGAAGAGGGAAACGATTTCATTTTTCAACCGAAATCAACTGCTACAGTTCGGTTTGAGGCATAATCACATATAAGATGGTGAAATCAAAATCAAAGACTCTTTCTCTGAGGTATTGATGTACGCTTTTTGTCAATCATCTTCAAATATCTGAAGAACTTGAAAAGTACTTGCTTCAATTTCATTCTAGAAACATTTATGCTTCAAATCAGGTTAATATGTCTGTTTCTTATAAGTAAAATGCGCACTCGATTCTTGTTTCTGACGTGGGAATTTCAGGTTAAACTCTTTGAAGTTTATGTACTATTAGCTTATCCCATTGCACATGCAATTAATTATCATTTAAAACAAGATTGCAGAGAGGTAATAGCAAAATAATAAGAATAATAATAGTTAATTATCATTTAAAACAAAATTTTACAAAGAACTTTATAATTAGAACAGGCTATAAAAAAGCCGCCTTGTTCGTACAAAATTCTGGAATCCAATCTTGGCTATTTACACCTATGCAGAAATAATCCCAAAATATTAAGGATTTTCCGCCTAAGCATTTAAAAAATCGATTCACTAGTTTCAATAGTTCACTAATTCAGTATTAAATTTAACCAAAAACACTACTAATTTTTCTCTACCAGCACTGATCAGTTTCCCATCTGCGCTTCGTAAATCCAGAAGCCGAATAACGCACTGCTGTGGCTGCAGTCGCTGACGTCACAAACGGAGAACTCATACGTTGCCCTTGCCAGAACAAAGACCGATCATAGTCGGCCCGTTTCTCTGGATCAGACAGAGTTTCATAAGCTTCATGTATTTTTATAAACTCATGCGTCTTTTCCTCCTTTTGACTGGTTGTTGCAACATCAGGATGCAAAACTCTAGCTAGTTTCCGATAAGCAGTCTTTATTTCCTGACACGTGGCACCCATCTGTATCCCAAGAATTTCGTACAGCGATCCTGGAGATGCAACGTGGGATTTTGTTCTCTCGGCTGTGGTAGCGCAACCGGCGGAGACATGGAGTGGACGAAAACCGACTCTAGAGGGCAGGGAAAGAGTTTTTCCAGCCGGCAGTTGTGAGCCAAACAAATGAGCGGAGGAGGAGCTGAGAGATGAAAGACCAGACATAGAGGCCATGATAAAAATTAAATTAAATACTGTGTTTCTCTGCTTGTATTGTGTGGTTTAAGAATGTTCGATGGACTGGCTGATGGATGAGTCGTTATTTATAGAGACGTGTGTGATTATTTAACCATGGTTAGTTATATTTGGTTAACGAGTTTATCCATTTGAATGCGTGGATGTCTGATCTGTCACATGCTGACTCAGAGAATCGTCGGTGTTTAAGAATCTCTGCCTGAGTACCTGACAACAAAGCAATAACTGACTTTTTTATAAAACAAGGAATCTCTTGGAAGCTCTGTTTGCTTTCTCCGCGTCTAACTCAATTACGAAATTGAAAGTTCCATAATTCAAATATTTTTGTGCTTTTTTCGAAATTCTCTACAATAATATTTTTATTATTTCTTTTTAAAGATAGTCTATTTACATATTAATTTTATACATAATATGTTAAATTAAATTTTATTTCTTTCTCAATAGAAAATCTATACTCACTGTAATATATAGCAACAAAATTAATTCAAAATAAAATATTGATGCTGAGATTTAAGCTTATAACACAAAAAAAAAAAAAAAATAAAGTAACAATGTGAAAGTATATGAAATTATTAGATGCTATAAATTTATTTTTAAGAAAATTTGTCTATAATCAAATAATTCTTGGAACTTAAGTAAAGGCACAAGAATGGCAAAAATCATGTCATTTCAAGTTGTTTATGCTCTGGTTAGATCATGTTCAGACTTTGTTTTGATTTTCATATTAGTTTATTTACTTTGATAGTGTGTAAAGAGTCAATAAGCATAAACCAGAAAATGCAACGCTAACATGTAGAATTTGGAAAAAGAAAAAAAAAAAAAACAATTAAAGAAGAGAAAGACACTTGTCTCTAGAACATTTACAAACCGACACAAATTGTGAAATGGGGATGGAGGTAGCTTAGATTTTTAAGTCGTCGTATATCTAAACGCGTCAAATAAACTTAATGTACTTCTCCTCCTAATGTACAGAGCAAAGTCAGGGGATCAGCTGCCAACTGCCTAGCTGACTCAGCGATGACGAGTTCATGAGTACGATTCATCTTCCTGCATTCTTTAAAAATATTAGGGTCATATAGTTTTTTTTTTTAAATCTCGAATTAATTTTTTTTTTTGCCTTTAATATTTTCTGGATGTGGGAATAAAACAAATAGGACTGTGACTTATAAATTAATTGTTAAAAAAGCTTTATTTTGAATATTATTTTCAACTCGAATATGAAAAATAGATGTGAAAAAAAAAGACCCTTAGAGTTTTTAATGTTTAAAAAAAAAAGGTTGAAACAAGAGAGTAATTTTTTTTTAATAAATTAGAAAATTCAATGAGTCAAAAATATATTATGGAAAGCAAAAAATTTTTAAGGATAACGTTGAGGGGCATGGCTTAGCCATAGCATCATCGAAATCTCCGACACGAAAGCCAGCCATGCAAAACAAAAGTACATCGTGGGGTCCTAAAATTGAATGACTTTATAGCTAGCATACTGACCATTAATGGGACCCATCAATATTTCAGAATCTTATCCTTTCTGGATAATTTTTCTTTTTTCTTTCTTTTTTTTTTAAGAAAAAAAAAAGAGGGAAATACCCAGATGACACAGCTTAGACCTGCCACAACATCAATATTCATATTTTAAAATATTACGCTATCAGTTTAGATTAGAATTTATGTTATAGATAGAAATGATGTATAAAATATTTTCTTTTTGAGGGAAAATGATGTATAAATAATTAAATCAGGAGTATGTATTAAACATAATATTAACTAGGGTTAACATGATTGAAATAATAATAACCTTCAATAACCGAAATTTTGATTCTAAATTTAGAATCTAATTGGGCATAAGAATTCTAAAGTCGCCCGCAGTTTTCAACTGCACATTCACGTGGGGGACATGTGAGAGGTGAGGACACGTGTTCGCCTCTAGTAAATTGGGCGGTTCGACTTCTGCGATTATTGACCAAAGGGAGAAACAAAATTCTAAAAGGGAAACCGTTCAAACTGTTTTAACTTTCTTTACCTTGTTCTTTTTACTTTTTCCAAACCAACTTTCTTTTTCAATCTTTCTTAGTGAGCAAGTCAATTATAGATAAGTCAAAAATATTTTTCTTTTTCTTTTTCTTTTGGTTTTATAATTAGTCAACTTAATCCTTCGAGTTATCAAGCTTAATTCAGTTGTTTTTATGTGGTGTTTTATTACTTTGAAAACAGATGCTCTGTTTTCTCTTAATAAAGCCCAAAAAGATACATATGAGGCTTTTATGAGAAACTGACACGTGGAACCATAAGCCTACAAACTTGGACCAGGCCTCAAGCTTCCAGAATGGGTCCATCGAATATAAAACTCCTCGTTTCACTGTTGCTCCATTGTATTTGCCTTGCCTATGAGGCAAATCATGTTATTAGTGTGTTTGGGTAGCAATTTAAGGAGGAAAGAAAATATTGAACGAAAATGTAGAAGAAAATTTTCTTTTAATAGTTAAATATTTGAGAGGAAACTAAAGATGAAAAATAATTTTATGGACAGTAAAATTTTACCTTCATACTTTTCCTCTTTCTATATTTTTTTGATTTTCGAATGAGTGAAGGAAAGAAAATTTATATTATTTTCCTTCTCAATCTTGTTCCTTCTTATATTTTTAATTAATCCAAACATGGTGTAAATAGGGAAAAATGGGAAATAGGAGGAGGTGAAGTAATCAAGGAAGGAACATTGTTGTAAGTGTACGTACAGTCAGTTGGATAGAATTTTTATTTATTTATTTATTTATTTTGTACACTAGATCAATTCAGTAATCCCCAGATAATCATAAACACATCGAAAATTTAATTAGACTTGAATCAAATTAAGAAACGAATTCAAGAAAAAAATAATAATTAAACATTTACACGTAAGGCAAAACAGTAATGATTTGCTGTTTTTAATTAGAGAAGGAAAATAAAAGTTTACATGTGGATCAGGCGTTGTCTTCATGACTAACCTACAATCAGTTATGTAGGTTTAATTCATTTAACCCAAACGACTTGAATAAACAGAAAAAAAACATATACATTGTAAAATGCAAGAAAGGAAATGAAAAATTAAGAAAATAATTATTATTTTTTCATAAAATCAGGAAATAAAGCTCGGGAAGAATTACCTACATTTTGTATTGAGTCTATCCATACTTTAAACCAATTAAAAATAAATTTTTAATTAAAACAAAATGACAAAATAAAAATATGATATTATTCACATTATATTACCATTACTAAAGTGAAAGAAATTGAACAGAACTCTTTTAACTCTACACTATACATCTAAATCTCAATCCTTTAGAGTTTGATTTCAATGAGAGTCCAAGAGAGACCACATTTTCAATAGTTGAAAAACCAACAACAAGAACAAATAGAGATGAAGAGAGGAAGATAGAAAACAAGCGGAAGAGATGAAGTCTTTCAACTTCGTAACAGAAGTTATCTTCCTCTGTTTTTTTCTAACAACAAAGTTTATTGCGAACGCTGAAAATCATTACTATGACTGGAGTGTCAATTTGTCTCTCCGTGCTCCTCTTGGCATCACGAAAGAGGTAGTTTTCTACTTAAAAATACAGGATTTGAACAATGTTATATATTTGAACAAGTTATATATAATAGCAGTATATATATATACTCATATATAGTTAGTTTATATGCTCGTGTTAATTTCCAACTTTTCTTTCTTTGGTTGAGATATTAGGTGATTGTAATCAATGTGACAGTTTCCAGGACCCAGTCTTGAATGTCACGACAACACGAATGTTTGTAGACGTTAACATCCCATAACTAACTTGGATGATCCACTTTTCTAATGAACATGGTAGGTTATTTCCATTTTAGTAATATATAGTTTATATGCTCGTGTTAATTTCCAACTTTTCTTTCTTTTGTTGAGATATTAGGTGATTGTAATCAATGGACAGTTTCCAGGACCAGTCTTGAATGTCACGACAAACGATGTTGTGACGATTAACATCCATAATAACTTGGATGATCCATTTCTAATGACATGGTAGGTTATTTCCATTTTAGTAATTACCAGGAAGTTTTTTTTTTCGATTGAACTTGTGAGGGTTTAATTTGAATGCAGGAACGGAGTGCAACTAAGGAGAAATTCATGGCAAGATGGAGTTCAAGGGACTAACTGCCCTATTAAGCCTGGAAAAAATTGGACTTACAGTTTTCAGTTTAAAGATCAGATTGGTAGTTTCTTTTATTTCCCTACACTTCTCTTGCATAAAGCTGCTGGTGGGTACGGTGCTATTCATGTCAACAATCGCTATGTCATTCCCCTTCCATTTCCGCGACCATTTCAAGATATTGATGTGCTTATTGGAGATTGGTTCAATGCAGATTACAGGGTATACATCTTTGCATATAGATTTATATATCTATATTATTTTTTGAATTCTTCCTGTCCTGTAAGCATGATTATTCTGATAAAAATATATTATTGCAGTACTTGAGAGCTTCCATTGATGAAGGGAAAACTTTGCCCTTGCCTGATGGAATTCTCATCAATGGACTCGGACCAAATCAATCAGTTTTTCATTTCCAACCAGGTACACTTTTTATACTTTCTTGCTCTTAAAATCATATATATACAGAATCTGTTAACAAAATTTGTGAATTACAGGGGCTACATACAGGCTAAGAATTACAAATGTGGGCTTGAAAACGTCCCTGAACTTTAGAATTGAGGATCATTTGTTGCAGTTGGTGGAGACAGAAGGATCTTACTTAACTAAGCAATATCAAACTAGTTTAGACATCCATGTAGGTCAATCTTATTCAGTTTTAGTCACCGCGAAGAATCACACCAACAATGGCAGATCCTATTACATGGTTGCAAGCTCTCGTTTCACTGATTCTGAACTGTTTGGCATTGGTATTATTTGGTATCCAGACTCTTTCGCGTACCCTTCTGGTCCTCTTCCTCAAGGACCATCCCTAATGGATTATGGCTTCTCCTTAAACCAAGCCCGATCAATGAGGTGGGACTTAGGAGTAGGAGCTGCTAGGCCAAATCCTCAAGGTTCTTATCACTATGGAAGTATAAATGTGTCGCGGACATTGGTACTTGAAAATGCTGATATGTTTGATGGAAGAAAAATAGTTTATACGATCAATGGAGTCTCAAATGTGCATCCAAACACACCTTTAAAATTATTAGACTATTTTCAGATCAACGATGTGGTTAAACCTATACTCATTTCTGAGAGACCATTTCCTGGACTCCTAGTGCAAGGGGTTTCAGTTATTTATGCTAATTACCGTGACTTTTACCATATTGTTTTTCAAAATCGTTTTGCTGAAGTGCAGACATGGCACATTGACGGTTACAATGTATTCGTTGTTGGGTAAGGCTTTTTTTTTTTTTTAATTCTTGTTATTTTTTCTCTTTTTGCAAATTTCATTAATTTCTGTTGTTTCTAGCTAATTAATTAGTGTTATTTAATTTATATTCTAATTCCAGAATGGATTATGGAACGTGGGATGAGAGTAAGAAAGAAACGTACAATCTGATTGATGCTGTTTCTCGTTCTTCGTTTCAGGTTTGGTTTGTTCTTTTCGAAGTTTGTTGTCGATGATGATATGTGTTCATAGAAATAACTTACCTACCTCGGTCTTATGGACACCAAGTTAATTTCTTATGCTTACTGTATTCCAAAAAATTTTAACAATTTAAGACTCCTGTCTTTTTTCTCGATAGAGGACTAAACCTGTTATATTGATCGGCAGGTTTATCCGGCTTCATGGACGGCAGTGATGGTGAAGTTGGATAACCAAGGAATGTGGAATCTGAGATCACAGGATGCAGTGCGGACATACCTTGGACAAGAGCTTTATATAAGAGTGAAAGGCATTGGACACGAAGATCCATCAACTATTTCTCCAAGAGATGAACTACCAATTCCTCATAATGCAATTTTATGTGGAAAGGTTGCACACCTGTAAATTAGGATTTATTTTTGTTAAGATGTTGATCAGTTTTAACTCGTTGATATATTTTAGTTTATATGGTTTTTGAACACTCTGAATTGTTAGAGATGTGGTAAAACTTTTTTATGTATCTTACGAATTTAATGAGAGGTTAACATTTGTTATAAATGAAAATTTTCATATTAAAAATTTACAGCGATATGCAATAGATTATTCTCCTTTGAATAATATATTATCAAATTGGTAATTACTATTTTTTTTTGGTAAAAAAAAAAAAAAAAAAAAAAAGGATTATTCTCTCTTTGAATAGATATACTTATCAAATTGGTAATGATACTTATTTTATTTTTTGGTAAAAAAAAAAAAAAAAAAAGAAAAAGACCAGGCTAGAACTAACTAAAAACTGGTGATAATTTTTAGTGTGGAGGACTAAACTTTTATTGAAATGTACTCCCATAATCAATTTTTTTATTTTAATTTTATATTGATGATAATCAGTATATAATCCGACCACCTTTAGTTATTGGACTTTAATTCATCTTTATTTAAAATTTATTTATAACAATATCCATATTTTAAATTAATTTCCAAAATTAAATAAATAAAATTATTACTATAACTTTTTTGGTAAAAAAAAAAAAAAAAGAAAGACCAGCTAGAACTAACTAAAAACTGGTGATAATTTTTAGTGGGAGGACTAAACTTTTATTTTGAAATGTACTCCCATAATAATTTGTTTTATTTTATTTTATATTTGAATAATCAGTATATAATCCGACCACCTATTAGTTATTGGACTTAATTATCTTTATTAAAATTTATTTATAACAATATCATATTTTAAATTAAATTTCCAAAATAAATAAATAAAAATTATTACTATAAATGTACTTCAAAAAATAATTACAAAGTCATAATTTCACGAGAATCAGAAACTAAATCCGATATTTAACTGTTTTTAAGGAAAGGAAGTCAATAAATGATACATGCCTGCTGTGAGTTGCACCCCGCGTCCCAATTCCCACATCGACAAAATGGAAGAGAGGGGTTGACGTGGTTCTTATAAATAGGTGGAAGGAAGACAGATGAAAACAGATCCTTCGTGGGAGTTAACGGGATGTGATGAGTGGTCATTTCTCGCTAATTACTATGCGAGATGGGTGTCCGCCCCAATGCTAGTTACGACAATACGGGCACTCCCATCTGTACCATCTGATCCCTATGGAGGAAAATCCCATATTAATCCAGTCTCTTTAATTTTCTCTTCCATGAATTTTTGAAATTAATATCTAAAATAATTTTTCTTCTGTAAATTTTTAAATTAGTGTCCTAAAGTCATATCGACAAATATTTATGGAAAAAAGAAACTCTAAAACAAATTATATTTAAGTAATAACTTTGTGACAGGATAGTTCTGTACAACACTAGTTTCGCTCATGTAATTTGAATAATATATTATACTAGTAAATATGAATTTAAACGAAGGAATATATATTAAAAATGAAATTCACTATAAATTAATGGGATTAGACCAAATGCAAGCCATCCATAACATCCAATATATTTGTGTGTTGTAAGTTGTGTCTTGTACCAATCTCCCTTGTTGGAGTGCTTCCAGTGCTCCTGCTTCTAACTTTCACTCTGTTGTCGTCCTTACAAAATTCCTGACTCTTGCTTATTCCTGGAACCAATCTTCTCCATCCCATTTTGTCCAGCAAATCTCTGTCTTCTTGAGAAAGTTGAATGCTGTAGGTTTTAGTGCCATGATTGATGGATAACAGTCGCTGCATCTTCGTCTGGAGAACAAGTCCTTTGCTAGTAGGGGATCGAGTAGGCATGACTCTGAAACCATGATCTCTATATCTTACTAAGTTTATCAAACGATGTAGCCATGTTACCATTTCGAGTATGCAATTTTCGGTCTTCTGTTTATCGGCATGATAAAGTGTTTGGAGGCGAATTAGGACATTCTGTGTTGTCGTCTTCTTCCCAAATTCATTTCTATCAAAAGAACAGATACAGTTAAGATCAGAAACTTGAATATTCAATAAATTCAGAGAGAGAGAGAGAGATCAACTAACCCAGTGTTTGCCCATTCTCCAACCCACCCAAAGCCTTGATGTGCTCTGCAGTCAATTGCATCAAAATCAGAAAACTTGTATATAAAAGAGAATAGTAGTAAATTTTCAAGGGAGAAAAATGATTTAGATATAGTAAGGATAGACAAACCATAAACACTGTGACTCAATGTACTTACTTGGTTGTGTTGGTAGCAATGGGTACAAGCCAATGGAGAGTCTTTTCCATTTCAGCTTTCACCTGAGCTACTGTGAGCTGTAATGGAACATGATAGGAAGCAATTAGCAAATGCATGCACAAGCAAACCACAAGGATGAGGAAGCAGTTCCTCGAGCTCCATTACAAAAGGCAGATAAAATATCATAAAAGCAGACATACCTCTTCCTTAGTGCTGACTGATTGTAGTTGGGAACGTAGAGCTGTCTTAACAGAGGTTGGCAACCCATGGTATAAATTGTCCCTTGTATTAGGAGGAAGGGAAGTGGGGCGAGATGCCTAATAACATGTAAATTTTCAGTTGTAAGAAATGATATTAAAAAAAAAAAAAAATCCAACTATTAAATATATGAGAAAAAAAGAAAAGATATAGTAAACTTACAATGTTATCAATCTGGTTGATAATGTTAGCATAGTGCAGTGCAAGGCCAGCTGCACCTAGTCTTTGAGCATTCTTGCCAGGTTCCTCATTAGTCAATCTGACACCTAGAATTAGTTAACAACTCTGTAAGCATTTATCATTTACCATTGCCAGGATCCTTATTGTGCATGATCGATGCACAGAAAGCAAGTTCACATAAATTGGGAATTGACCAAATCATAAGGGACAGAACTCATACCACTGTTTCCAAATGCTTCTAAGATAGCTCGGTGTAAGTAGGTAACTATATCAACAAGCTTCTCCATGATCTGTAGATTGCAAGGTCAAGTTAGAAGAAAGTTCAATCATTTGAGTTACAGCAATAAATTCTGTCATCTCTGATGAAGGTAGAGCATTAATCTTAACTGTTCCTTAATGATCTACAGTAGGTTCCATCCTAAATCATAAGTTATTTAATGCTAATTTTCGTATACTCTACAGAAATATTATTGAAATCAGTCAAGGAAGTACCATCCTCAGCATGCTATGAATAGCAACAAAATTTATTAATAGAAGAACAAAGGGTTTGTAAAACTATTAATGACATTTAAATAACAATGCACTAATGCAATCAACTATCCAGAAATAATGGTGTATATTTTCAGCAGATATAACTGGTGGCTCATAGGTAATAAGATGTACCTCCTCTAAACTTTTAGACCAAAGAGATTTCTTTTTCAAACTCCTTACAAGCTTTCTTTGTTGTTTTAGCTCAGATTGTAAAATTGTGATACTCTCTCCTACAATTACAAAGAAAACAGCTGGTTAATAATGTAGCTGCTCCATTATGGTTAGAAGGCATCAAGCAGATATTGGACATGAAGCAGAGTAGAAGGAAGAAAAGACACAACTCCAGAACAACAGAATAACATAACGCCGCTAAAGCTCAAAACCCAAATCCACGTCATAGAAATTTGTATAAAGTCATTTCAGATGTTGCCGATCAAATGCAAATGCACGAACCTATCTCATTGGCACACATTTATTTGAAAAATCATGGAGAGAGAAAAAAACTTGTCCGTGCCAAACCTTTTTTGGGAAGATGTAAAGACTCTACTTCTTCAAGTTTCTGCTGATAATCTTGTTCAAATCTGTCCAAAGCATGCAATTCATGATATAGTTCCTGCACAAGGTGACCAAGAATTAATATGTTAGAAAATTTTTCAGGAACCAAACTACATTCTAACATGTAACTGTAAAATAAATGCAACGTGAAGTATATTAAAGCATAACATTTCCTTCAATGATCTATGGATCCGAATGGCCTTAAAACATTTGGTGATGCTTTTTCTTATAATTAGATACTTCAATAATGAATAATTCAGTATTATTATGCAACAGTCACAGTATATCACAGTTCTCAGTTAACAGGCATTACTTCAATGACAAACGCAGCAGAAATAGTGATCAAATGCAAACATCTGATTATTCAGAGATAAACTTACAGAAGTATGCTGGGCCAGAGTAGTCAACTCTTGCATTGTTCTTTCTGCATCTTCTCTAGTTTGTTTATCAGCAGAATAATCTGAATCCAATCTGAAGTATTACAACCATTCCAAGAGAGAGAATTTCTTTGTCAGCAAACATCAGTGAGGTAATTAGGGAATATTTCATCATAAAAGTTGTACCTTACTTTGTAAAATATCGATCCAGGTTGTGCCATTGTGGGTCCTTACATCGATCTCCAAACCGAATTACTTCCCGTGCAAATACATCAAATTCCTCCCTACAAGAATATAACAGAATTTCATGTATGTCAATTATGATCGACATAAAAGACAAGTCAAACTAATTGTAATCAGCAGTAACCTTTTGTCAGCAGCAGCAATAATAAGTAACTCTTTCATATCTGAGGAAACCAATTGCTGTACCCCTTCCGAGTGCAATATCTCTTTTTTCAGGAACTGAACATTTTCTTCTGAAAGTGATTCAAACAAGTTTGCACCTTTGGCTATTGTATTGGCTACTTCAAATGCCAATATTAATATTCTGTTCCCTCTAGAAGCAATGCCAGAGACAAAGCCACTCCGGGCATTCAAATTTGACATGCTACTTCCAAGAGTATCTAAAACTTCTACTGCTTTTTCAAGGCTCACCGTGCCAGCTTTTCCAATAAATGAACTCTTCTGGCCATCCTACAAAAAGAAAAGCACAATAAAGGTCAACAAATGCCAGAACCAGGATCCTAAAAATGGATGTCCATACATCACATGTAGAGAAGTCTCTTCCACTATCACAATAAAGTTTGGGTTCATTAGTTTTAACGTTTTAAACAACACCAATGCTGCACATGGATAGACATACGTGAGAACAATGATCCCTAGGCTTAAGACTGAGGAACATGATAAGAAACATGCATTCTAGTACAGACAATTCTGATATGCATTTTTCTCTTAAGTTTTGAACTACCGAATCTTGGTGTTGGCGAAGGAAAAGATAGTTCTTTACTTTTTTTCAGTCTCGTACAATTTTATGTAGTTAGGATTTCTTTAAACATGTCAAACGTCTGTGCTAGATCATTTTGCGTACAAAAACATCTTGCAGGCCTCACTGCAAGCCATTGAGAAAATCAGAACCAACGCTAGCAATTCCACTTCCATACATCATCTAATGGACAAACTTCCTATTGAATAGCTAGCTAAATCCTTTTGAAATTACATCAGAATCCTTATTTGCATCTTCCTCCCTACATGCAAGTCAGTCCCTCCTTTTTGCTGCCTACATAGGAAAATCACCACAACCTATGAATTATACAGAAGGAAGATTTGGCAACACATTCAGTTTGTGCGTCTATTATTCAGTCATACAAAGCCTCTTCTGTAGCAAAACCTATCAGAATACATTCCAGGACCTTAGCCTCTCACCACTTTTAATGAAATGGGTTTTGCTTACCGTTGGATGCAGCCACGATATGATAATCACAAAGATCTAAGGGGGAGATATACTTAAAAGTTCAATATAACAATGTAGCAGCAGAAATACAAGGAGATCTCATGTAGCAGTTTCAACTTCGATCATATGCATGCAAAATATTCAATGAACCATCAGCTTATTATCTATTACCCGGCAACAACCACTATCATCATTCTGCTAACACTGTTGCTTTTGGGAATCCAGAAATAAGAAGCATTAATTTGGAATCCAGAAATCCAATTTCTCTTTTCAGCGAAACTTGTTTCATGAATAATGGATTGATCTCGTTGTCCATCCATTGTGATTTAACAATAACAAAACTAATCCTAAACATAAAAACCATATTGATAATCGCAAAATATAACCAACAAACGACGTATCATCAAACCAAACATACCTTGGGAGCCCCTCCTCTAGCAGGTGTTGACGGCTTAAGCTCTCTTGAGAAGGACAAAAACAGCTCACCAGAATTATACCTCTGCCGTGTATTCATCTTGCCAAAATCGTCCCCATTACTAGTATAAGAATGGGAATTCTCTTTATGCTTGGTTAAGCTCTTTACTGACTTCAGCTTCCCAGAAAACCCTGAATTTTTCTCTGCAACTTTGCCATTTTTTCTTTTTGTCCCTCCAGAGCAAACCCCTCCCATCCTTCTTGTAAATGCGTTTCACTCCAAATGATGTCCGAATCAAAACAAACCCTTGCAAAGTATAATATAAAACACTTTTGAGTCCAACAATAAAAACCCAGAACAGAAAATGAATTTCCAGACAACAAACAGTAGCATACCTGATTAAAGAGAATAAATTTAGAAGGGGATAAGGAAGAAACCGAATAAAAGATTTCAACGGCGAGGACAAAGTCAGAGCACTTACAGTAGCAAGGAAAGTGCAGAGAGATACAATAATAATGATAAAGGAAGGAGTTTGGTAATGATAAATTATGGTGCGTGAATTTAGAAAATGAAGAACGCGTATAACTTGTGGCAGCAATATAAATATGGTGGATGTATTTTGACTAAAGAAATACCAGACAAATGCCAAATGAAAGAAGGAAACCGTAAGGATTGACTAATGACTATTCTTTGTATAAGATTTTTTTTGGAGTGTAATGTAAAGATATGAATGCTGGGAAGGTTGGGGAGGGGACAATTGAAGTCACCCCGCCCACCTTGTCCGAGTTGTTGTTTTATCTGACTCAGAAGTCTTTCTTCTTCGATATCGATTTCCCGTTTTACATCTTTTCCCCCAGATTACCAAGATAATAATTAGGATAATATATTAATATTGGCATATACTACTGATATATAAGTAATTAAGTATATATTTAGTTCCTTTCAAAGAAAGAAAAAAAAAAAAAAAAAACATCCTTTTCCCCCAGATTACCCAAGATATATAATTAGGATAATATATTAATATTGGCATATACTACGATATACTAAGTAATTAAGTATAGTATTATTCTTTCAAAGACAGAAAAAAAAAAAAAAAATATATATATAGTATATTTTTAATTTCTCTCTCTTTGTAAAAAAATAAGAGTTAATAATGGTTTTTGACTTTTAACTGCATCTTAATCAGGCAATTATTTTTATTAAGTTTTATACAATTCTTTTCATTTGGTTTAGTTTAAGTCATTGATGCATTTGACTTTGATTAAAAATAATGATACAAATTTAACTTGTTGCTGTATTAGAATTTAAAAGATCATTTTTATGCAAAAAATAAAAGGACTTTAAATAAATGTTTGGCTAAAAAGTTGATGGGATACATTTTTTTTTTTTTTTTTTTTTTGGTTAATTCAAAATCAATTCATTGTTGTTTTTTTTTTTTTTTTTTTGAATTCAAAATAATTCATTGTTGTAAACTAGCAAATGGCAAGTATTATGCAGTACCTAATAACAATATCTTCTTGGTGGGTACCATAATATTCGTTTAATCATGTAATCACATGTTTTGTTTTTTCTTAATTTAATAAATAATACTTTTCTAGAAAATAATAAATAATATTAATTTTGCATATAAAAAATTAAAAATTTAGATTGGATTATAATTATTTTGGACCAGTTCAAAGTTTTGTTGTGCTTTTTCAGTAGCTTTCATGGATTTTTCTTTTGCTGTCTTTCCTTGTAGAGTTTTCTATACTCTAAGAAAACAAGTATATCCACCTTATATGACTAATAATTTTTTTTAATCAGTCAAACTTGCAAACATCAACTATGACCACTTTGTAATTTGACTTTAATGGTACTTTTGTTATTTCCTTTTTAATCCTTCAATTGTATTTGTATCAATTGTAATATATCTAATAAAGTATTTCCAACTATAACAAATGCCTAAACGCAGGAATTTATAACTGCATCTGTCCATTTAAATGCATGTAATCACATGAATTTATAATTGATGGCTATTACCGACTTAGTAAGAAAAATCAAATTCCGTGAGATGGGTCTTTTTCATTGATGGTCCCAGTCCAAATATACTATTCCTACGTGTGTTCACATCAACCAATCGCTGCGTTACACATTTTCTGCCAAGCTTCTAAATTTTACCCTAACAGTTGACTTTTCTCCTTCAACGCTCAATACACGTATGTTAAACAAATCCACAAACGTAAATCTTTGCATATGCGGTAAAGAAGTAAAAAATCTTCATTTGGATGTGGACTATGTAAGGATCTTTATGGCAATCTTCTTGTCAAAATTTTTTTTTTTCCCATAAAACAGAAAGTCAAAACTACATTACAGCTTGTGATTGAGGAAAAAGAAATTTTCCAATCCAAGAAAAGAAAGACTTGCCCAATACAAAATACATAACAATAACATTATTGGATGATTTTATTTAATTATATTTTTGCTGCCATGCGTGTATCAGTATCCATATTGGAAGAGATATACAACAGCAAGGTCATGGAAGTAAGAGAAGAGCTTGATTCAAGAAAGTTGGCCACAATCAGCAACCACAACGGGCTTGGAGGTCCTTCCAGAGGAAGAACCAACCTTCTCAATGGCCTTCACAACATCCATCCCTTCCACAATTCTGCCAAACACCACGTGCTTCCCATCAAGCCATTCTGTCTTCGCTGTACATATGAAAAACTGCGATCCGTTAGTCCCAGGCCCCGCATTTGCCATCGACAACACACCTGGCCCTGTGTGTTTCTTAATAAAGTTTTCATCCGCGAACTTTGCTCCGTAGATAGATTCCCCTCCCGTTCCGTTTCCGGCTGTGAAATCGCCGCCTTGGCACATGAATCCAGGGATCACTCTGTGGAAAGTCGATCCTTTGTAGTGTAAAGGCTTGCGGCTGCGTCCAATTCCTTTCTCTCCTGTGCACAGAGCCCTGAAATTCTCAGCCGTTCGCGGTGTTGTGTCCGCGAATAGCTCCATCACGATCCGGCCGGCAGGAGCACCGCCGATCGTCATATCGAAGTAGACCTTAGGGTTTGCCATTGCAGAAAATCGCTAAGGCTCTACTCTGAGGATTGAGTCAATAGAATGAGTGACTCCGAGGGGAGCGAGGTTCCTTTCATAGCAGGCGCGGCTTGGGGAATATCTTTTGACGTTTCGATCGCAGCCGTTGAAATTGGACGCGTGTCATAATCTGGCAATGGTATGGAAAGAGAGTTGAATTGCGACCGCGTATTGTTGACGCAAGAATCTAGCCGGAGCAGACAATTAACAAGTGAGAGACACTAAAGAATATCAATTTCATACGTAGGAATCAATCACAAACCATCTTACAGAATTTGAATTTGAACCTACAACAAACTTTTGGACCACGGCCCATTTAGTCTGAGCTGGGCTCTCAAATGACATTGAATCGTGACTGTAAACAAGTAGGCCCTAAGCCACATAATGTCAAAAAAAAAAAAAAAAAAAAAAAAAAAGCCCTAAGCCACATAATGTCAAAAAAAAAGAAAAAAAAAGAAAAAAAAAAAAAAAAAAAAAAAAAAGAAAAAAAAAGGCTCTAAGCCACATGTACATATACACCAGTGTTATTTGACATGTAATAAAGAAAACCACGTTAACATCTGCCACATCATCATACTGCAATGCTCCATTGTGACACGTGTCTTATATTAGCATGTCCGCTTTGCAAATGTCATCACACGTAAGCCTCATAGGAAGCTTAGTCACACGTGTCACAGATTGCCATGTCATTTCCGTACACGTCGTCACTTGCGTGCCACGTAGGATGCTCTGATCCATGTGTTAAATGTCGGCCACATAGGCTATTACACATCATCAAGTGCATGCCACAAACGTGTTGCATGTCAGCTATGTACACGTCATTTATCGTGTGCCACATAGGAGATTTACTACGTGTCAAGTGATGGCATTGTCAATTAGTACGCGTCATCAGCGGCACGTAGAACTGTTTCACCTGTCATGATGTACAGCATGTCAGGTTGTACACATCTCATGACCACATAGGAGCTTCTGTCCATGTTCATTTCATTGCCATGTCATATGTAGACACATCATCAACACATGTACGAAGGTGCACATGTCATCTATGTACAGGTCATCGGATACACACCACCTAGGAGGCTTCTTCAGTAGTCTTCGCCACATATGCATTTTGTTCCACGTGTCATTCTGTTTGCTTGTTAGCTTCTGCAAGTTATCATCCTGTGCCACATGGGAAGCTTGGTCATCGTGTCTTGTACTTGCTACGTCATAGGTAGCCACACCAGCAATTTCATGTCACTTTTAGCCACATCGTCATTAGCATGCCTGCCAGATCGGATTTAACGTGGCATAGGCTAATCCTATGCTTCCTCCATGTGAAGTGAAGCTATCTGTTTTGGACACATAATCAGAATTTGCAGTCCACTCTTGCCACGTGGTCTCAAGCCAGACAAGAACCAATGAGTTTCTTCCACACTAGTAAAAGGCCGCAGGTCAACGTCTGTCATTCGTCCCTCCTTCCACAAGATTCGGTTTTTGACCAAAATCTCTGCAAATTGAGCTTCGATAGATCTGCTGCGGTGATATCACAGATTTTCTTTGTTACTTTCATAAAATCTTTAATTTGTTATCCTTGCACGATCAACGGCTTCATGAGCTATTTGTGTTCCGCCAAATTTCTAACCTGAAATCGATTTTGCAGAGATGGCTTCCATTTTCCATTTCACTAATTAGGGAGTTTGGAATAGTTGAACAATGGATTTCGAAATAATTTAAATGACGATTAATACGATGGAATCCTTTGAATCGAGTCCCCTGATAATCCTGAACATGGAGCACCCAGGTGCTATCCTCCTTCATAGTAAATCTTTCAGAACAAACAAACTGCCTAGGGATGCCAAAGTTGGAAGAAACTTGCAATGTTTCTGTCTTCTATTCACAGGTTCCGCAAATGGATGTGATTTCTGGATTGAAACCTCAGAAACAGACTCCAAAAAGACATGTTATTTTATTGGATTTGCAAAAGAGGAACTTTCATATGAAGAAATTAGGTGAAAGGAGTAACCTTTGGTCTATGTCTTGGTTCCTCCGACTCCAAATGTTGATGCAATTTCAGACCGGAAGCAGATATGTTACCAGGTATATATATAAAATAAATTATAATGCTAAAGGCAACAGATTATATATATTAAAAAGAAATTAATTTCTAAATAACTTGGACCTTTGCATTTAGAGGGGCATGGCAATCAATGGTTGATCTTATACTTCTGACTATTCCTAATTATTTAGAGTTATATATTAAAATGATTACGCCAGAAGACAATGTCTTCTTCTTGTCATTTATTTTAACAGACTTATTATTATTATTTTGGAACTTTACTTAACAGACTTCAATTCCTGGCAATAAACAATCATGATATTAAACGTTGATTAATAATAATTAAATGTATCGTCCGCTGTTTGCTTTGATCATCACATGAAACAAATTGAAGCCGGCAACAGCTACTTGTATCTAATGGCCGGCTCTCTCTCTCTCTCTCTCTCTCTCTCTCTCTCTCTCTCTCCTTTTAGAGGGGCATGGCAATCAATGGTTGATCTTATACTTCTGACTATTCCTAATTATTTAGAGTTATATATTAAAATGATTACGCCAGAAGACAATGTCTTCTTCTTGTCATTTATTTTAACAGACTTATTATTATTATTTTGGAACTTTACTTAACAGACTTCAATTCCTGGCAATAAACAATCATGATATTAAACGTTGATTAATAATAATTAAATGTATCGTCCGCTGTTTGCTTTGATCATCACATGAAACAAATTGAAGCCGGCAACAGCTACTTGTATCTAATGGCCGGCTCTCTCTCTCTCTCTCTCTCTCTCTCTCTCTCTCTCTCCTATGACTTTGACGTCAAAGTAATCACAGCTTCATTGCCTTGAATCAAATTTGTGGTTCCTACTGCACTTCATACAATCTTCATTTCTGAGACTATTCTCCATATAAAGTAAGAGAGCTCTCACTGCTTATGCTTGCACTTTATTTTTTTTCTTGTTGTTAGTTTATATTTATTGGTGTAGAAAGACTAGAACATTACTCTGTATTTTTTTTTAAGGCATCAGAAGGTGCATTATTTGAAACTCCTTTTTCTCCTTATTTTTAACATCTTCATGTCTTCTGATGCATATTCAATACCTGAGTAAAATATTGATGGAGTAGTTACTTTTTTCTATTCAGTGTTTTGAAAGATGCTGCTAATGAAGTAGGACATAATTGATAAACCCTTCTGATTAATTTGATTAACTTTTATGTTTGAAGCTTTCTCAACTCTTAAATTTTCCAAGTAGGGCTGGAGTGCACAATGACAGACCTATGTAAAAGAAATGAGTTTGAAAATCTTGTGCTTACTGTTGATTTTAGTGAACTTCGTTGATTTTTATTTATTTCTTTTAATTTCAAATCCAATCAGTAACCTCTCTATGTTCTGTATTTTCATTGCCGTCTGTGTTGATTGGAGAACTGTCATCTCAGACCGACTTAAACATGGCAGGTGACTATAGGTTTGCGATGGAACGGAAGGATATTGTAAGGTTTCTAATCACTACTGTGGATAGTTTTTTACAAGATCGGTTGATCAATAAGGAGCAAAGGGCCCTGCACAAAGAACAGTGTGCTGAGAGATTAGCGGCTGAAGATGGGAGCTGTGACAAGGACACAGAGGTTCGATACTCTGATCAAGCAGTATTAGCAAATTTAGATTGGGGTATTGAAGCCCTAGAAGAAGCTATCAACACTGCTAATATAGAAACAAAGTTGGCACGACTAGATCATGCAGAGAAGATGCTGCAAGTTTGTGCCATGTTGAATTCCAACCAAAGGACAGCCGGAGTTCCCAATTTCTACCTCTCTGCTTGGGCTCACCTTAACCTTTCATATCTCTGGAAACTGCGTAACAATGTTCACAATTCAGTTTATCATGTTCTTGAGATGTTTATTATTGATCCATTCTTCTCAAGGATTGATTTTGCTCCTGAACTTTGGAAAGATTTATTTCTGCCACATATGAGCTCAATTGTTGGGTGGTATTCCGAGGCAAGGCACAGGCTGATGATGGAAGTGGTTCCTGATTCTGCTGATTTGTCATTTACGGCTGACTTGGATCAATTCTTCAATGAGTCTCTGGTCTTTTCTTTGAGGCCAGACCAAGTGGAAAAATTGCAGAAGTTGGAGCTGCTTTATGGAGAATCATTGGATGAGAACACACGGCTTTTTGCTACATACTATGAAGATTGCATGAACGTTGATTCTACCACAAGCAAAAAGATGGCTCCAATGTTGCCAATAGCAGAGCCACCAATGACTCCTCTGCATGAGGTTAGCCGATCAATTCCTGATTATGTGAAATTTGGTCCCATCTTGCCTAAGAGTGCTGGTTTTTCTCCAGTTCTTCGTTCTAAATATGATGCAAGAGAAGCAAGCAGGTTAGTGTAGATCCTGCACTAAATTTGAGATTGGTGTCTGAGCAGTAAATGAAAAATTTCATTGCTATGGATCATCATAGCATTCTTATGGTAAACGGAAGTTAGCATTCAACTTTTGGTTTTCTAATGTATAGATTTCTTACTTTGAATGTGGCCTTGAGCAGATTGAGTAGAGGTTCAACTATCTCAAATAACTTTGAAGATTCTACGTTGTGGGATCCTCAGGTACTGTTATCAAGTGTACTATATCTGGAAAGTCGCATTGCTAATAATAATCTTGATTTTGGAATTGATATACTATGAACAGGTTTTCAAAATTTAAAAAATAACCAAAGCTGTGTTCTTGGTTAATCTGTCAGGAGGCCATGCCTGAAGAGAATGAAGATGATTCTGATTGTGAACCTAATGATGCTGATTTGAATTCTGAAGATCAAAGTGATAAGTTGGTAATCCTTACCTGCAAGACAACAACCCAGAATAAGGAAATTGGCGGAAGCATAAAGTCATCTAAATCAAACAGCCAAAAGCATTCACCCACAATTTTCTCTCCTATGGATTCCCCAAGAAATCTTTTGTCCAAGATTTCTTCTTCAAATATAGATATGCATCCTAAAAAGGAATCCACACCTCTATTGCGGCTTCTGTCCGGCCATGTCACGGATTCTACAATTGCCCCCTCTGTGCCTGTTTCTCCACAGGGGAGTAATTGTTACAGCATTAGGTCACCAGACTCAGATGTTGAAGCAATAGTATGCTCCAGACTTAAGATTTTGTTCATCATTTCATTATTACAATTAAAAGTTGCATTGTTCATTTTAATACTGATGCTTTGCAATTTAGGATCTGCAAAGAAGTACCAGGAGAAACTACAGTCGGAGGTGCAGTATAAGTTATGAAAATATAAACAGCCATGTATCAGAGACTGGGTAACCTAACATAATGCCTGTTATTCTTCCAATTTTGGGATGCTGTCACACTATTGGTGCTGCCCTTTGCCCTTTGCCCTTGCACCAATGGTCACCTCATCTCAAACAAAATTCTGTTTGTTATCCATTAACAAATTTCAAATTCTTTGTATTATGCAGTTCTCTTAACGAGAGTGAGGAAGGAAGCCAGAGTTGCATTTCTCTCCCCATGTCTGATAAGTTGTCTTCTCGTTCAAGACCACCAAAAGATTTTGTTTGCCCTATCACAGGTCAGCTTTTTAATGACCCAGTTACCCTTGAAACTGGTCAGACTTATGAAAGAAAAGCAATTCAAGAATGGCTAGGAAGAGGAAATGCAACATGCCCCATTACTCGGCAAGCTCTATCTGCAAATTCACTGCCCAAAACAAATTATGTTTTGAAGAGACTCATAACATCTTGGAAAGAGCAGTACCCTGATCTTGCTCAGGAATTTTTGTACTCTGAAACACCGAGGAACTCATTCAGCTGCTCCTCCATGAAAGAAACTTCGTTCACATCGACTCCCTTGAGAACATTTGATTTTAGCAATTACAATAGCACGGATAATCATATTCATCATAGGAGCAAAAGATTTGTACGGTCAGCTGTATCTACATCCCCAACTAGTGTAATTTCCCAAGCCACTATAGAAACAATCATCAACGGCTTAAAGGCACATATTTCATGTATCTGCACTTCAGAAAACTTACAAGAATGTGAATCAGCAGTTTTAGCAATTGCAAAATTATGGAAGGACTCAAAGGGTGACCCTGCGGTTCATTCATATTTGTCGAAACCAACAATTGTAAATGGGTTTGTGGAAATACTATCAGATTCTCTGAACAGAGAAGTTCTCAGAACATCAATTTTCATTCTTTCTGAACTGTTATTTTCAGATGAGAGTGTGGGAGAGATTCTGACCGGTGTAGATTCTGATTTTGATTGCTTGGCTGCTTTGCTTAAAAATGGGCTAGCTGAAGCTGTTGTTCTTATATACCAGCTGAGGCCATCATTTGCTCAGCTTTCGGCCCACAGCTTGATACCCTCCCTTGTTAATATAATCCAGATGAAAACTGAAGATCCAGATGATCTTCAGTTAGTGATAGAGCCAAAGGATGCTGCCTTAGCGATGCTTGAGCAGATACTTACAGGAGGGGATGAAAACAGCCAGTCTGTTAATGCTGTTAGTGTTATTTCTACAAATGGAATTCCAGCATTGGTTAAGTGTTTGGATGAGGTTGAAGGAAGAAAATCTGTTATTACCATACTTCTAAGCTGCATCCTTGCTGATAAGAGTTGTCGGAACTTCATAGCAAGTAGAATCCAATTACATCCTGTTCTTGAGTTATTTCATTCTGGAAATGATAGTGTAAGAGGCATATGCATGGATTTTCTTTCAGAGTTAGTTCAGTTAAACAGGTACCATACATATCTATTTCATAGATCAAGTATTTGCTTCTGCAATCAATTTAAAATGTTTCTTATCTAAAGAGAAGGATATATATCCGAAAGAAATAAGTCTAAATACTATTTCTTTAACTTAATTTTCACCTCATAATTTTGAATTGACATTCTTGAATCTATTAAAGTCAATTTCTGACACATGCTATTGCTATTCAATTTCCATTTCCAAGTTGAAAAGGACATTACTAGTAATCATATCCCAGCTATCCTGATATGACTGCCTTAGCCTCTACTTCAAATGGAGACATAAGAAGTGCTCTTAATTTGATCTTCTTGTCATATTTCTTAGCATAATATTGAAGCATGCTTGTTCACATGCAAATGAAACAAATTCCAGGAATTTGTTTTATTTGCTTGCTTAAAACTATGAGATTCCAGCTCTGAAGTTCCATTTTTCTCATGGTTCTCAGGAGGACATTCTGCAATCAGATCTTGCAGATAATTAAAGATGAAGGATCATTCAGTACCATGCATACCTTTCTTGTGTATCTTCAAATGGCTCCCATGGAGCAGCAACCTGCCATTGCCACTCTTCTTCTGCAGCTTGATCTCTTGGTCTGCCTTGATTCCTTGTCATCATTTACAGCAAATAGCTCTCATACACAAACATCCATCTTCACCAATAGGCCATCTGACCATTGACTTATATGACTTAAATTTTCCAGGTTGAGCCACGGAAGATGAGCATTTATAGGGAAGAAGCTGTGGAAACACTTATTGAAGCACTTCAAAAAAAGGACTTTTCTAATTCCCAAATGATGGCTCTAGATGCTTTATTATCTCTTTCTGGACGTCTCACTTCGTCTGGGAAGTCTTATATGGAAGCCTGGCTACTTAATATTGTAGGATTTAGTCAACCTTACAATGCTCTGATGAAGGCAGAGGGACTGAAGAAGCGAGAAAATAATTTGCTGGAAACAATGGTCTGCATTATATTGGTTATGTTGAACTCTGTAACATTTAATTTTAATGCATTCCTAAATCTTAGATATTATCTCTATACAGGAAGACGAAGAGAAAGCTGCAAGTTCTTGGGAGAAAAAGGTAGCTTTTGTACTTTGCAATCACGAAAAAGGTTCTATTTTTAAAGCTTTGGAGGAATGTTTCAAGAGTAACTCCTTGGAGATGGCAAAATCATGCCTTGTCATTTCCACATGGCTTACATACATGCTTTCAGTTCTTCCTGATACCGGTGTAAAAGAAGTTGCTCGTAAGTCCTTGCTTGATGAATTTATAGATGTCCTCCAATCATCGAGAAACATGGAAGAGAAGATTATGGCGACCCTTGCGTTGAAAACTTTTGTTAGTGACCCAGGTAAGAATGCAGAAGAAACAAAATGAGGTTCAGAATGTATCCATACTAATAATCACTGACCAAACTTGTGTAATAATCTGAAGCTGCACTTGAGGAGATGGGAAAGTATGCCAAATGCATCTATAAAACCTTGAGAAAGTTTAAGAGAACCTCCCCTGTGATTACTGATGTACTGAAATCGTTGATGAACCTGTCCTCTGTCAATGCAGTAAGTGCGAAGCACTGTTGTTCTTTCTTTCTTATATATATATGTATATAGGTATGTCGATGAGCTTACACGTCTGGATATTCTGTAATTTAGACAGAGTTGTGGCATTGTACTGAAGTGGTCGAGTTGGAATCATCTGCAAATGGTGAAGTTCTGTCATTGCTTCATCTGAAAGGCCGTGTTTTAAGCGGCCATTCTGATGGAACCATAAAGGTGCTAATCTATCTCTGCCGCCTATCTTCTGCATCTCAGACATACTCCAATGCAATTAGCTTTTGCATAAGTATATACATGGTATTTATTAAGTGACTGTGTGTTACTAATGGCTTAATTTAGGTGTGGGATGCTGGGAAGAGGGGTTTAAGGTTAATTCATGAAGTTCGTGAACACACAAAAGCTGTCACATGCCTTTATGTTCCATCTTCCGGTGATAAATTGTACAGCGGTTCCTTAGACAAAACGGTCCGGGTAAGTCACCTGATCATATGAGAAACATCTAATATTTTTCAAGGAAAACAAAATAGGTTGTCCTCCTGACACTATGATTAACTATTCATGGTACTTGACAGGAGTTTTTCCTCTTCATTTGCTTATCTGCAGGTCTGGGCAATCAAGCCTGAAGAAATTCACTGTGTTCAAGTTCATGATGTGAAAGAGGTAGTGTATGAGTTGACAGCTAATGCTAAAGTCGCATGCTTTATCTCTCAGGGAACAGGAGTTAAGGCAAGTTCTGCTTTTGTTACATTTGAATAACTGAAAATGAAAAAAGAATGCCTTCAAAAGAACAAATGGCATTTTTTATCAGAACTCAGAACAAGTTCTGATGAAAATTGTGTCAACACAGGTATACAATTGGTCTGGGGTTCCAAAGCATGTAACCTTCAACAAAACTGTGAAGTGCCTTGCTATGACAGGGGATAAATTATATTGTGGTTGCTCTGGCTACAGTATCCAGGTAAACATTCTCCTTTATATCCAGTGGATTTAGACGAACTTTAGTTTGTTTATGAGCCTGCAAATGTTTTAAAATTGATTTAAAAGAAAATCCACAGGAGGTGGATTTGTGCAAATTGACATCAACCACGTTCTATTCTGGTACAAGAAAATTGCTGGGGAAACAAATTATACATTCCCTACATATTCATGATGGTCTTCTCTTGGCTGGTGGCTCGGCAATTGATGGCACAGCAGGCAAGGTAAAAGCAGCATCCATTTTCTCATTGTTTATGGCATTTCAGGAGATGGAATTACTTTTCATTTCTGATTTTGTTTTCATGTGGCAGGTATTTTCTCACTCCACAAAAGCAGTAGTGGGATCATTTTCAACAGGAATGGACATCCTGCGTATTGTTGCCAACAATGACTTCATATTCACAGCCACAAAATGTGGGGCGATTGAGGTTTGGTTAAAAGAAAGAGTAACAAGAGTTGCCTCCATCAAGGTGACTGGTGGCAGCCATTCAAAAATGACATCTTTAACATCTGATATGGATGGAGGAATGCTGTATGCTGGTTATTCTGATGGCAAGATTCAGGTTAAGCAAACATTCTACCGTACCATCTTTTATGTCATTTTCCATTATATGAACTCATTTTTTCCGGTATATGGTTGCAGGCTTGGGCAATGGACTGAAGAATCCTGCAAAAGTTCCATTTGATGTAAATAAAGTTCATTTACAGAGCGACGAATCCTGTTAACTTGTTAAAATCTCTTTACTTGTCATCATATTTTGTCCAAGGCTTATTTGGTTATTAAAATTCTCATCCACTGTCCATTTTCTATAGTTTTACAATGGAGTCTCCTGATTAGATCCCAGTATTATTTAACAAAAATACTGTTGAAAATTCAATGTTGGATTTACTAGAGGCAACCGGAACGAAAAGGCAACTTATATTTGTTAGACACGATCAGCAAAGTGACACCCTTCGGCGATTAATCAGAGCTCCACAATTTCTCACCCCTCTTTTTCAGCGTAGGTAGAATCTTTCACGTGTAAAAAAAAGACAAGCATTTGAAATATCTATAAGCAAAAATATTAATTGAGCCATTTGGTTTTCAGGTCAATATATATATATATATAATTTCAAACTTTTGATCATGGTGGTCGTTCCATCACCATAACTGTAACAAAGAAAAACAAAGTAAAAAGAAAAACAAGGGGTCAGATAGAGAAACATCAGAATATTGGATCATTGCATCAGCGGCGACACTTGACGTGTCTCTCAGACGACCGTCGTGAGAAATTTAAATCCAATTTCATCACTTGCTTTCTTAATCTCCGACTAAACAAACAAAGCGTAAATGCAATCACAAACAATACGCAGATAACAGAGAATCGTCGACAAGAAGAGAAAATTGAAAGCAGAAAACTTCACCAGCGAACCTACTCTATCGCTTAGACACACTACAAAGAATGACGATTATATAGCGCCTGGGAGATTTGCCGCTAGGGTTTGTCTCATTTTGTAATGACGATTGTGTCCCTGCCCTTTGCGACTAAGTTATTTTACTCGAGTCGCACTCGAAATCAAACGGTTTTGTACTTTATTAAAAAAACAAAAAGGGGGTAAAATGGTTGTAAACCCATTAAGTAAATGGGCCCATTAAAAATTGCCAGCTTGATGGACTTATGCAGACTTTCTGGCCGGACCTAGATGAGGCCTTGCTGCTATTGCTTAAATATTCCCGAAAGCCCGTAAATTTTTCACGCGCAGTTAATATAAATTTTAAAATAATAATTTTCACGTTTCTTCAAGATAGTTAATAAAAAATATATAAGAAAATTAAAATATTAGATAAATAAAAATAAAAAATTAAAATGACAAAAAAATTAAAATAAGAAAATTAAGTCTAAATTTATTTATTCAAACATTCATTTATTTTACTTTTTTTTACTACAACTATTTGTTTCATATTTCCTTGATTATGGAACGAGGATGAATCTTTATCTCCCATTCGCTATTTATAATGCTTCATTAAAATTTTATAATGAAATCTTAATATTTTTTTATTTTAAAAAAAATCCGACACCCATCTCATTTCAGTTCCCATTTAGAAAATTTAAAAGGCGTAGTTATTTAATTAATTTTATCCTCATTTTTTTAAGTTTTTTATTAAATAAATATTATTTTAAAAAATTATACTAATTTTTATTTTGCAGGCATGCCATTGCCATGGCTGCACATTACTCCCATTGATAGAAGTGGCAGAGAGCCGAGCTTGAATGTATTTCCCTCTCACCGGTAACCTTAATTTTGAATATTCGTTTCCGCTAGCTACGCAGATTACAAATCTCTGAGAGTCAATCGACGCATTACTGCTAAATACCAAAACGAACTGTCTATCCAGAAATTCTCTGCAACAACGATGTCGTTTGATGGATTTCCTCCGTTCATCTCTGCTCAGCTCCAGTACCTCCTCAACCACTTTCCTCACTCGATAAAGGTATCTCTCACAATTCTTATCTCTCCATCTCCTTCTTTTCAAACTTTAGCTAAAAATTGAATTGTAAGATGGATTTTGAAATTTTCAATAGTGGAATCTCACCAAAACTTACTCATCTACTGTGATTTTGATTAGTTTTGGTAAGATTCTAAACTCAATTAAATGATTTCGAATATCAATTTCATAACATTTGCATTTCCAGCTGCCATTCGAAAGAAGGGTTTCGTTCTCCAATTGAGGATTCCTAGGTTTTGATATTCTTTGCAGGTTGAGCAGGTGTGGTCGGGTAGCAAGTATTTTCCGGGAACTCTTGATCGTTTCACGTTGCTCATTCCCTATTGCCTAGATTATCTCAAGTGTTAGTACCTTTTTGATCATTTAGACTTACTTTTGATTTGGATTGTTCGGCCGTTGCAAACTCTTTTAGTTGGTTTATTGTAGGGGACATTATATACAATGTAGAATTCCCACTAGCTGCTCCAGATGTTATATTTGGACCCGAAGATGAAGATTTTCATCCATTTCATGTACTGGGAGCCGAGGGAGGAGATTCAAGGTTAGTCAAGAACAGTTTGACTGATTGGAACAACAAAGATCCAACACGGCTTTTGACTCTCATTGAGGAACTGAGGTCAGGGATTTGATTTGTTTTTTTCTTTTTAAGTTGCTATAGTTGAAAAACATGACTGTTAGCTGTGAATGAGATTTTATTTCTCTTGGGCTTTAATTTTTAGGGATAAATACATGTCCTACCAGAAGAAGCGTGTTGAAGAAGTTGATGATGATCGCTTGAAGTTTGAAATTAGCACTATTTTATCCAGGGAGGTAAAATTTTTACGCAATGCTAATGTCTTTTTTTTTTTTTCCCCAAAAAAGAATATGCAACTGCTGTTAGATGCTAATATCTTGACCTATGACTCTTAACATTACTGGTGTTCACTATCTTATTAAATGTATTCAATCCTTGTTCCTTTCTTCCTTTTTTCTGTTACCAAATCAAAAGAGGAGAAAGACTGGGGAAAAGAAACTTGGGACTTGTTACCTAGGTTTGTATTTAACATAATGCCTTATTGCAAAAAGCAGAAAGGAAATCATTGATGCTGCCTCTTCTTGTCTTAATAATTAGTATATGCTTTTTTTTTTTTTTTTATGAATTTAACTCTATATCAAATACTTGCTCCACTTTTTTTTTTTTTTTCTTTTTAAATCAAATATCTGTCCTGAATACTATTGTTGTAAATAATACTTGATTTTTCATTCTGGAGTGTTTACATTAGTCATTTTCTAACTATTGGAATTTTGGCTTATTAATGGTTGCTTTTAGTTACTGTGCTAAAGAAAATAGGCTTCTGCACTCTTTTTATGCATAGAGTTCTCATTTTTTTTAAACTACCCATTTATGTATCTGAGAGTCAAATATTGTAACAAATAGTTAATTTTTCTAGTGGCTTTGGAATGAGCTGTTCAGAGCATAACAATTTGTTTTTACTAGGTCAGTTTTGATTATATGAATCTTCATCACGTAATGTGTTTTGGTTTCCATCACTATGATTTGCTTCTTTGGTGTCTTTCTTTTCATGCTGTTAGTCTTTATGGCACAACTTAGTGAGGAGTTGGTCCAGTTGGATTGAGATATTGTATTTTGTTGTTTTCATGTGTTATTCTATGGCGTTTAATTCCCATCACAAATGGAGTGTTTACATTATTGCTTTAATTCTCCCCGTCTCACTGGAACTTCAATCATTGTGTTGTAGGGGATTGAAATGCATATGAGCACAGGTGCTGAAAAGGTATTGTTTAAAACAAACGTATTTACATTTCTTTTTCTCTAGTGTACTAGCTGATGAGTTATTATTCTATTTACTTTGGTAGGTTTTAACTGTGTCTTCGGTTTAATGCCTTTGAATTTTAGTGTAGCTAGAGGAGGTTAAATTTACAGTTCCTCTAATGGACATGAATATAAATAAAATGGTACTTGCATGTCCTTGGAGACATCCACAAAAGATATACTTACAGGTCGTATCAACCTTCTCTTACCTTTGTTTTACATTTTCTGTATACTTTTACCTTCTTCAATTGTTTTACGTGGATTTTGTGGTGTTCAGGTCGTATATCCTGTTGGTAGGAAGTATGTATCTGCTCCTTCAGCACCTCGTCTGAAATTAATGGCTACTTCTGAATTGAAATCTCTATTTTCCATTGATGATGTCAAACTTCCTCCATGGCTGGATGGAATGTGAGCTAGACGTTGTTTTGCCTTTAGATATTGCCTGTCCTGATAGTACTTTCTTGTATATGAAGATTTGCAACTCATATTGATGATAACATCTTTTGTGCATTTCCATCTGAAAAAGGTGCCTGGCTGAATATCTTCCTCATCTAGAAGAACTCCTTCAGAGACAGGTTTGCTAATTTCTTCATATGGTGATGCCTTTTTTAATATATAGTTCATTACGTATTCATGCAAAAGGAAGTTTCTTTTTGCTCTATAGGTCTCAGAGGCAGTTTCATCAATTGATGTGAGGCGGCGATTTATTGAGGCATTAGCCCCACTATTAGGAAGGCCGCTAGAAGCTGATCCGGTATACCTGCTTGGGTGCTTTCTATAGAAACAATCATCTAAGCTGGGCTGGCATTATTCATCATTGCATTTTCTTGCAGGTTTTTTGCAGAAAAGCTACATTTCTTGCTACTTCTGGACCATTTACATTCCTGGTACCATGTGATTTTCACTGCAGCTTATAATTTTTGCATGTCAAATGAAGTCGATTATGAAATTTTCAAGATTTCCTTATTGCAGTGCTGTTAAAGTTGGCTAAATATGGTTTGATTTATATCACATATGTTGTGACTTAAAAGTAGCATACATTTGGTGGTGTTATTTTAAGAATGATATTATAAACTAATTACATGAAATATTCATCAATGAATGGTACAGCTTTTGCTCAGCATTTTTTGGTAATAATTTTGGGTGTGGAGGCAGATTGATGTAAGACACTGTGAGCAATAGCAAACATTGACTGGCGGTCCCACTTTCTGTAATTGGAGAAAGCACTATTGTGGGGAAGGTGGAAGGTGGAAGTTGCAAAACATGAACATGCAAAGGGGTCTTGCCTTTTGAGACTTCTTAAAGTGGATCAGAATATTGATTTGGCTGGAGCTCGAGTTAGGCATGGCCATATTGCGGTTCCGGGAACCGGAACCGTCGGTTCGAACCGGCCCGGAACCGCAACCGGAACCGGTGAGAACCGGAACCGGTGATGTAAGACACTGTGAGCTAATAGCAAACATTGGACTGGCGTCCCACTTTCTGTAATTGGAAGAAAAGCACTATTGTGGGGAAAGGTGGAAGGGTGGAAGTTGCAAAACATGAACATTGCAAAGGGGTCTTGCCTTTTTGAGACTTTCTAAAGTGGATTCAGAATATTGATTTTGGCTGGAGCTCGAGTTAGGCATGCCATATTTGCGGTTCCGGGACAACGGAAAACCGTCGGTTTCGAACCGGCCCGGAACCGCAACCGGAACCAGAACCGGATACCTACAACGGAACGGAACCCGGAAATCCGGTCGGTCCTCGTTCCAGCAAATTGTGGAACCAAACCTCGCCATAGAACCTTCGAACCGGAATGGAACCGCCGGCCCTCCCCTGCCGTCCCTGCAACCGTGCTCGGTTCTAGCCGTTGAACCAATTTTTTTTTTTTTTTAAATGTGTTAAATGTTTCTTAACAATCATATATCATTTTATGTTCAAACTTAATTATTTTAATAATAATAAATCCAATTTTTCAAATTTTTTTAATATATTTAAATAATCTATGTCAAACTTTAATTTAAAATAAAAAATAATTTTCTAGCTTCTAAATTTTTTTTTATAAATTCCTCTCTTGGTTTCTTTAAAAATTTGAAATTTTTTTAGGTATAAAATTTTTTATTTTTCAAATATTTTTTTTTTAGTTGGTTTTTCCTGATATTAAATTACGTTAAAAATTTTTTTATGTTTAATATATTATTAACTTTGGTAATTCATAATTTATAAATTTTCAAATTTATTACGCCCAAAAACTTCCAATCTCGGATACCGTCTTGGGTTTGTTAATCGGATCGAACCGAACCCGGATACCGTTGAACCTACTGGTTCCCTAATACTGGAACCTCGGTATATATTTTCGTCCAATATCGGTGTTCTCTCTTTTTGGTCCTCCCGGTTCCAGGCTTCTGAACCGGAACCCGCCGGTTCCGGAATATCTCCGGAACTCGTGTCCTTGGTTCTCGTTTTAAACTGTGGCTCCTATGCCTTTATGCTTCGATGTGTTGTATTATTTAATTTTGTTGTCTCTTGGTTATGGTTCAGTGGCGTTAAAACTCTTTAATTGATTTGTTGTTATCTACATCAAGTGAATTTTTTATAGTGGATATTCTCTTTTAATTTGATAGTTGTTTCTATGTAGGTCAATTATTAGGATGTTGAAAAAATATATAAACATGGTGAAATAATATAGATGGTGCTCTGGTTATATTGTGTCTTTCTAGTTGTTATATTGATGATATATATTATTAAATCCTATTTTCTTTTTCCCTATTAATCTTAAAGTTGGATATTTTTTTTTCTTTTTTCTTTTTTTCTCTTTTGCTCTCAATTAAAGATCTCTTTTATTTACTTTTTTTTTTTTTTTTGTGTGTTGATTATTTTGTTTTGTGGGACCATTGGCTTTCTCTCTCTGGCTAATTAGATTTTTGAATTCTTTAATAATACTGCAGTGTTTGCATCTTTTCCTGTCAACCCAGTTTTTTCCAAAACAACAGTCCATTTCTGCTTTTATGCTTCTAATTGTTTACTCATGGTGTGGGTTATTTTTCTTTTTTCTTTTCTTTTAGTGTAATGTTGTTTTTGTTTTTGGTGCATTTTCTCTCCATTTTATCTGCTCATACAACCATTCAAGAACTCAAATATCAATCATTATTGGAAACTGGCTGGATCAGCTTTTCTGGAACCGGAACCGCCGGTTCCGGAACCGGAACCGCCGGTTCCGGAACCGTGGCCATGCCTAGCTCGAGTGGTGATTATTAATTTTTGTTGTCCTGGTTATGGGCAGCGTAAAACTTTAAGATTGTTGTGAACACAAGGAATTTTATAGGATCTTTTCCAAATGAAGTGTCCATGTAGGCAAAAGATTGGAAAAAAAAAAAGGGAAAAAAGAGGGGCTGGTTAATGTCTTTCAGTGTTATTGATGATATTATTATTAAATCCATTTTCTTTTTCCCTATAATCTTAAAGTTGAGTATTTTTTTTTCTTTTTTCTTTTTTCTCTTTTGCAAAAGACTTTATTACTTTTTTTTTTTTTGGCTGAATTTGTTTGGGGAAATTGGCTTTTTCTCTCTCTGGCTAAAGTTGTGAATTCCTAAAACTGCAGGTGCATCTTTTCCTGTCAACCCAGTTTCCAAAACAACAGCCATCGCTGATGCTTCAAAGTACTCAGGTGGATTTCTTTTTTCTTTAGTGTAATGTTGTGTGGCATTTCTCTCCATTTATGCATACACCATCAAGAATACAAATATCAATCATTATTGGAAACTGGCTGGATCAATTGTTCAGATTCTTTTATGTGTATATATAGTTCTTTTGATGTTCTATGCTTTGTCAGGAAAAGAGGTTGACAAATTGTAAAGTTAATAAATTATAAATTTTCATCTAAAATCATCTGCTGCTTTGAGATCACTGAAAATAGGTAAAATCAACTGTTTTGCCAGAGGGATATCCAAGTGGTATATCAGAATCCTGCTTCTAGTGTTCAATTTTATGTCATTTGGTTTGCTGGTGATTGATTCACTGACATAGTCTGGTGTACTGTCAATGCCCAATTGACCTAGATTGCCTATTGTGCCGGTTAAGGCTTGTTATATTGCTAGAAATCATCTGTTTGATGTTACTGAGGCAGCGAAGCTTTTATTGATCTATTTTTATTGCTCGTTTTTATAGCATTTCAATGCTCATGGATCACCTGCCAAGTCCGCTCTTCTGACTGATTATCCATGGAGTCCAAGATGGGAAGTATCTCAAATGGCAGAGCGAGTCTTGTGAGTCCAAATTATTTTTAGCTCCTAATATTTGTTTTTGCTTTGAAATCATAGCTCCCAATCAACTCCTTATGCTTTTGTTCGCTCAATATTTGATTAGTGACTTTCTCGCGGAGGAGTCCCTAAACTTCAAAAAGTACTGCAACGAATCTCAAGTTCAACACTAGAGCAGGAATTTTAATTGGCTGTAATTGGACCCTACATCATCCAAGTCGTGTAATCCTTGCCTCATCGCAACTTTTTGTTGTTACTCTTCTATGTCATTGTGAATTGGTGCTTGCTGCCCTTTGTGTTGTAATCAGTTTAATGCCTGATGACATTTTTTACTATACAAGTTTATTTTATGTTATTACAATTGAATTATTGGGTCTATTATAAATTTAGGGACCTCACAAATCATGTGAAGTGTGGAAATGAAAGAGGACTCGCAGTAACTGTGTTTTCAAAAAAGGAGTCGGAAAATTTTCAGATTCTCTTGGTAATACAGAATTACAGATGATGAAGGTATACTGACACCATATATACAAGTAATGGCATATGCTAAAAATATTGATGATATATATTAATTAAATAATTATAATATAATAAAAAATGATTCAAAATATCAAAAAACTCGGATTAATCAGGTCTGTAAGAGTTGATCAGTTCAACCAAGGATCAGTGGGTCCAATTCGGTTCTTTTTTTCAATGGTTCAAAAGCACAACTGATTGATTTTAATCCAGTCCACCGATTCCCTGGGTTCTCCGTATTTGTACGCGTGGAACTATCATTTTCGTGCGGCGCCAATACGTAAAAGTATATAAACAGTTACTTCCTTTTAGTAGATTTAATACACACCGACAGACAGACCCAGAGTAATAAAAGATCCCATTATATCCACAGAGCACAGCGAAGCGAGCATGGCGGGTCCCACCGTCTTAACGTGAGCGCCCCTCTTCTAGGCAGTTAGTGGCGTGCTTTCTCTCTCTCTCTCTCCCTCTCTCTCTCTCTCTCTCTCTGTATACACTTCAAAATATCCCTCCATCTATTTTTACCATCTTGGCCTCCGAATCTCCCTCCACCTCTTTCTCCGCTCTCTTCATATACCCTCTCTCTCTCTTTGGCCAACTCTCTCTCTTAACAAATCGATCAATTCGCTCCTCAAATCTAAATCTAGTTCAAAATGAGAGAGATCTTACACGTTCAGGGAGGCCAATGCGGTAACCAGATTGGTTCCAAATTCTGGGAAGTTATTTGCGACGAGCATGGAGTGGATCCTACCGGAAGGTACAGCGGAGATGGCTCGTCGGATCTCCAACTTGAGAGGATCAATGTCTATTACAATGAAGCTTCCGGTGGAAGGTATGTTCCCAGGGCGGTTCTAATGGATCTTGAGCCTGGCACCATGGACAGTATCAGATCCGGTCCTTATGGACAGATCTTCAGGCCCGATAACTTTGTCTTTGGGCAGTCCGGTGCTGGTAATAATTGGGCCAAAGGTCATTATACTGAGGGAGCCGAGTTGATCGATGCTGTTCTCGATGTTGTTCGCAAGGAGGCTGAGAATTGTGATTGCTTGCAAGGTGATTTCCTTTTCTTTCCCATCTAATAAAGCACTCATTCATTGATTTCATGAAATTAGTTGGTCCTTACATTAGATCTCATTCTCATTTTGGCCAAAATCCTTTGCCATATGAAGTAAGTAAGGATCACTGTTCATGATTTGCGAAAATGCAAATCATTCTGTCAAGTCTCCTATTACCTTTAGAATTTTCCTTTTTCATATTATTATAAATGATGATTTTTTTTGTTCATGTGGTTTATAACTTGTAAGGTGCTAGATTCTTCTCTTTTCGTTCTTTTATTATAAGAACTTGATTGTAGCCATTACTCTGAATCTGAGGTGCTTTCTTTTGCGAGATTCATATAATTTGAAATATTGTCTTACAGATTACCAGACATTTTTCCTATAATTATTACTCTCCTTTTTTTTTTATCTTTTTCTTGCTGTCATAGTTGTTGAACTTTACCTTTTTAGCGACTCCCAGTGTTGAAGTTGAGGTGTCACTTTCATATGCTTCTTTTCGAGCTAATTTTACGCTTTGTGAAATCCGCCAAAACTATTAACGATGAAATCTTCCTTAATTATCCTTGATTTTTTAAATATAGTCTCTGAATCACATATGATAAGGCCGGATTTTACAAGTAGGCCCCCTTTTTTGTCTGGTGTGGAGGCAAAATACATCAAATAGTATTTTTTTATTTATTTATAATCAGACCTAATAATATCTCATGATGTTTGCCATATCATCATCCCTGATTGATGGGCTGAGGGCCCAACATTACAACCACACCACAGGTTTCTGTACTTAATGTTTGTAATGCATCCACATGAAATTCTATCTTATTTACAAATAAATTTCATTAAAAATATTTTTAAAAATAAACTTTCATATCTGGGTCAGTTATGGTATTCATTCTAAATATGTAATTTTATTAATTTACTCTTAGAATTCATTAACTTTAACAGTTTATACACCTTTTAAATTTAGAATTCATTTAGGAATTTTATCAATTGTTGTAGAATTTAGTCCATGCACCATTCTGTCCAATTGAAAATGTATAATTTCAAATGAATTTTTATTTATTACCAAATGTAAAATCTTATTGCAAAAAAAAAAAAAAATGTTGAATCTGTAGAATGCTGTGGAAAAAGATTCTCTCAGGTTAATGCAGAAAAGTGAAAATATTTGTAAGCTTCACAAAACAGAATATCGTAGTTTATGTGACACCGTTAAGGGATAACTCAGTAGTTTACATTGAAATAAGCATCTAAGTTTCTGTTTACCCCAATTTTCAGTTAAATAATGGCTTGAAAATGTGTAGAAACTGGATTTACCGATTACTTCCTGAATATACACTTCAATTATTTTAAATTTGAAATTGGGAAATGAAACTCCATTGTTTCAATTATTTTATCAGGTTTTCAGGTATGCCACTCACTTGGAGGAGGCACGGGTTCAGGCATGGGAACTCTTCTCATCTCAAAGATCAGAGAGGAATATCCAGACCGGATGATGCTCACATTCTCTGTTTTCCCTTCACCAAAAGTCTCAGACACAGTTGTGGAGCCATACAATGCCACTCTCTCTGTGCATCAGTTGGTAGAGAATGCTGATGAATGCATGGTGCTTGACAATGAAGCCCTTTATGACATCTGTTTCCGGACTCTGAAGCTCAGCACTCCAAGCTGTGAGTTGTAGATTGTCTTTTGGATTAAGTATCATTAGGTGAAACAAAATGATATTTCAGTCTTCAATTTTACTTATTTATTTATTTTTTCACTTTAATTCTGCAGTTGGTGACTTGAACCATTTGATCTCTGCAACTATGAGTGGTGTAACGTGCTGCTTGAGGTTCCCAGGACAGCTCAATTCCGATCTTAGGAAGCTGGCTGTAAATCTGATCCCATTCCCGCGTCTCCACTTTTTCATGGTAGGGTTTGCCCCACTTACTTCTCGTGGATCCCAACAATACATCTCCCTTACTGTCCCGGAGCTTACTCAGCAAATGTGGGATGCTAAGAACATGATGTGCGCTGCTGATCCCCGCCATGGCCGCTACTTAACTGCCTCAGCTATGTTCAGGGGAAAGATGAGTACCAAGGAGGTGGATGAACAGATGATTAATGTGCAGAATAAAAATTCCTCTTATTTTGTGGAGTGGATTCCTAACAATGTGAAGTCCAGCGTGTGCGATATTCCTCCAAAGGGTTTGAGGATGGCATCAACCTTCGTGGGGAACTCCACATCAATCCAGGAGATGTTCAGGAGGGTAAGTGAGCAATTCACAGCCATGTTCCGTCGCAAGGCCTTCTTGCACTGGTATACTGGGGAAGGGATGGACGAAATGGAATTCACTGAAGCAGAGAGCAACATGAATGATTTGGTGGCAGAGTACCAACAATACCAGGATGCAACTGCTGAGGAGGACGTTGAGTATGAGGAGGGCATGGAAGATAATTATGAGCATGAGGGTTAAGAAGCTTAGTTACTGAGGTGTGGCTAACGAGAGGTTTAATGAGTCACCTTCCTCTGTTCATGTATCTACTAGCGTTTGGATGTCAGTGTTTTCTGTATTGTTTGATCTTCTGTTTCCTGAGGTGGTATTGTCAGTTTGTTATATCAAGCATTTGAATAAACAAATTTTCATGTTTGATGGGGGCCAATCAATATTCCCATTCCATTGGTGTATTTCTGAAAGCACCCAGGGGTTAATGAATGTTAAATACCAATCTATTTCTTTTTGTAAAATTGTTGAACTTTAATATCCTTAAAAATTTCATTATCGCTTAATTTGTTCAAGCGACTTTGTTACAAGTTCCATAATTGCATAAGGACGCTATTGTTTCTGCTTTGCTACATAAGTGCCTATTATTCACGAGAAGTGGGCGTGGAACTTCGGCCTGGGTTTTCTGGCATTGGAACTCAACTTTCTGTTCTTTAGCAGGGTGTGACAACTCACTGTGGGCCGTGTGGACTACTCCATTGAGGCTCCTAATGGGCTGGGCCGCGTTACAATCTACTTTCTGTCTTATTGCTTTACTAGCTGAAGCCTCATGAGTAGTGATTCTCATAGCGCTTTGACTTTTTGCACTGTTAGCTAGTCAGTCACTCCACCTCAACTTCTAGGTTATCCGTTGGCGAGTGGCGACAACTCTTTTCATCAATAACAAAATGATTTAGGTCCTTAAATTTATGTAAATTGTCAGAAACATTCCTACTTCATTGATTGTTGCTCAACGAATGCATCTAGATGACTGACAAGTAAAAACTATTCATTCCACAACTTAAAATGATACGTGGCCGTATTAAGTGTTGCAACCTTTTCAATCTCTATCAGAAAAATTAAATCTAGTTAGAGAACTAAAATCACAAGCGTCCCTTCAGTTCACCTACGTGCCAAGAGTCTATCAATAAAAATAGAATAAAATCACAGTTGTTGATATTTGATAGAATTCTGACCACTCAAGACCCACGCCATCCTATCCACGAATATAGAGAACACATAATACACTGCACCGAGATTTGCGATAATTTTGATTCATCTAGGAGAGTAAATCGGCCAAAAACTCCTAAATTTTCTCCTAAAATTTACAATTAGACCGACCATTAATATCAATATTCTTACTACATCAGTAGTAAATTTATATATATATAAAAAAAAATTAAAAAAATCCCAAAGATCATCTTCTATTCAAGATGCGTAATTTGGTAGTAGAATTAGACTTCTTGTGCCGGCAAATTTGCATCCTTCTCTGTCTAGCTTGAGCAGACATGGTCCTATCATCGACAATTGGCTTGGTAAAATCCATCCAAACAGACTCTCCTGGAGCTACGTTCAGATCAGGTACAACACTTGGCCCCATATTATCATTCATGTTCATCTTCATCCCCAATCCATGGCTTCTACCCGGAAACAAAGACACTGTTTGCCCATCATTTGGATATGGATAACCCGCAATTATTCCTGTTTCGTTAACCGTCCTATCGCTGATCAACGGTCTCTGATCAACCATAAACCCAAGTTGATGATGTTGACGATGACTGTGAAACTCATGTCCAACGAGACTATTAGATGCTTTGATTATGGTTTGCTCGAGTCTCATATCAAGACTCGAGCTGCTCTCGGCTTCTAAACCAGGCATTTCTCGTCTAAACCCAAGACTTAGCTGTAAATTTAAAATTTAAAAAGAAAAAGTAAATAATGACCCCACCCCACCAATATACTACAAGCTGGCTAAAAGGATAATGAAGACAAAAAGAAAACTGTTTTATTTACATAGGAGGAGAAATAGAAAATAAAAACCTCTTGTTTCCTTGCTTGCAGCAACAAATTGTTTTCTTTCATCTTCTCGTAATAGCACTTCATCTGTGCTATATCCTGATTCATTTTGAGTTTTTAACAAATTAGAATTTGGGTTTTTCTATTTCTATAATTCTATTTGTGAAAAAGGACAATAGCGGAAAAAAAATTACAGATTTGAATTGTAAAATTCAGAGAAAGGACAAATTTTTTTCCCAGAAAATTGCAGAAATAAGAAAAGAAAACTGACCTTTGCCAGTGATTCATTGCTCTTAGTATACTTTTCTATAACCTCTAGCCAGTGCTCTTTCGTCTGCAAAAATAATACACATATCGATAAGCAATCGAGTTTTTTCCTGATTTGATTCTTTTTTTTTTTTTTTTTTTTTGCATCACTGTTGTCCTTTCGCTGAGGAAAATCTGTCAGTTAGAAATATAGGACAAAGAAACTGAACCATTTGTGCCCAGAATGAGTTCATTGCCTCTTAGGTATTACTTTTCATAGACTCTAGCCAGTTGCTCTTTCGTCTGCAAAAATAATACAACATATCGATAGCAATCGATTTTTCCTGATTTGAAAATTCTTTTTTTTTTTTTTTTTTTTGCAACAAAAAAACAATAAGGAGAGGAAAATGTCTAATATACGAGACGTAAAGCAACAGTTTTTTTTTTTTTTTTTTTTTGAACAAAAAAACAAAAGGAGAAAAGTCTAATTACGACTAAACAACAGTGAATTACAGTTAAAAGCCCAAAGAGATTAAAACCCATTAAAAGAGATTAAAGATGACGAGGAGAAGAGTTACCTTCTTAACAGAGGCTTTTCTTTTCAAGCGCTTACGCTTCTCATCAGATTCGCTAGGAGAGAAAGAGAGAGGCGTTGCAGGACTCGAAGTTCCAACTTTGACGGCGGGCTTTTCAGACTCAAACGCGCAACTCACCAGAACACCACTCCCGCCGCCACTACCACTCCCATGAATAGAGGGGACTGACGGTGACGGTAACCGTACGCCGTGCAGAAACGACGGCTCATTGGCAGATCTCCTTCTTTTGGCACCCCAAGATAATGGTAATCGAAGGGCGGAATCAGATTCAACAATAAGAGCAGGAAGTTCTAGCAAGATTGCAGCGACCTCAATCTCATCATTCCTGTCGTACCTGGGGGAGTAATGGTGAGCGCCACTACTTCTCTGTTTCATTGTCGTTTTCGCTGCAGCAATTACGGTTCCTTCGAATTTCCACCAAATCTACAAACATATAGTGAAGAAAAGCTTTCCGGAAAGAGAAAGGAGAAACCGAGAAAGGAGAGATTAAAAAGATTTGATTTCAAGAGAAAAGATTGGGAGAGAGAAAGAGAGAAGAGAGGAAGAGAGGGATTGTGTTACTTGGAGACGGGGTTTTTGCCTATAATGGAAACAGGTTGCGCTTGTGACACGTGTCATTAAAAGGGGGATTGAGGTTGGTCTTAGGGTTTATACTTGTAGTCCTTTATTATATTAGTAACTAAAAATTTGGAATTGCCAGCAAAAAAAAAAAAAAAAACAAAAAAAAGAAAAAAAGAAGAAAAAAAAAAAAAAAAAGCATACAAAAACAAAAAACCTAGTCGACTAAACGGTGCAGTTTTGGAAGGGCAAAGAAAATGGTTTTATTTTATTTGACTAGTGACTTAATTAGATCGTGGAGTGATGGTTAATATTTAGTCAATTATTTAAAAAAAATTATTTAATATTCCTTAAAATATTTAAAAATAATTTATATTTTAAGATAAAATAATAACCATAAATTACTTATATTTTGAGACGAAAAAATTACAATGAATTGATTAATTAATAACTTTTCAAAATATAATAATTGAAATTGTTTTTAGTATAGTTTTTGTTTTGTTCATTTATAATTTGGACCCTTAAGTACAAATTTATAAGTTAACAAAGACGATTGATATGTTTGCTTTTCCTCTTATGTTTTGCAATTGAATACGTTGACTTGGATAAAAAAAAAAAAAAAAACACTAGTTTCCTTTTGATAAATAGACATAGACACGTGTGGATTATTCCTTAATTAATACAAGCGTGTCTGAATCTTCCGGCATATTTAAGCCCAGTACAGCGTTACTGATTAAGTGGTCATGCTCTGAAATAATAAATTGATAATTTTCCCATTTAACACATATTATCGTGCTTTAATTATTTGAAATTCATCACTCGATTACTTTAATATTTCACTTATTAGGAAATAATTTTTTATTGATCTATTTTTATTTATTATTATTTTTAAATTGCAAATAAATTAGCTTTTCATGTAATGAATAACAGCAAACAAAAAGGTATGAGAAAAAGAAAAATACAAATTTCATGATTTAATTTCAATAATAAATAACTGATCATAAATTGTTACCAATGAAAATTGGTGTGGCCTTTTTGTTGGGTATTTAAATGACCAAACATATTTGCACTTAGCAAATCATTAATATTTTGTGATTGACAAATTTCTTTGATTTTGTTATTTTTGGTTTTTTTTTAATAGTTTGATTTCGTTAATTATCAATTAAATATTTATCACTTTTCATCTATTATTACTATCTCTTTATCTATCTATTATAACAACAATAACAATAATAATAATAATATAAAGTAAAAATAAGAAGGGAAACATTAAAATCCTTAAAAAATAACTCTACTAAATTTATATATTGATAAAAATATTTTACTTATACAACAATAACAATCGAATAAATAATGAAATATAAAGTAAAAATAGAAGGAAACATAACAACAATAACAATAATAATAATAATATAAAGTAAAAATAAGAAGGGAAACATTAAAATCCTTAAAAAATAACTCTACTAAATTTATATATTGATAAAAATATTTTAAAATTTTAATTTGATTGATTAAAAAATAAAGAAAAATTTTAATTGATTTCCTGTTTGATTCTAAATTCTTTTTGCAATTAATATGGTAATAAAAGGCAAAATATTTAAAACTATTAATTTAAGTATGAATATGAAATGAATTTCAAGAGATCAAAATTTAAAAATTAAACTTAATTTACTTTTAAAAGTTCTGAATAAATTACTAAACTCAACAATAAAATCTTAAAATAGTAAGGGAATGACATATATTAATAGTATTATGTTTTTTTTTTTTTTTGTTAATATTAAAATTTACATTTTACGTTAAAACTAAATCAATAAATTCAATGATATTAATTTTTTCATTAGAATAATACGATTCGCTTTTGTTAATATTAATTTGCCTTTTGCATTAATATTAAATGAAAAATATTATATCATTAATTTTCTATCTCTTTGGAATAGTCTATTTTCAATTTGTTTTTCATATTAAAATTAAATCAATAATATTATAATTTTTGCTAATGATATTGTCTTTTGTGCAATAATATTATTAAATTTCTTTTTTATTTTTCTTTTTTTTAGAATATTCTATTTTCATTTTTGCTTTTCACGTTCATATTAAACTCAACAATTCTGTAATATTATTTGCGAATATGATATTGACAACATAATTTTAAAAAATTAGATTTGATTTTTGCCTCTATCAAATTTAAAAATCTCTTTCCCGGGTTTGATATATAATGACGAGAGAGAGAAACCAAATAACGCAGCAAAAGAGTGACGATATGATCCAACGCTCTTCATTCCGCGATTACTTCAACGATGATGAGATTGAAATTGCAATGTCATTACTTGACCTACATGTGCCTAGAGAGAGAAGCTGCTGCTTGGGAAGTAAAGGTATGAGTTTTGCCAGTAACAATGGTTTGTCTTCTTTTTGTTCTTCTTCCTGTCAGTCAGTCAAGTTTTAGTGATGAACTGCCTCTTATTCTCCATAATGGCGACAAAACCAAACAAGGAGAACAGATAGTAAACGAATTAACTGAAAGAAAAGATCCTGATGATTATTTAGAGGTAATAATCTCAGATTTTATTTTCTCATTTTATTTATTTATAATTTCTATATTAATATTATAAAATTTTACAGAGAAGAAAGAACTTGGAAAAGAAGATCGATGAATCTGCTAATTTACGAGTGGTAATAATTGATACTCAATTCTACTTTGCTATTATCTTCAATTCAAGCATGTATGAGTACCCTTTTATTTTGATTTTTGTGTTTTTAATTTTTGCCCTGTTCTATTGCATGGAATCAATTATTGAATTAGGCTATAAACCAAGTCAAACAATTCTACGTTAAGTTAAAAGAAGATGAGAAGAAACTGAGAACACGAATGTTGCAGGTTTTTGTTTATTTTATTTATTTATTTTTCTAATAATAGTAAGTAATTTGAATAAATTTATACTAACCAAGAGTGATTTTCTTTTTTTCTTTTTCTTTTTCTTTTTCCTCAGCTGGGTTTACCAGGAATAGGGACAATCCACCGCTAAAGTTGGAAGACAACAAGCGAAAGATCTTAAACGGTCATTGACATGGGGGAAAGGACTAGGAATTGGTTACCACTGAAAGCATTGAAACCTATACTCAGCCAGTACGAATGACTACTTTCTAAATTCATAACTTCTGCTTTTAATAATGTATTGTTAATATTTTTGAAACAAATTAATTTAGCCAATCAATGAAAGTAAAGAGCTTTGAAGAGAGTTAAGATGCTCTCTGTTTCTTTATGCTTCTATTGACTATAAAATCATCGTCAGAATCTTCATTGGAGCTTCCATCTACAACCTTGCGCTTCTTGGGCTGCTTCAGTTCTGGCTTGGAGTCTGTTGCCTTCTTTTTTATTGAAGAGATTGGGGATGGAGCTGTCGTTCTCTTAACAGTTGCAGACTGAGACTTCTTCGCGGTGGTAACTGCTTTGATTGGGGAACTCAGCTTATTTTGATTCTTCTTCTGTTTCATCTCATAAACTTTCTTTGCCTCTTCTTTGGAAAGCAAACCAGATTCCATCATCCTGTAAATTACATTTAAATGCAGTTCTGAGTCATAATATATGTAGATAATAAACATCATGAAGCAATCAATATATTTTAGTGAATAATTGCTGAAGGAAAAGTAAACCCTCTTCTCTTATCTACAATGTTCCCTTTTTTGGTTCAAGGGATTTGGAGAGAATGCAGGAGCATGAACCCCCTAATACTGCACCATGGGCAGATATTTCATCACCAGGCAAGTAAATTCCCAACGAGAATGCAAGCTCTTCTTTAAAATAGGATTAAAACCTTGTTCAACTTCTCAAAACAGATGCGAAAAGCAGCTAAAAATAAATGATTTTGTGTCATAAATTTTCATCTCAGCAGTGGCTTATAAATACCAAAAACGTTAAAGAAAATGGGCTCACATCCTTGACATGAAGAGCCAAGAAGGGAGCAGTGCGATGACAAGATAATTGGCCATTAATTCATATTCCCTCACTTACAGAAGTTCAATGCTAGACTTTCCAAATTATGCAAATGTGCAAACAACCAAGAAAACTCCATAAGATATTATAATAATATCTCCAACTTGTGTGTGCGTGTGCATGTTTATCTATAAGTGGAAATTGGGAGAATAGTTGGACGAAGAAAAATATCCTTAAAAATATCTTAAGAGATATCCTCCTATTAGTAACTAAACTTGCACATGCATACACATTATATTGAGATTCTACTTTCTTACTAGTTATTTAACATTCCTATTTGTGTTAAAAACCCATTTACTGCCTCCATCTTTAACGATAAGAAAACTATCTATGACCTATCTATAAATTCCTTGTCTCCACCATGAACGCCACAAACTTCTTGGTAAAGATGGTTTGGTTGATGGGTTTGGTCGATTGTCTTAAGATTTTCTCTTTGTTCCCCAAGCTCTGCAAACCATTCTTTGTTAAGAGACCACCAGGCAGACATGTTAATGATGCTGGGAAGGTTATAATTCAATTTTATTAAGAAGTGGCAAGCATTAACAAGAACAAGATTCTAATTTTATGTAAATATGGAACAAAAAGGTTAACAAAAGCATGATAAACTGGCCTCTTTCCTTACAGAAACATTCTTCTATTTAGTTTCTGGAGACCAAAATAATGGTGAAAAAGGCAAAGAAACTACACTTGAAACGAGAGCATTACAGGACTAAACCAAAAACCTAAGGCAAAAGTTGTCTTACCAGATTTGGGCCATCTCACTTTTGGGAAGCTGCTTGTACAGTGATTCATAAAAAATCCTAATTGGGTCTCTCTGCAATCACACAAGCACCAAACTCATGGTGAAAAATCAAATGAAGAAACACATTTTACGTAAATCAACCAATAAATACTACCTCTTCAGGAGGGTCTCTCTTCTGGCCTGGCAAATCATACACCTTCTTCTCCCTTTTCTTGCCATTTCGCTCTGGCAATACAGATCCCTTCTTCTTCTCTTCCTCATTTTTCTTCTTCTTCTTGATCAATTCCTTATCAATCCATAAATAAAATACAATCACATTCATCCACATTCATCCATGACAAAGTTAATTTCTAGAAGATGACCAAACATTGAATAGCAATAAAGAAAAACAATCCCAAATCTTTGAAGTAAACCTATAGAAGCTGACCGAAAATTTAATAGCAGTAAAGAGAAACAATCCCAAAAGTTTGAAGTAACCCTACATTATTCATTATTCAATAGCAAAAAAAACTAATAACATTAAATCAACTAAGTCCAACCTAACCTATTTATTTTGCATAATCTACAGAATCAGAGAGTCCTTTTCCTATAAAAGAAACTAGAAACTTTACTAAAAACCAAAAAACTAGATATAAGAGCTACCTTATCAACCTTGGCAGCAGAGTTATCCTTCGAAGTGGGTTTACGATCACTATCATCGCCATTCTCATCTTCTTTCTTTACTTTAGCTGGCTTGGGGCGGGACCCAGAAGAGCTTTTAACCTTAATTGAATCTTCAGCAAATTGTGGCTCCTCTTTCTTGACTTTTCCATCTTTGGGGCGTGGTTTGGTGATTAAAGTACCAGCATTTGTTGGGTTCTTCTTCCGCGCTTGGAGAATGGAACTCAAGCTCTTGTCTTCTGCATCTGTTTCCGCTTTCCCTTCTTCCTTTACCTTCGCGGCCTTTGCGTCCTCAGACGGCATTTGTTTGGGTATAGAGAAAATTCGAAACGAAGTTTGATTTTTTCTTGAGAAAGACAGAAGTTGTAAAACCCTTGCTAGTTGCCCAACATCAACGAGGTAAAATAGTTGGTATGTTTATTGGGGTTTCGGATTCGGACTGTGGAAAGCTTTGCTGTAATATCTGTAACTGATAATTCTATGGAGGCCCAAACGGTACATCTTGCATAAACGACAACGTTTAACGCTGGGTCTTCCAAAACTTATAGGTCCATTGGAAAAATGGGCTAAGCAGAATAGTACACTTCTCTAAATTACACTCATATTTTTTGAAAACCCTGCCATTTTTTGTGAGAATTCATTAGCTGTTCTATTGTCTTTCTTGACTTCTCTACACATTTACCATCCTTATTACCTTCTGTTCCTCTCCTTCTTCTTATTCTATTATAATAATACTATCAGCGAAAGATACAAGATTTTTTGAAGAATTAAATTATTTTAAATTTTAATAGGTTAGGATTGAAGATGATTAAGTTTAAAAATCAAAGATTAAAGTCGAATACAATAGTATAGTACAGTGTGTGATTTTTTATGCTGGAAAATACAGTCAGACTTTTTTTTTTTGTTACTATTTGCGTCGGTATCGTTTATCATCCAATTTCAAGATTTCCCACCTCCAAAAGCACCTAAACCTTCCACCTGGGATGTATGCAAGAGGTGCAAGAGGTGGAATATGTTCCTTCTCTATCTTTCCGTTTACAATTTAAAAAAAAAAAAAAATCCAGCTCAGAGGACAGAAAGCATAGCTGCAAAAGGTTTCTCGGTTGAGGATAGAATCAAACCCCAGAATTTATGCCAAAGCAATCCAACACATCACCTCAATCATTAATTTCTCCTATAAAATCCCATTTCTTGAAGGCCAATGCACAGCAAGATAAACCTGCACCAAAAAAAGAAAAACAGAGATGGGTTGGTTTTGGCGAGAGAGAAGAGGGCCAGCGTGGAAGCAAGGATGGACAGAGCATACTCTAGCTTCCATCTCACCGCCTCCTTTTCCCTTACTTGCCATTTTCTTGATAATCTTCCTTCTCCTTTTTTTATCTTCTTATTTTAACTACAAGTATCAGATACAGCATACAGTTATCAATTTTAAGTTGTTTCTATTGTTCTTGCCTGTGCTATTGATACTGCTTGCGCAGCTTGTATCCAAGTGTGAGGGTTCCTTTTTTCCTGCTACAAAAGCACGGTATGGCACGGTTCGTCGAAGCTGGGACTTGCCTTGGGGTGTGGCTGTTTTGGTGGTGGTGCTCCTGGTGATGATCTCTTACCAGTCATCTCTACGGTCGTTTTGGTCTCCGATTGTATGGTCTGATTAAGTTATTCGGATATTCAAAATCACGGGATTTATGTTATTCTTCTCCTCTTTTGATGCCTGATATTGATGTAGTAAAGGGTAAAGAAAGAATTCTCTAAACAACAAACAGATAAGTGCAACAAGCTTTTGTGAGATTTTGCAGTTTGTAACTAACAACACCCTTTGTGAGTATACCAGTTAGTTGTTCTTCTCTAGTGTCCTAAGCCTTAGGAAATATGTTTTGGTGAATGATATCAATGGAGAACTTTAAGATGAGAGAAAGCCAACAAATTATTGCAAGGGCAACAGCAAAAATATGAAAGCTAGCAATTTTTTCAAATTTCTCAAAAAAAAAAAAAAAGCAATTCAGCCATACTCGTTGCTCAAGTAATCTGGAACAATCTACTAACATGCTAAAATGTCTACTAATGTCAAACTTGAAGATAACAAAGCTATAAAAGCTGCAATAGCAACAACTAATCCACAAACACAAGTCCCCTGCTTAGGGTCAGGGATGGGCAAGCAGTCGAGAGGACAGCCCTTCAATCTTAGCAAGAAATTCTTCACACACAAGAAGGAACTCTATACAACGAAAATTTCCATAAACCACAGATTACGCTGCCTAATAATATTAAATAAAATAATACTTTACAACAATTGCAGGAAAGCGATGCATACAGAGTCGAGAAGTACACTCAATAAACAATTACACTTGGAAGAAGCTATCCCGTTTTAATTGAGAGGTTTAATCGGGGTGTTGTGGGTCATCTGAGAGTAGAGGGGGTCTTCAATTTGGGAACTTTAAAGGCACTGGTGAACAATTTTGGAGTCCCTAAAGTGGGAATAACATCAACCTCTTTTCTCTTCAAACTCCTGCTACCCTAATGATCAACAGAGAGGCAAAGTACAATAAGCATACAGATCAAGGGATGATATTGATGTTCTTGAATTTCAACACATAAGCTATGGACAATTCAAAAAGATGAAGCAAATATCAAAATTTTAGATCTTTCAAATTTTGCAATTTATGCTTTATGATCTTCCACGCTACAATAAGCCTACAGATCAATGGGTGGTATTATTGTTCTTGAATTCAAGCACATATGCTATGGACAATTCAAAATGATTAAGCATGTGTCGAAATTTTAGATTTTTCAAGTTTTGCAATTTATGCTTTATGATCTTCTACACTTCTGTTTAGAATTAAGACTTAGTTTGTTGATCTTCTACACTACAAACACCTTATACTTAGTCCTCACTTGTGGTCACTGAAATTTAACAAAATTAAAGCCTTCATGCTATTAATTATCAAGTACCTTTGCGTCATCCTTTGAGGGAACAACAGCTTTTCCAGGAGACAATTCTTTTTTCACAACAATATTGCTTCCTTTTCTGCCCCTGGCTTTGACTATACAGATATAATCTTTAGCTCCTGTATTGCCATTTCTTGATGCAGGAGTAACTTGAGCACTTCTGGACTTTCTCAATGTTTCCAACTCCTGGGAGAGTGTTAAAATTTCTTCCTTCCATTTATTTCTGTCAGCCTCTACCTCCGCCAATTTAGCTTTCAGCCTTGCAATCATTTCATCCTTCTCATTGTTAGAGGACTGAAGCAGCTCCACACTGGAAAGAACTGTTGCAATCTTCTCATTTTTCTGGTCAACCTCAGCTTGCTTACTCTTCAATTTCTCAGTGAGATTGCTCTCTAAAACATTATACTGATTCCATACAAAACTTTTCTCTTTCAATAGTGCAGATATCTCAGACTGCTTTTCAGAAGCAAGCTTCTCATATTCAAGCTTTAGCCTTTTCACTTCAGCATCCAACTTTTTTGAGCCAGAAGATTTTATACCATCACGTCCACTTCCTTCCTTTCCATTGTCAGTTTCCTTGGTGTTCTTCTGAGAAGAATGAAAAATAAAAAAGCTCATGATTGATGTTTACAAATTCAGTCCACAAAATAATTCAAATAAAAAGACTTCCATAAAATGTGATTAAACATACTTCAAGGGTACGAGAGAGGTAGTCAAAACATGCTCTGAAATCTGCCAATTCATCTTCTGTTTGTTCTGCAATTTGGAAAACCAAAGTTAGTAGGCATGGAAACAACTGCTTCAAAACTATACAAATCTTTAATAAAGCGCAACAACTATCAATAATGGGTAATGAAGAAAACTGCCAAAATGCCAATCAAAAATTAGTTTAATTCATGCTAAGACCAGAATCTTTATGATAGTATTTCATTCTAAAGATATTAATAACGCAATGTAAAAGACTGAAGCAGGGATGATAATGTGAAAGAAGCTGTAAAGTGGGTGTTTAACTAAGCTCCATATCAAGTCCACTGGCCCTTTTCTGTTTTAACAGTTAAAAATCGTGGAATCGTATTCTTTGCTTTAACCTTTACGAACGTAAAAAAGGAATCTTTTTTATTTCAGCATTCAATGTTCCCAGGGTTTGATTTATGATAAATCATTGAAAAGAAAACACAAACTCCCGAATTTGCAAAGGCACTAAGATTCTGTATTTGTCTCTCTCTCGGGATGTATGACACTCAAAATCAAATACAGGATGCTTATGCATTATTTATATATAAAAAAAAACTGACCGAATTTCAGTTTGTAAAGAAAAGCCTCTCTGCCCTTTAATCCAATCATCATATCAGATTTTGCAGCCTCAACCAAGCAAGCCATGTCTTTCTCTATCAAACTGTCTTTTATCTATAGAAGAAATCACACAAAACCCACAAATCTTTCAAAATCCCCAATTCAAACATTCTCAAAACCCTAATTTTTGAATGCAACCAAAATCTCCATAAAAATTTGGCTAACCTGGGAAAGATGATCTTCGTAGAGACGAACGTCGGAGACCCATCGTTCATGTTTTATTCTAATACAATCTTCGAGGATTTTCCTCTCGTCGACGAGAGTTTTAAGCTGTTCTTGCTGATTCTTGATCAGTTTTACCAGGCCGTCAAATAATTTATCTTGTTGGGAGCGTTTTTCAGTACCCATCGCGAACTTTACAAGAAAGAAGAAGAAAAAGAAGAAGAAAGAGATCAGAGAGCGGGATTGTACCGTTGTAAGTTGAAACTGGTAAAAGCAGGTTCAACGGTCTGCGCGTTTCAAAATAAAATTGTCAGGGAAACTTCAAAAGCTGGGTTTATATGCCTTACTTCGTGAGCCAGCCTTCCTTGTAACTTATTGGGCTGAATGGGCTTTGCCCAATATAAACCCAACCCACTGCCTATCAAGTTACTGACCACAAGCCCAGAACTAACTTGATATGCAAACTGCAATGAGGAAATGAAAATACAATCAAATTCCATTTTGGTGTCTGTTGGCTTTGACTAATGAAGATTATTTCTCAGTTCAAGATTATTTAAATATAATAATTAATTTTCAAAAAGAAAATATGGTAAAGAATTGAATAAAAAAACTATAAAAGGTAACTTAAGTTACAAGGCAATTTGAAATATCTAAACAAGGGTGTCCTTTACAAAGACATTGAATTTCCGTTTCTTTTACAGAAACTTTTCTAACTCTCCAAATGGGCCTTGTGATTGTAATCAAGCAGCCTTAACCAAATTTGATCAAGATTTTGACTGTAATTATCTTACGTGTCACTCAAAGAGCCTGCATGTGCTTAGAACCTCAATACCAAAAGGTCTAAAACGCTAGAATGAGTAGACGACGCGAAGATTGTTTACAACGAAGAAAGAAATGCTTTTGACATTTTTGATTTTATGTTCAACAAGCCATGGGAGAACATCCCAAGCCATCATCGGATATTCCAAGGTTATCCATGCAATTCAAATCCAAAACCCCCTCTTTTTAACCGTCTCAATCAGTCAATGGTGATTTGGTGACTGGCTATTGCCAGTAGCGTCACGGATAGTTTCACCTACCATCACATATAAAGTGCCAGAATCATGTTCTTTTCATTGCTTTATGATACTCAGGAAGGTTTTTGCAGATCTCTTCGTGCATTTCTCGGGGCTTCCCAGGTGGGTTTCCTTCCTTTTTGTATGCTTCTGTAATCTCTAAGTGCAAGTCTTTCTAATCAAGAATTTCAAGAATGCCACCAATTCCAGCCATGGATGTAACTCAAAATGGAAAAATTAAAAGCTTGGAGACAACAGCGTCTATTTTTGAAATTGATGATTCTGAGAATTTAAAAATATTGGAGAGACCTAGACCTATCGTTGTAGAAAGGAATAGACCCTTTGATGAAAGGTCATTTAATAGTGAATTATCTATTACTTTATCACCTCGCCTTATTTATAGAAACAATCTTGAGAATGGGTCTCCAGCAGGAAGAAGATCTGGTTTTAATACACCGCTGTCAGGCTGTCATTTTGAGTCACATCCCGTGGGGGCTGAAGCTTGGGAATCATTGAGGCGTTCCTTGGTTTACTATCGGAGGCAACCTGTTGGAACTATTGCTGCACTGGACCATTCTGTGGAAGAACTCAACTATGATCAGGTGAAGTTTTTGCTCCTTTTGGTTCTTTATTTCGGCACATACGGGGTGAAGTAATACTGAATCATACTGCGATTAATCCGTTTACGTTTTAACAAACTCTTCAGGTCTTTGTTAGAGATTTTGTCCCAAGTGCCTTAGCTTTTTTGATGAATGGGGAACATGAGGTGGTCAAGAATTTTATCTTGAAAACTATTCACCTACAGTCTTGGGAGAAAATAATAGACGAGTTCAAGCTAGGAGAAGGAGTCATGCCAGCAAGTTTTAAAGTGCTTCATAAACCTGAGAAGAACATTGAAACTCTAATTGCAGACTTCGGTGCGAGTGCAATTGGAAGAGTTGCTCCTGTAGATTCTGGATTTTGGTGGATTATATTGCTTCGTGCATATACAAAGTCTACAGGGGATTTTTCCTTGGCTGAGAGGCCTGATTGCCAAAGTGGTATGCGCCTTATCCTCACTTTGTGTCTATCAGAAGGCTTTGACACATTCCCAACCCTGCTTTGTGCTGATGGATGCTGTATGATCGACCGTAGAATGGTTTGTGTCTTCCAGTTCATTTTGCTGTTTCTCAGTTTTCAACGCACGGAAGCTTTGATCCGTGATTGTGTCCGCACTTTTTAGCTTTTGATGCACTTGGTCTAGGAGATGCATAGTCTCTGAAGGGTATAATTCCTTAATTCTAAGGAAGGAGTTCTGCTCACATGTTCCCTGATATCCCTTAGCTATTATTTGCATCTGATTAAAAGAAACCTGACCAAAAATTTTGATCAAATCTGTCAATGAACTATAGGGGCATTTTGATATTACTCAACTGAAATGAACCTTGATCTCTAGAGTTGGAATTGGCTATGTGACACCTTTTCACTCCACTTTGTATGTTTAGGACACTTCTCAAGCAATGCTATCGATTAGCATGTATTGTTGTGATTTATACAAGTATGATTCTCTTTTCCAGGAGTATAAAGCTAAACTTCGACTTTTCATGCAGGGTGTATATGGATATCCTATTGAGATACAAGCACTCTTCTTTATGGCGTTAAGATGTGCTTTGATTTTACTTAAGCATGATGATGAAGGAAAGGAATTTATTGAGAGGATAGTTACGCGCCTCCATGCTTTAAGCTATCACATGCGTAGTTATTTTTGGCTGGACCTGAAGCAGCTGAATGACATATATAGATATAAAACAGAGGAGTACTCCCATACTGCAGTGAACAAGTTCAATGTAATGCCTGACTCTCTTCCGGATTGGGTGTTTGATTTCATGCCAACTCGTGGTGGCTACTTCATTGGGAATGTGAGTCCTGCAAGGATGGACTTCCGTTGGTTTTGCTTGGGTAACTGTATTGCTATTTTGTCATCCTTGGCAACTCCAGAGCAAGCTGCTGCAATAATGGATCTTATTGAATCCCGTTGGGAGGAACTGGTTGGAGAAATGCCATTGAAGATATGTTATCCAGCTATAGAAAGTCACGAATGGCGGATTGTGACTGGCTGTGATCCAAAAAATACAAGATGGAGTTACCACAATGGGGGATCTTGGCCAGGTTAGCTACAGATAATTTTGTTTGAATTATACTATAAAATGTATGATTGGTGTTTTATACTTTCATGTTTCCTTGCAGTGCTTTTGTGGCTTCTGACAGCAGCCTGTATTAGAACCGGCCGTCCACAAATTGCAAGGCGTGCCATTGAACTTGCTGAAACCAGATTGTCAAAAGACCACTGGCCTGAATATTATGATGGAAAACTTGGTCGATTTGTTGGAAAACAGGCACGCAAGTACCAGACATGGTCAATTGCTGGATACTTGGTGGCTAAAATGATGCTAGAAGATCCATCTCATCTGGGTATGATATCACTCGAGGAAGATAAACAAATGAAACCATTAGTAAAAAGATCCAATTCTTGGACTTGCTGACATCATCTATACATTGTTTTCTACATGTAACCATTGGTTAAACCGGATACATAGTCAAACAAATGACTATGGTAATCTTTTCAAGCTAAATAATGTTATATCGCTTATAAATTTCTGATATTTTCTTAGAAAGCCTTTTTATTTCCCAGTTGCTACACTAAAGTGATGAAAACTTTCTGATATCTGCTTAGAAATTGTTCTCCAATTTCCATGGGGGCCACAAGAAAAAGGATGGATCAGCTAATCCATCCCAACTAAACGTCTAAAAATGCCATGCCAAACCCGAAAAAATCAACTTGCAGTTACAAGGGAATTGAATTTTCACTTGACATTTATACACTGAGCTGCCTCTTCCAGTTTGCTACATTCAATTTAGAATTATGTTCCACACTTCACTTGAATTTTTTATTTTATTTTATTCAAAGTTTATTCTACTAAAACTAAAATTGATGTACAAAAAAAATTATTCAATTTAAAAATAAAAATTAGATTTTTATTTTTATAGATGAGTTAGTTCATCAATAAATTTGTAAATAACTTATTTATGAAAGTGAGTTTGAGTTTGACTATTGATTGATTTTAAATCTTTAATATAGATAAAATGGAGGAATTTAAGCTATCCATTAGTTGATAGTAGGTATTTATCTGTAGCAATTTGGACTAATTATTACATCCAACTACTGGGATTGTGGTGCTATGTCTTTTTCTTTAGATGGATGCCATGTCAGTGTACACATATGTCGTTTGGGTTAAAAACAAGAAGAAATTATTTACAGTTCAAAGTGGGCTATGCATTATCTAACAATGGTGGTTGTTGAACAGCCTTACCCATTATTCATTATTGTAGCAGCCCAAATATCAAACTTTCATCTCGTAACCAATTCTGCTCAACTACACGTGTTCCCAACGAACTACTTAGTTAACTCATTTTAATTGAGTTCCATTCCCCAAATCCTCATCCTCCTAGCTTTCTCCTAATTCTTTGACTCAGATATCATCGATTCCGTTGTTTCACTCCAACTCAGCACAGCCTCACTCTTCCTTGCAGCTCGTTGATTGATAAAAGTAGAAGATAGAGGTAAGGGAGGAAAAATGAAGGCGAGCAAGAGGCCGATCCACGCAGTGGCTACATGGATACGGCGGCAACCGCCGAAAATCAAGACTTTTTTAGCAGTCGTTTCGGGGATTGTGGCTTTGGTTTTTCTTCGTATGGTGGTTCACGATCACGATAACCTCTTTGTTGCTTCTGAAGCTGTTCATGCCGTTGGAATTTCTGTCTTAATCTACAAGCTCATGAAGGAAAAGACTTGCGCTGGTAAGAGAAACTAATTTATATAATTAGTTAACCTCTCTTTTCTATAGCTTGGAATTTTTTATCTCCTAGGTTGTTCTAATGAGTTTTCCTTTTCTAGGTTTTGTTTGCATACCTTAAAAATTTAGCTTCTTTTTATGTTAATATGATCGTTTCTTACAAGTAAAATGGGGATTCGGTTTTTGTTTCTGACATGACAGTTTTGGTAGTCTCTATGGTATGCTGTTTTGGAAGATTACGGACAACTCTTGATAATCTAAAAATACTGTGGTTATTTTGCTTCAACCCTAGATAGTCTCTATAGTAGGCTCTGTGCTCTTCCTGGTTTATTGTGGAATCTAAAATTAAAGACCCGAAACTCGAGGGGCACTCGACAATCTACATTGATGGAATTGCACTAAACATGAAATGTGACAGAGATTGGCGTACTTTTTCCGGCCAATAGATTGGAAATTTAAAATAGTGGATGTCTCTTTTTCCTGTTTTAGAACATCAGTGGCTCTTACGAAAGAAACCAATATCAATTTAATATTATCATGTAATAGACATGAATGGTGCAATGAACATAGTTCTAAATGGAAAACTTCATAAATAAATAAAGTTGGGTTGCCAACCAAAAAGTTTACTATATTTGCGACCTTCTATAATATTTTGTAGTGATTTCTATTTCTTTTTGGCTTAGTTTTTTTGATAAATATTGCCCACTAATTATATCTTCTGCCGTAATTGGTTCTTTATGGGTTCACAAATTTTAGTTCTATGCAGGACTTTCACTGAAATCACAGGAGTTGACGGCTCTATTTCTAGCTGTTAGACTCTATTGCAGTTTTGTCATGGAATATGACATACATACACTACTTGATTCAGCTACATTGCTTACAACTCTATGGGTGATTTATATGATTCGCTTCAAATTGAGGTCCAGTTACATGGATGACAAAGACAACTTTGCAATCTACTATGTGGTGAGCCTTATTGCACCTTTGTTTGACTGATCATTAGTTGGAATTATGTTTAAAAAGGTGTATTCTGTTTTTAAGTTTCCAATATTGTTGGACGTGTTTGCTCCTTGTTGAATGTACATTGTATTCTAATGTGCAATTGAGTATGTTTAGGAGTTCAGATTTCAGAGACATACATTTCCATGTAGACAGAAGGCATTTTGTTTCCCTTAACTAGCGATTGTTCATAAAGATTGTTTTTTAAATATCAGTTTTGCTGGTTGTTCTCAAACTTCACACACATTGCAAAACATCTCTTGAACATGGTAACAGCACATTTGGGCTTAAATAAGCCGGTGATAGGATGTTTTTAATGGGAATTCCATGGGATGTGAGATTTCCATGCATTTCACAGCTGTCGTATTGACACTAGTATATTTGTCATCCATGTCTCACTGTCTCAAAATTTTTATGGACATTGCCTTTGCTTAATTACCCTGGGTGTTAAAGAAAGAATAGCAGAATTGACTATCAGGTGTGTTTATCATGTAAGTTTAACTTTGTTGTTGTTATTGATTTGTATCGGACTATCAGTTACCTCTAGCTTGTAGGTCAAATATCCCTAACTTTAATATTCCCCAGAAGCTGTTATGAATTAGTTGTGCTTTGAGTTCTTGTAATGAGTCTAAAACAGAGCCTTCTAGGATGATCGTATAGCTATATAATTGGTTGGACCAACATGCTAAATGAACTTTTGGTTTGCTTTTGGATTGCTATCTATTTGATTTTAGCATTACTATCAATAATAATTCTTCATTTGATTTTGCAAACGAGGCTGAAACCAACCCCCCCCCCCCGAAACGAGGCTGGAAAACCAACCCCCCCCCCCCTCTCTTTTTTTTATTTTTTCCTCCCCCCCCCCCCCTCTCTTTTTTTTTACTCTTCCTCATCCTCTCTCTTTTCTTATTCTTACTTGCTTTAGAGTCTGGCTCCACCAGCCATTAAAAAGCAATACTGACAAGTATAATGTAGTTTGATTTTCTTAACTTTTATCTTCCATATGTTTATCTTTTCCCGAGTCATTATTTTTTTGACTTCAATGCAGGTGATACCTTGTGCCGTGCTATCTTTCCTTATTCACCCGTCAACACATCATCATATATTGAACAGGATTTGCTGGGCTTTCTGTGTTTATCTGGAAGCTGTTTCAGTATTGCCTCAGCTTCGGGTCATGCAGAACACAAAGGTATGATTATAAGATATGCATGCCTATTGGCTTTTTGTCATTGGGTGATGGTGCATTACTGCTTCTCCAAAGCATAAGTTGGAAATATCACATGATGATTATGTAAATTCTCTTCATAACTGGTGTCCCTTTGAACCCTTGTTGTTTATTTATGTATTTACTCTTTAATAATGTGTAGATGGCCTACTTCTACTCATATTTCTTTTGTCTGATTTCAGATTGTTGAACCTTTCACAGCACATTATGTATTTGCACTCGGAGTAGCGAGATTCTTGAATTGTGCACATTGGGTGCTGCAGGTATGATAACTTGCACAGGGCTTTAAATTTGCCGTTCATGAGAATGTTTGTTACATTGAAGCATAAACAACTTCGAGTCAAATCACTTTTCTCATATTTCAACTATTCATGATGCTCCTCCATGTACCTTTGGATGTTTGTCTTTTGTTACTTAACTCAATGATAATATCTAATCTTTTTTGTGAACCATGTATATTAGCTTATTCAAATTAATCTTCCCTTTGAGTTGTGACACCAAAATTTGTATGCTCTTGCACACTTTGATTAAGCTGCAACGTTGGTAATGTTCATGTTCTTTCTTCATGCAGGTGTTGGATACTCGAGGACGCCTTCTGACAGCACTAGGCTATGGATTGTGGCCTCCAATGGTCCTCCTTTCAGAGGTCGTCCAGACATTCATTCTTGCTGATTTTTGCTATTACTATGTCAAGAGGTGGGTTAACGGATATTCTTTTTCCATGATGTTAATATACATCGTTATGCTTCATCTAAAATATGATTGGCGGTATGCAGTCTGGTCGGTGGACAGCTTGTTCTACGTCTTCCATCGGGAGTGGTGTAAGCTAATTCAATATGCAGAAGTGCATCCGCATATATCGAACCATGGACAGCGTAGCCTGCTTTTTTGAACTTGTGGGAGCACTTTGGATAGTTTATACTAGTTAGCCTTTGCAGCCAATTAGAGTTTATTGTAATAGGTGACTAAAAATCTAGGGTGCATTGGATTTTGTTGTTGTCAAAATTTAGTAATTTAGTAGAAATATTTTGCTGAAGAGTATCAGTTCCATTGATGATGTGATAGTGTTTAACTTTTAACTGAGTCTGTTAGTTATGCTTCTGATGTCTGTGACAATATTTATCGTCCTAATCTATTGATTTTGATCAAGCGCTGAGGCTGTCATTTCTGGTAAAGCAAAAACCATATATAGTTAGTAAGAATTCCCAGGCGCTCATCAATGGAAATGAAGTCATTTTGATTTTTGATTTTGCCAGATTTGCGCATTGACATAAACGAATCATTTCAAAATGGGTTTACCAATCAAAACAAGTTCCTTGCCAATTGGGTGTGCCCAGCCAACAAGGGAATCGAAATTAGGTAAAATTTCCAAAAGATTGACAATAATTTATTAGAGGCCAAAAAAAAAGTCAAAATGGAGTTGGCATTGTATATTATCAGTGTGCCTAAAACTTCATAAAGCTGTGATGAGCAATTCTCAGTCTCAGCCACAGCCACTAATTATGAAGCAATCATACAGTGAATGGAGCTATTCAATTCTAATTTTCACGCGAAAAGACAAAAGAGAAAAAGAAGAAGATATGATCGAGCGGTAGCAACTTGTAAGCATTTATAGCATCACATACGTACACGTGTAAAACTCAAGTCGAATGATGCATATAATCACATCAAACACACATCGCTGATCGCTCAATTCAAGTTTGGATAAATAAAGAGACAAAATATATGTACGGTGTCCTAATCTCTCTTCTTTCAAGGTTGGCCAGCAAAGAATTACAATGCCTATCTAAACACAATAATTGGTGCAGTTGCTTTGAAGGAAACATTAAAAGCTAATCCTATAATTAATTAATTAATTAATTAATTATGAATTATTACTATTAATTTTGTTTATTTGAGTAGAAAAGCAGTGCTTGTTATTCATCCACTTTGGACAAACCAAAATACGTTTGGTACAAAGATTTTGAAGGAGTGATTTTAAATTCAATTTTATTTTTTGTTTCTCATAACAAAGATTAAGTAAAATACTGAAAATGAAAATTCCTCGTGAATCATAATTCCTCATTTCGATAAAAATTAAATTATCAAGTAGTTATATGACCTTATGAAAGATGTAATTTTACTACTTAAATCCGAGTCGACCCAGTCAAAGTTTAATATCTAGCAACATGTTTGACCCGGGTTGAATTCAACTTTGGTTTAATTGAAACTTTATGATTATTAAGTCTCATACAGTTCATGCTGAACTGGAATCAATCCTAATATGCACAGTTCTATGTCATCGAGAAAGCAATCATATCGATTATACACGTGTTCTTAGATTATATTTTGTAGAAAATATGAGAAGTGAGAGATTTGAGTTCGAATTCTTTTTACTATAAAATTTATTATCATGCATAAATGTATTTAAAAAATATATTTTTATTAATCCTAATACATTATATCAAAAAATTTTAAAGATAAAGTTTATGAAATTTATTTAAATCAAATAAATTTATGAGATCAATTTAATTTTATTAGGTCAAAATTTTGTCCAGGAGTGTCAGGGACCTATCCCTCTCTCGCTACCCACCAAAACCCAGCTGTGGTCTAACTTTATCCATCTGGCCAAAAGCGGCTGACGAGAGGTTCTTATTAGGCTTTCAATTTCATTACTTTTTTAAGTTTTAATATATGGTTAGTTACAAGGGGCCAAATTAAACGTCAGGCCATAAAAGTTTTATAAATTATAAAAAAAAAATTATATGTTTCTTTTAGAGTAAATATATTGATAATAATTGAAATTTTAATATTTTGTTCCTTGAAAAAGTTTCCGTGTGAGAAAAATAATACTATACCATGGGTGTGCGGCTATTGTATTCTAAGAGTGCAGTGTGCTTTTAATATCTCAATCTCCAATATAAAAATAGAAAACCAATTATTTCCTAGAGATTGATAGAGTTAGGTAGCAGCAGAGATTTCCCTGTGCCAAAGTAAACAATACGATAATTTTCAAGTTTGGACTATACTATACGATATATATATATATATATATATATCGGTTACATTATGATTTCCGCGTATGAGAAACGAATCAACCATTGTTATTTCTGGTCCACTGTTACGAAAAATAATAATAATATGAAATAAAAAGTGGCTGTGCTGTTTTCCTAGTACACTGCTTTCTTCCCCACTCCAGATGATTCTAAAGAAAGACTACTCTCCACCAGATAACACTTATTCCTGACAACTCAACTCTAATTATAATGTTTATGCCAATTTTGCTTTCCCCATTCTAAATGTCATCTTCACCTACCCTCTTTATTCATTACTCTCCCTCGTCATCACTTTCTTCTGCCTATAAATACCTTCGCACCCTTTCTCCTATTCTGTGTCCCAAGTCTCAGAGACAAACAGGAAAAGCTATGGCCTTCTCCAAGCTTCTGATTGCTTCACTTGTCATCTCTCTTCTTCTTCTTCTCCATTTTGCTGAGGCTGATCATCAAACGGTAAGCTTCACTTAGATCATCCATTTGCTTATTTTAGTTTCGATTACTATTAAATATTGACAGAAAGGAGGTGCTGTTTGACTTGTGCAGGTCAAGTCAAAACTAGACGCAACTAATTCTCCCGCTGAGGAAATTGGTAAATAAAGATTTAGCGCAAGATGAACCCTAATATTATCAAATGATCAAATTAATTAACTAAGTGACGTTTAATTTACATGATGATGTTTTGATGATCGATCAGATTGCGGTAGCGCTTGCACAGCCAGGTGTCAGTTATCGTCAAGGCCAAACCTATGCAAGAGGGCATGCGGGACATGCTGTGCCCGTTGCAAGTGTGTTCCGCCGGGAACTGCCGGTAACTATGAGGCCTGCCCCTGTTACGCCAGCTTGACTACCCATGGTGGCCGACGCAAGTGTCCTTGAACCCTTTTGCTTTAAGACGCAAATTATCTCTTTCACACGCACATATATGTATGGGGTGATCACTTATATTTTCTTATTTACTTCCTCAGTTCATGGAACTTTGGTTCTGTATCTCTTTCTGTTTCTATATGGAATAAATAATTGCTAATAATAGAATAATTTTATTTTAGCGCATTGCAATTTCATAAATTTTTGTACATTTTATGTTCCGTTTGTTTCTAAATTTTATCTGTATTCAAATTAAACCAACATATGCTCTGTTCGTTTGTCAGTGAAAATATAATAAAAGTTATAAAAATTTATAATATTTGATTAAAAAATAATTTAATAACTATTTAATTTAAAAGAATTAAAAAAATATTTAATTATATTGAAATTTTTAGTTAAAAATATACTTTTTATTTTTTTAATTATATTTGAATTTGAATTACAAACTTTGGAATTAGAGATAATATATGAGGTAATTCAGCATCACGTGCATATCCTTAATATTGGCTTTTTCCCATTTAAGGATTAATTTCCATGCACCTGATATGCTCTTCACAAATCTAGACATTCATCTGCCACTATTGTTTGCCTTCCATACGCGTGCACACCATGCAATTGTCCTCTTCTACCATGTCTCTCACTTTCACTCTTTAATCTTTATATATATATATATATAATTAATTAATTAATTAGTAATTAAAGTCCAATTAAACCTTAGACGCTCAAAGCGATGGTCATCTCCAAGTTCTTGCTCGCTTCCCTCTTCATCTCTCTCTTCGTTCTTCAGCTCGCCAAAGCTACTCAAACGGTGACGTTTATGTTCTAACTATCTTCTTTTCTGCTGATTTCTTTTCTTATACTGTAATATTTATTTTCTTTGCATGATCCTACTGCTTAATTTGTAGCAGGAAAACACAAATCTAAATGCGAGTCCTATACCGAAAATTGGTAATGTTTATTTAATTAATCGATCCCTATGTAGAATTCAATTCATTAAAGATTTATGTATTATTTACTTATAATAATATTAATTACTATTTTCTTTTTCTTGGAATATCTAGACTGTGGTAGCGCCTGTAGTAATAGGTGCCGGTTAGCTTCGAGACAAAGGTTATGCCATAGGGCATGTGGGACTTGCTGTGCACGCTGCAACTGTGTTCCGCCGGGAACTTCCGGCAACCATGAGGTCTGCCCCTGCTACGCTAGCTTGACTACTCACGGTGGTCGGCGCAAGTGTCCTTGAACCTAAACCCCTCTTTCTACCTGTATAAACAATGTGTAATAGTGAAAGAAATAAATCAAGTTTGGAAGCCAGCCAGAAGATAATTAAGCCACTGTATCAAAGAAGCTAATTAAGCCAGAAAAACGTATCTTAATAAATAATTAAGTAGAGATGTAAACTTAAAAGCAACATTAAACAAGCTCCATGAAGCATGCTAAACATGTGCTAACTGCTAACCACCATATTCCAGATAGTTCCAAGTGTTTTTTACTTGCAGATTTAACCTTCCTATTGCTTTTTCAATAGATAAAGAAGAAACTTGTGTAAAGCATGAGTCGAGCAAAAGGGAAGATGAAATATGAATTTAAAAACCGAAAATTATATCTTTAGACAAATATTACGTTTTCATTGAAATTGAATTTAAATGCAACTGCGTTCCGCCGGGGACCTCCGGTAACTGTGATGCATGTCCCTGTTACGCCAACACGACAACCCACGGTGGAAGACACAAGTCTCCCTAGCTTTTACTACTTTAAATGTGTCTCATCTTATGAGTAATTTTTTGAACAATATCATTTTATTATTTTCTTATTCAATTTTTTATTGTATTTGTGTACATGAATATAAAAAAGTTAACATTATTAAAATTTTATGTGATCTTAATAACATAATGCAATTTCTCAAATTTTTTTTCTAATGATATTTCTCAAAAATTAACGCCCAATAACGGATTAACGGCCAAAAACTCAGGGTAGCCAACCCAATAAATAACAATGCTTGAAATTCTTGAAACATGCCTATATCATGGCCCACCCAGCCCAATAGAAAAGCCCATTTTGTGGGCAAATTAGGATTTTGAGAATAATAGACTGATGCATATTTTCACCCTAGGTTTCTGAGCCTAACCGACGTATGCTGTTCCTTCAACTTTTTCTTGTTCTTTCAAAAGTCTCCCAGTTCATATATATTGTGAGACAGCTATTTGAGGGCTTTTCTGCTTTATTTTTGTGTTTGAAATCTAGAAAATCGCTTTGAGGATTTAAATTTATTGTTCAACTCTTATAATGTTTGTGATAAAATCAACACTGACACAGATTGAAACTCGCATTGATCTCCATTCGGTAAAGTGGCTTTGCAGCCTGTGTTATCCGATTTTACACATGCTTTCTTTTCGCTACTTGGAAGAACGCCTTCTGAAGAAAATTCAAGAAAAGATCGCATCAGTCAGCTTCCAGATGAATTCTTTCTTCAGTTTTATCATATTTGACCACGAAAGACGCTGTTAAAACAGGAGTCTTATCAAGAGGATGGCGGCATCCAAGTTTGTGGCAGCTCCTTCCACCAGGGTCCGAGCTCAACTTTGATTGTAAATGGGCTTTTGCCGAGATCAACCTAGATTTTAACTGGGATGGTTAAGATGTCGAGGAAGTTCATAAATGTGGACAATGTAGACCTTCATTTGTGCAAGGTGTTAATAAGTACTTAAATCAGTATAAAGGTCAGAAAATTTGTTCCTTTAGAGCGGCCTTTTGCCTTGGCAGGAAGTTTGCTTCAGATATTAATCGATGGATCACTTTTGCAGTTAAGCTGGGTGTTCAGGAGCTGAGAATTCTTGTTCATGCTATGGTACGTCAAACTGCAAACGACATGAGTTTGAAGGGGTATTCTAGAAAATATGATTTACATGTGTTTAATATCTATCCCACTGGATCAAAGTATACTGCTATTTATTCTGTCAAGGTGTTGTAATCTTGAAGTGCTGAGATTGGCCGAGTGTTTCTGTCCTGCTGTTTGAGTTTTCACGGCCCATTCCTATGGCTGAAGAATTTGACTGCACGTTTTTGTGAAGGATTGGAGGAGATTGAGCTCTCTGCTACATATCTCACCACGCTTGAGGTTTTCAGTGATGAAAAAAATTTTAACATTGTGTTCTCTAGTGTTCCCAATCTGGGAAATGTTTTCTGTGAGAAGCCTTGCAGTGGAAGCTTCCCAGTCGACTTATGCAATAAAATTGCTACTGCTGTTCCTCAAATCCAATCTTTAATATATGTCCTTTTCTATTACACCGGTATGCAAATTATTTATATTTCATGGTCATATCAAGTTTTGTTCAAGCATGTCTTCTATTTGTCTGAGACTATTTCATGTCTTGTTCCAGCCAATTGATATGCCTATTCACGTAGCAAGATTTGGCAATTTGAAGCAACTGGAATGCTTTGTATCTGCCCGCAGAAATACTTATGACGTCCGGAAGTTTATTCCTGTTATAATTGCCTGCCCTCTTCTTCAAATATTCAAATTGACGGTTAGTCATCATCTTTACTTTCCTTTATAGTAGATAATTGAAGCATTTCCATTTTTTCACAAACAAACTGATGTTATGGCACTTGTTACAGATAGAATCAAGTAGCTAATTTAGAACAGATATAGAAATCCCAGAACGCCATTTTACTGAGTTGAAAGAAGTTGAAATTGGTGGATTTCGAGGCACTGAAACTGAACTTGAGTTAGCTTTATATTTGCTGAGAAATGCTGTTGCAATTGAGCAGATGGTTATTAAATCTTGTTTAAAGCGCTTTGTTGCGATTGGGGAGAGCTCGCCGTATCTGGAATTACAGCCTTGGACTGCTTTGAACCATAGAAAGATCATCGAAAAATTGCAAGGAAAGGCAGCTTCCAAAGTGCACGACTGATAACTTTGAATCTACGTCCCAAGTATTAAATGGACTATATGTAATATATTATTGTTGGACTATATTTGATTTTTGTGATTGAATATTTGCCTCATTTCTAGATTTCTTGTGAATTCTGATATATCAAAATTAATTTTAGAAGTGGCAATACTTATTAATTTTTCTGAAGCTGTGTATCCATTTATCAAAAATATGATTTACTTAAGTGATTTTAAATTAAAAATATTAGGTAAAAATAGTTGTGCCTCAAATGAGATTAGTGTAATAAATGCAGTGCAACCGTATTTCAATACTTTGGCCTGTGGTCACGTCCCTAACTAAGAAATAAACATATTATTATGTAGCCCATACATAGCTACTACGTCCTTTCCTTGTCGTTTTGTCCAAAATTCTAAGAGCATGAATTCCAACGGGTCAATGGGTGTTTTAGTCATTTTGATGTATTAACCAGAAAGAAGCCAGAGTCACGCGTAATGCATGAGTACATTACCGCTTCCACGCCGAATCGCACAGGATCGAATCGTCACACCAAAAATATCCCCCCACTCCGCTCCCAAATCAATTAATCGCCATCATCTGTTCAATTAATCGCCGAGTTTCCACTCTTCGTAGCTTCATCTTCCTCGTGACTGGACCTTTTTCTAGAATTAGAGTTGCAGATTTCAGTGTTTTCAGAGAGGAGAAATATTTTATTGACTAGAAGCTACTCTCTCTAGCGCGTGACTCGCATCTCGCTCCATCCTTCCGCCATTATTAGAGGCGCGTGTCAGTTAAATGTCCATATCATTGAGTGAGGAAAAAACTAATTCCAGAAATTAAAAAAAAAGTTCAAAGAAATTCGTAGAAAGGTACAGAATATTTTTTTCTTGCAGAGACTTGAAGATCAGTCGCTTTTACTCGTACGGATAGAGCCGATTCCCACGTGGCAACCGAAATGAAACCCAGCCATATCAGCCGTCCATGAGTTGAAGCAGGGTCGTTTCCGTTGCTGCATTTCTCACATTTGATAGTTTTTGTATAATGGAGCAGTCCGTTAGTCTGTATTTTGTATATAAAAGAATGAATCCAAAGGTGAAAACAGGCCCAAGTTTGTTAGAATCAATCGGGAGCGTTACAATATCTGATTCAGTGTAGGAAAGTGCAGAGTGGACAATAATACATGTGGATGGCATTATCCTGCGTGGAAGACACGTATTACTAGCATGGTCTGATGAATCAGAAGGCTGTAGATGAGTAGCCATTGGACATGGAATGACGTGGAGACTGTATAAATGTAGAGTAGAGAGAGAGAGTGTGTGGCCGTTTTGGTATGCATTTAAAGAGGATTTTAACACTGCAAAAGCTTCGGATTTTCCGTCTTTTGGGAGTCTGTGAACTGAGAGAGAGAAGGGGAGAGAATATGAATGAAGTAGAGTTACACGTGTAAAACTGTAAATTTTGTTATGAATTTTTAAGCTTCCTTTTCAAGGTTTTTCTTGTATTTCAATGGCGGTTTTTGGGATGAAGATAGAGTTTTTTTTAATTAGTCTCTGGCTCTGGGATTTTTCCTTTTTTGGGGTTCTGGAGATTAGTTCTCGGAGCAAATAAGTTTTTCAAAGGACTTAATGTTTCTCTGGACGTGATGGGTGTCATTAGGATCTGATTTTTTGGAAGTGATGGGTGTGATTAAGATCTGAGGAAAATGAGAAGCAAACAGACTTTAGCAGAGTGATAATGAATTTAGGTTGAGAGATATTCGTGGTCATTAATAATGAGGTTTTCTTTTTTAATTCAAAAGATGTTTTTAATGAGTAGGATCTGCTTCTGCTCTTGTAAAATGCAAGAGAGGGGTGTTTCACGGGTTTAGCAGAGAGAGTGTGAGTTTCCTTTCCCTCTCTCCTTTTTTGTGTGTACAAGACTTTGAGAGTTTTTTGCGTGCATTTTTCTCTCTCTATTTCCTCTTTTTCTCTCTCTGTATGTGCTTTATTTCACGAAGAACCTGATTCTCTAAACACGAGGAACGAATTACTTTTCTCCTTTCTTTTCTCTTTTTTATTTTTCTTTCACTCAATCTCTTTGCTTTGCTTTTTGTCTCTGTTCTCAACCTCTCTTCTTTCGTCTTCATCTCCTACCAGAGAGATCTTTCCTTCACCTTCCTCTACTCACACTCGGAGGAAGAGAGCGAGATATTTGCCAACAAAATTGATTCTCTCTTTCCTTGGAACAAAAACCCAACCACCACTTTTTCGGTTTTCTCCATCCTTACATTCCGGTAATAATTAAATCCAGAAAAAAAAATACTCTCTTAATTTTGTTGCTGTTCTGCTCATTACTCAATTGTCGAAATCCATAAACGCCAGTGTTCTTTTGTCTCCTTCATTCCATTGAAGAAGAGCTCAAATTTGGAAGAAAGAGAGAAGAAAGATCTGCGTTTGGCTTATTCGAATCGGTTCTGGGCCGTGGAAGCCGTTTTCAGCAGGCGGATGATGTTAGTTTTATGATGATTAAGATGATAGAAACAGACAAGAGTCGAGACGTGAGGCGTGGAGCGAGTCGGTTTTCGCGACAGATTAAGCAATCTGGACTCAAGCTCGTCTCTGGTGAATTTACTTCACTCTCCTTTATTTCTGGTCCCGAAAAATTCACGTTTTTTTCTAAACTAAGAAACAAAACCCCATCTTAGTACTTGTCGTTTTCTGTATATTCTTAATCAACTTTGTGATAAGAGTTTCGCAGATAAATGCTTGTCTCTTATGTCGCCTCTTTGCGCTGTTTTTGCTGTTAGTCTTGTTCATCTTATATTTATGTGTGTTCTGATTTAAAGCTTTGAACGGTGACTTTCTATCTTTGGAGAAAACGACCAAAGAGAGAATTAAAAAATTGAGTGCTGTTAATCGTGAAACTTCGAGCAAAGAGGAGAATTATGAAATGGGTTGTGACGTAGCTGATAGAGAAGAGGTCCTTCCTTCACAAGCTCCTTCTATTAGTGGCAGTGGTGCCAGTAAGAGATTCAAGCTACCCAGAAAGGTAGACTATTAATTGTATCAGATACAGTGGTAGTTGTTTCTTAACCAAATTTCCATTTTTATTGTTCATTAACCTTTTCCTTTTCTTTCACCTTGTTCAATTCAATTTTTCAGCAATTTTTTGATAACTGTAATGGCGTTGCTCATGTTTCTGTTCCGCGCAAGCTACGGTCAGGTGTGTGTTTTGTCTGTTAAAACATCTTTTTATTATTGTTATTATTTTCTTTCATTTTTCTTTAATTAACTATTTAGAGGTCACTGGTTTTTATTTGGTGGTTGGTCTTTCCCAGAAGTTTCGTATCTTTTTTTGTTTTGTTTTTTAGCTTTGTAAATTTTGGATTAGGACTTAAGCAAAACTGAAATTTTTTTAACTTTTTCTTTCTTTTTGTGGAGCGAGGATTCTGTTTGTTCTTTTCTTTTTCAAATCCTATTTATAAGTTAATGATGGGACTTTCGCCATGGATTGATTCTTTTCAAATAATTAATTGTGTTTGAAATTTTTGCTTATTTTCTGTTTTCTATTCTTAAGCTTACTTTTCCACTATAGATATTAGATAGATTTTTATGAATCTAGTTTTTCTTTTTCCTTTATTTCCAATTAGAAAGAAAGACAAACAAATATCAAAGCTTGATAATTTCTGTTGGAATTTATCCTTTGCAAATGTGGGGATTTTTATTCACAGCCATGAAGAAACGCAATCGAGAATCTATATCTCCACCTTTGCCAGATTCAAAGAAGCTAAACCATTCTACTGGTGGTGTCGAATCACCCAAAAGGGTTGGCGTAAAGAAATCGAAACTGAACCTGGTTAGTCACTTCTATCAAGCTGCTAATCTCACTTATGCTTTTTGGATCAACCACAACATAAAAGATAAATTTGCTTTTGTAGAAACAAGTGGCCCCAAACTGGTCCTTGAAGGAAAGTGCTGGTGGGCCAATCACCAAGGATGAGGAAGAAGTTGTGGAGACCTTGTATGCTTTGGCAGGAATGTTCCCTGACAATGACCCTGATTGTAACACAAAATTGGATAGAGCTTCTTTAGAAGCAAGTTCTTTAGCTTTGCCAGAGGCTAGTGAGAGTCACCTGCCCAAATTGGAAGGTAAACTCTTGTTAATTTCCGACATAATATCACTTGATTTTTTTTTCCGGTTAATGTGGATACGTGCTAAAATATATAATCTTTCAGATTCTGTAGCTATAAAAGAAGACTTGAACGAAATTTGTCTATCAAAAATTGACGAGGATGTCAATCCTATTCTTGACATAGAAAAATCACCTGAAGAAACTGTTAAAATTTCTTCGTTGAATGGACCAAGCATTCGAGACCCATCTGATTTGCCCTGCAGTGAACAACTCCATGGAGGATTAGACGGTTCTGTTGCTCAAATGAATCTGCAGGAGCTGTTGGTTAAACATGAGGAACAAAAGCCACCTTGCAATTCAGTTAACTTTTGTGTTCCACCTGGGCCACATCAGGATACTAATGGGTGTGTGCTGCTTTTCTTCTTTTTCCTTATCCTTTTGATGCTGAACGTAGAACCTTACTATTTACTTTCCTTTTTCGGTTTTTATGCATTTGATGATATATATGTCCTTTGATGTTATGTATATTCTTGATCATGCAGCTTAGATCAGGCAGTAAAACTGGAAATTTCACTGCTTGACAGAAAGCCAGAGATTGCATTGGGGCAGGTAAGGATGGTTTCAATGTTTAAAGCAAACATATCCATAAGTGAAAAATGGTGATTTTAACTTTTGCTCTTGTTTTTCCTTTTCAGTCTATGACAATTGGAAGTCAACTGGATCAACATCATACTATCAGTGAATCCAAGAACAATGGTAGAACTATAGCTTTCTTAAATATTGTAACTTGTGATCTCTGAATTACTTCTCTAAACTACCAGTGGTTGAAGAATTAATCCACTCTTTCATCTGAAGGTCCAGCACTGTGGCCAGGATTGTCTTCAACAGTGTCAACCACTGCTTCTCATGGTCCTTTGTCACAGTAATTTTCATTGCATTCTTCTGATTTTGTACAGTTCATATACCCTTTTTCCTTTTCCTTTTCTCATGTGATTTTGGCTCTCTCAGATCCTGTGCTGTTAAAGTACCTGCTTGGCTTGGTAGCAGACCTGGTTTCTTGCAAAATGGTTCATCAAGTGGAAAGGTGAAGTCTTGTAATGTAATTATTGTGTCTCTTGCCTACTCTTGAATGCTGGTGTAAGACCTCCAAAACTGGGCCACCTTTTTCTTTTAAAGCATCCTTTGAGTACTTATTGTGGACTGTCAATGCTTCAGGTTTCCAAAGTTTCAACTGATAGGAGGTCATGGAAGAGGTGTGCGGCTCATGGTTACATAAGCCATCTCATCCGGGCTTTGCAGACGTCTGATGGCAAAGAAAGCTTGCCAGTGCCTCAGAACCAACTGAGACCTCATGAAATTCTAAAGCAAGGCGTACTCATGACAATAAATGACTTCAATCGGAGCAGGACTGATTTAAGTGGAATTACATCTGCTGCTAGCACAATAGTTAATCCAGTCGAGAAAAATTCCAACGACAATAAAATTGGTATTCTTCAACACCTAAGGCCACACCAAGATAATTCACCGGCAGCTCTGGCATCCGGGATGTATACCTCCCATAAGCAGGTGAATTAGAATACCGTTTCCAACTTTTTTGTTGCCATTGAATTTGGTCTGATGAGTTTTGCTTTCTTGCAGAGTTTCAATTTCTTGTCTCTCACAGCTGGAGGTGGAGGGATGGAACCTAATAGCAGTTTTAATGGAGTTGGAAACACTTTGGAACCATTGGCACAGTTGCAAGTTCCATATCATGCTCAGCATCCAACACTTGTACCTTTCTCCATGTCTCAAACACGATACACATCTGCTTACACTGATCAGCCTTCAGCATCACAACAGGTTTTTCATTTTTTCTTTGATTCACATTTGTGTTAATATAAGGAGGCGGGAATAAACTAATACTGACCAAAGAAATGGTTTTAGACTGTTTATTCACCATTTTTTTTGAAGGTTAAGATTCTATTGCATGCATAATACCCATTAAATGATGGGATGCACTGAAAGTAGAAGTTCCTTCTCTTTTTAAGTGTTGGGGACCAGACAGTACGTGTTACATACAACATGTTTGCTGAGTGTCTTTTGGCGTGCTGTTTATCCATTGCTGAAATGTCATGAACCCAAAAGTTTGCATCAACTACCATTTCTGTTATTTATATAATTTAGTCACTGCTAGTAAGTTGCTGATTCTTTGATTGTAGGCCCAACTTCAGTTGCCTTCCCATGTCAGCAGCCCATATTGTGTTCCTCATGTAAGTCCCAAGGCCATGACAAAGCAGCAACAGCAACGGCTCTGGGCGGCCCAGTTAGCAGCTCAGTACAGGAATAATGGAACTTCCACAGCCACAACTCAGTTCCCAGGCTGGCAAAGTGGAAGGCAAGACTCGCCTGTGCTGCTGCCTTGTATACCTTCACCTTCAACTCTAGAAGTGGTAGGCCCCAAGTATCCTCGGATCTCTCAACAACAGCAGCATCAACAGCAGCATCAGTTCATGGCCTTCCCTTTGTCAGATGCAAGGGCGAAAAGGCAAGACCATCACATTTCTTCTGTTTACGAAGAAAATGGAGTTGGATTTCGAGCTGGTGGTGGTCCACTGCCATTGCAATTACTCTGCAACGAGCGATTATGAATAGGAATGGGGTCAAAAGTTGTTATAATCAGATGATGGAAACAATAAAATTATTTCATTCTTTCCTTCTGTTAACACAGGTGACTTGATGCTCCATTTTGTCATATAATCAAACGGTAAATAACGATTTACTTTATAATTGGGGCATCAAAACTGCATGAAAATAGCAGATTGAAAATGCCTAGCACAGTTTTACCCTTTTAGTAGGAAAACATGAAGGAATCTGTTTATGCCCAAGCTTCCTTCTGCATAGTTATAGTTATGCAGTTGGAAACTAGCTATACGCACTTGTTACCATGTATAAGAAAGATGAATTTCACTTTTGTAAATTTCTGGTCCTCTACAATAGCTGAACCGAGGGATCATATCAAATATAGCAGCATGTTACTTTCACGACTTTTGAGACTTCCTCTTGGGTTGCGGAACAAAGCAAAGATTTCAAACACCTCCCATGTGCACGTTATCTAAATGATGCACAGAAAAAAGAAAATTCACCAATGGGTTAACGCACATTCACTTTCATATATGACATGCCAACAACGAATAAACTTTTGATCAATAATAATTAATTAGCCGTGTTGTTTCAAACACCAAGGCAGTTGTAAAAATAAAATTTTCTGGCTCATTCCAATTTTACAAGGGGAAGATCTTGCTGTGCCAACGAAGCCAAAAATAAATGCGGAAGAAACAGAAGAAAAAACAAAATGGAAGAAAACTAAGAAAAGAAAATGATATGTAAACACTCTTCACAACAGAATAAATCTTCACTCGAGCTTCTCCAATTCTCCCATTCTCTCTATGATCGCCTGCAAATTGTAGCAACATCCAACTCAACACAAATTTCTAGGAAGCAAAAAATGTTATGCAAGAGAAGCAAAAAATTGGCTCACCTTCTTGCTTGTTTCTTGGAGCTCCCCAGCAAGAATGAATTCATCGAGTATCAGATAAACCTGCAAGGAGACCAGGTAAATCAGATTTAATAGCAACAAAGAATACTTTTTCCCCCAGTTCAAAGCAAACATGAGCAAACATATGTATACGCACAAAAGGCCTGAATTAGAAGACAAGAACGGATGCAGCAAGTGTCTATTATAACTCTTGCAGCAATAACAGCAAGAAAATGTAAGTTTAGTCAGTTCTAACAATTCAATTCGGAAAACAAAAGTTAGTAATATTAAAAACCATGCACTTACATTTCTTCTTCTCAATGTATGTACAATTGTAGACAGATGACATTAGCATGGTAACACAATTACAAGTTACAATAGGCACATGAAGAACATGAAAACAGCAATTTGTGCACTGCATAAAGAATTCCAAATGCATGGCGTAGGAAATTAAATGAATAAAAAGGGCAGTAACAAACCTTGTGAAAGTTAAATACCAAATCTAGCTCACACACGTTGCTGAAGAAATGATCCAATATCTCCACAAATAAATGGATGCACTCTAAATATGCCAATTCATTATCCGTTATATCAACACACAGCGAGAAAAATAATCCAGCATATCGCCTGTAGATGACCTTGTGTGTTCGGAACTGCAATAAAAATATTCATAATGCAATTATGTAAACATAGCAAAAATAATCAAAATATCATGGAAAAAGGATGACAGTGGAAGATGCTTCATTTAGTTCAAGCCAGACAACAATTCAACATAATGAGAACCAGGATATCCGGTTAGCCATAGAAACAATCCCAGGTAGAATACATGACAGGGACTAGGTATCTGATAAATTATGCAATACATGCAAAGCTAGAACCTTTATTTCTAACCTGAATCTCATGAATACCGTGCAATGACAGAAGTTAGAAGGTCGAGATATTTGTCCTTAAAAGATTAATTCCATGGTTACAAACATAAAAACTGAAATCATTTGATCGAGACCCAGGCCTATCCAAAGGGTTTGGTCTCATAAATTCAAAAACTACCCTGGTCTAGAAGAAATCTCAGAATTTTTGAGTAACAAGTAGCAGAAGCTAAAAGAAAGATGATGCACCGATGATGCTTCTAATGACATTCAATAGCCAAGACCTCACAAATACAAAGGAGAAGATGGCTCCATATGAAAAGCATCTATCAATTGTTGAGGCCAATGATTCAACTCGTTATGGTTTTCATAATCGAAAATTCACATGAAATGGAAAATTAATTAGATTATACAAAGTTAACAGTTTGATCAACTGAGTCAAAAATTACTTGTAACTGGACAAGATTATGAAATAACCAACCTCAACAAAATTCGTGAATTTGGGATCTCTGTTAACCACCAACCGATGAACCTACCCAAGAAAAAAAAAAAAGATTGAGGTAAAAAAACCCTAGCAAAATTGAGGTCAATCAAGAGCAAAAGGCGTAAACAAGATTGTATACCTCGTATTCGACTTTATGCTTCTCGGAATCCTCGAGAGGAACATAGTATTTGGCGAGACGAGTCTTGCCTTGCCTGTTCTGCAGAAGTATGAATCGGATCTGCCAAAATCAAAATCCTAGTTTCAATTAGCCAACAGAAATGGCACCAAGCAGACCTGCATCAACAATGCAACAACAAAAGTACCATTCTTATCGAGAGATCGGTGAGAAGTGATCGAACAACAGTTAGGAATTATGTGCAGACGGCGTAAATCTAGGCTACCACCAAAAAATGGTGCAAAGCAATTCCGCCACTTTCTTCGTCCTGGTACGAAGGTTGAAATTTCGAGAGGCAAAAGGAGGGTCAATAGTGAAATCTAGCGTGTAACTCATGCGTACGGATAATAAATACTGTGAAATGTAACGCTCAATCTGATCTCTTCTGATGTCGTCATTCCCTTAATTACTTTTATTCTCTTCAAGCAGTATTAATTTTTTAAAAATGATTTAAATAAATAAGTTATAAAATTTTTAATTGGCAAATTAATAATGAGAATAAAAAGAATTTTAATAACTTTTCAAAAAATTTAATAGTTATGAGAAAACTTTATTCATCATTTTTAATTGTGGATATTGCATATTTATTTTTATAATAAATTAATAATTAGCTCTTTTAATTTTTAATTTCCATTAAGAAAATAAAAGAACCAGCCAGATTCTGATTCCCTTGTATTTTTTCCTGGGTTTTTTTTATCAGTTCGAGGTAAGGTAAAACAAAGGTGAAGAATGTGGTGAAGGAGGATAAAAAAAAATTGAGGAGGATAAAAAAAAATGCCCTACTTCATCCTTATTGCTTCATGGCACAAAATTGCACCACAAAGATATGGTGCATAAAGTAGGAGATTTGATCTCACAATTATTACATTTACAATTACAATTCTACAGCTGAATTCCCAAAGGCAATCAGTAACTCCTTCTTCTTCTTCTTCTTCTTCCAACTCCAAAACCAAGTTTAACTACATAACAGAGACCAGGAAAACTAATGTGCTTTGACCAAAGATTAATTACACTTGAAATAAGTTGCAGTCTTGGCAATTGGGTAGTTGGTTAACCTAATAATCATGATCATACTTCGAATTTGTGGCAGCCAAGAGAGCAGCTCCAATACCAGAACCGTCTTTCGAATGCTCTATAACTATATTCTTTGAAATTTCCAAGCCCAGAATTTCTGTGACAGCCTCTTGTAAGTATCTTCTGTACTGAGGATAGTGCTCATATAAGCCGCCATCCATAGCCACTACTGTTCTCTTCCCAAATATGAGACCTTTTGAATCCTCTTCCATCTTTTGCAGAATTCCCACAATTCCTGCACCAGCTAAGCGTCCACCTCTCTTCACAATGGTGTCACAAACCTCTACTACAATCTTTCTTGCACTTGAGCTGGATTCAGCCTGGATTGAAATAAGACATAGAAAAGTAAAAACGCAATCAGTGGTTGAATAGAAAAACTATTTCTAGGCACTTAGGAAAATATATGGAAGTTATAAAAATCATTTATTTTTCTGTATAGATATATATCAATTTTGTCCCATACATTAACTGTTCTGTATATAATGTATAATAGCAGGGCAAAAGTCAGATAATGGAAAATATGCCCTTCATTTAGAAGTTTGGAAAGAGTAGGATATTACCCCAAGAACATTGCATAGGATTGATCCAACAGATTGAAGATCATCAGAATTGTCCTGCTGCATTGCACATAGATCTGGGGTGCTGTAATAAAATTGAGACCATGCTTCAGTACATGGGGAAAAAAATAATTCAACTGAACATTACAAGAAAAAAGGAAAAAGATAAATGCCACGCATTTTTTAACTGAATATAAGTTATAACGAGAAAATAGCTTTAATGAATTAAAACTAGATTCAGATAAGGCTTCACCAATACATTAACAAACTTCCAATTCCTTGAACTTCATTATGCAATAAATGTATACTTAACTAGGCAGGTAGATATGAAGGATTACCAACTCAGGAGTTGTATCAGCACTCTACTAATACCAATATGAGACTGATAACAAGAAGCTAGCTTCTACTTGTGTAACTGATACTACAAAAACAACAGCAAGCTGATGGCAAGTTGGCAACTCAACCAGAACACATAAGCTGTTTGTTTATGAATTTTGGTAGTTTTGAACCTTAAAACTATACATGAATAGAACAAAGAAAACTTCAGATGTAGTTACCAAAGTGCAAAAGGTGTGGATAGTTTTTCTGGCACAAATTTGCCAAACAAAGCACTCTCTTCAGCCATCTTCAGTAGTACTCGTCGTGCAATTTCTCCTAGATACATTCCAGAGATTGTCTTCTCGAATATCTGCTTATGACAATATAAATAGCAAATCATAAACTGAGTACAGTTCTATATGACAATGTCAATTGACCATAGCAAAAACAATTAAAGTTGTACCTGCTCACCCGGATTGATACTTGCAGCATCCATTTCTCTATCAAATTCAGTCAAAGGAATGCCAGTTGAAAATGCTCCCCATTCAGTGTTAACAATCTGAAGCAAGAGAACTTCATCAAATTCAGGAATTAAACCAAGATTCAAGACCACAATCCTTGATCTATATATTGAAGAAGTTATAAAAGATGAAGGAAAAGACGTGACTGAAAGGGAAGTGGGCAGTCTTTCATACTGTTCTTCTAGAAGATGACTTTGGTCCCTGCAGTTTTGGAATAGCATCTATCCTTTCTACATAGCAAGCATTGGTTCCAGTACCCAAAATCACTGCAACCATGACATCATTATCCCAGTATCTTGCTCCTGCTAAAGTTCCCACAGTATCATTAACCTATTTGCCATCAATTTTTAACAAAGCTGGTTACTATATTAGCCCAAAAACTTTATGAAAGAGGAGGGTACTAAAATGAGAACAGCATTACCAGGGCAGACACTCTCATATCTAAACCTCGCCTTTTCATAGCTTCATTTAGACAAGCGACAACATCTCTTCCTGCCTGCATGAAGTATCCAGTTTGGACAAGAAATATTAAAGAACTAGGGGTCTAGGACTCATACAAGTTACTTTACAAGTGCCAAACATTAAAGGAAAGGTTTATATTTATCATGACTAATTTTAAGCATGCAAGAATAAAAGGGAATGCCTTCAAGAAGTCTGCTTTACTCCATTAAAATGGCAGGCTTTTTAGTCTTGTTACCAATTATACACTGAAAATTACAAACGTCTAAGTTCCCAGAAATACACAAACCGTTCCAGAGACTGCAAAACCCTTGGTCCACTTTATCAATATGCCAGAGTCAACAGATGTTTGTTTCACAGGGAAAGAAAATGTGAATCCAATCTCCCTTTCCCTTCCATGTGGCAGGTGAAATTTTCCACCTTCTTTTTGTGCAAAATTTGCCAGTCCAGAGGCAATAAAATCAAAAAGTTCCTGTATTAATTAGTAAAAATCAAAATAGTTAAGCAATAAACAAACATTTAGTTTAACAGAATTAAGATCCTATCAAAATCATAAAACAGACCTCAGAGGTACCGAACATTAGCTCTTGAGGAATTGATACTTGCTCAAATTCAGTGGCAACAACTCTCTCTTCCTTCCCACCTAATTGCACTCTTAGCACCCGAAAATTTGTGCCGCCAAGATCCAATGCATAAAACAATCCTTTCTCATTCCTTTCGGCAAAAATGCACATAATAATTATAAAATAACCAAAATTTAATTTTAGAAAGCATTAGTTTAGTTTTGAAATACCCGCTAGGTAAGCTATCAACATAGCTGAGTATCATCTTCAGATCACTAGCACCATCAGCCTCGAGTCCAGCTCGCATATCGGCGGTCATGGCGTCCGCCACCTGGCGAAGGACAGGTAATGGAGTTGCACACTCCTTCTGCAACTTTGTGAGGATCGGAGCCACTGAAACGACGTTCGATCGGACGGCCATCCTCATAGGAGACAGACGCCTCCGAGATCGCGAAACACAGAATGATCCAACGGCAGGGGAGGTGGTAGTGGCAACCGACATTGTCGTAGATTGTGGAAGTGGGATCAAAGAATGTGAAGGGAATAGAAAAAGGAAATTTGTGAGGCTGAGACAAACTGAGCATACATGGTGAACAGTTGAGCTTTTCTCACTTTATTTCTTGACGGGAAGGTTTCAACAGTCAGTTACGTTACGAGATTTATTATTAATAATTAATAATAAATATATAAAACATGAAACTCACTGTCTGTTAATAGATTTATTGATATTTAGCTAACGGATCAACTAACTAACCGTTTGCTTTTCAGACTTCAGTTCTGATTTCATAATTTATTAACTATTTATATTTTGTGTCATTAAATTAATTTCGGGTATTTTTAAATTTTAATGGAACAAATAGAAAACTAGCGTTAGGACAAAGCTGGCGGGACTTTGGTGGCGGACAACACGATGTTAAATTGGATTTGGATGTTACATTTCTGCTTAGTTCTGTTCTGTTCTGCTCCTCTTCGGATTCTCCGATTTGGACGTTCATAGTCTGTCCTTGGGCTGTTTTAATGTGCGGGTAAGTGCACGGATACGCCTATTGTTGCTTTCCCTGAGCTAATGACAATTAAACGGTCTATCTTTGGGTGTAAAATGAATTGGGTCCGAAAATGGAGAATGGGTGGGCCACTAGTCCATGATTGTTTGTGTCCACTCAGGATTGAATTTTGTCTCCTTCCTGGTAAGGTTTTATTACTCACTTGGGCCGCATGATCGGCAGCCCAAATAATGCCAAGCCAGCATAAATTTTTTCATGCTTTCATTCTCTAATATTATATTTATTTTATTTTATTTTAAAAATGGAAATTCTTTACTTTAATAATAAACATAATATGACTACGTCATAATATTTTTCTAGAAAAAAATTAAGAAATATAGATAGAGAGAATTCAAATCTTCTAGGTAAAAACTAATTAGATAGGAAGAAAATAAAAATTCTATGCTATTTTGTTATTTTAGAAATTTACTACACTGGCATCAAAAAAAGAGTCTAAAATGTCAAATATTAATGGAGAAACAGGTCGAAATATTTGACTGTTACTGTATTGGTAAAAAAAAATTTACTCAAATTTAAAGATCTAAATCATAAGGCATCTAATGTTTTATAATGATTTGTGAAAATATTACTGTTGGTAGGGCCTTTGATTCGTTGCGGATTGGTGAACAGTCCCTCTCCTTTGCCTAATAAATGAACAATGGGCCGTAAGACCCATTTGAACCCCGAAAAAGAACATAAAAAGGAACCATCCACTGCCACCTACCGGCGTATACAAATATAACAGAATTCTAGTGAAGTGGACGCGAAGCAAGGAAGCTCTTCCTCCTTAAATATCTTTCTTCTACATACATCTTAACTAGAATCACTCCTTGCTGCTCCGTAACCTTCTCTCCTCTGGAATCCCAATAAAAAGGACACTCTTGTTTCACTTTTGCCTCATTCTATCTCTTAATTTGTCTCTTTCAGAGACTAAAAATTAACTAACAAACACGATGGACACTGAGGAGGGCGTGGTGGTAATCAAGAGAGCAGAGATCGATACACGCCCACCATTCCGGTCAGTTAAAGAGGCTGTTACATTGTTCGGCGAGAAAGTTTTGGCCGGCGAGCTCTATGCTAACAAGCTCAAAGAGGTTATAATTCGTTACTTCCTGGCTTGCTATCTACTATTATATTTCTTTTAAGTAATTTGGCTATGGGGTTCTTTTAATTTCTGACATTCTTTCCTTTGTGTTTTTTTTTTATTTTTTTTCTCGAATAAACCAATTTTAGCACTTAGATATTGCATGTGCCTCCTCGTTGTCCTTTCATTTCAGTTTGAGGATGACCAAACTAGAAGCAATTCAGTGGAGAAAATTGATGCAATAAAAATTGCATCAGTGGTTCATTAGAAAATATTTTGCTATATCATATAATTGATGCCTTTTAACTATATGTCCATCATTTGCATGTGCTTTTTACATTATGTAGTCGTTGACAGTGGCGGGCCAAGATTGAAGGATAATGGAGGCAAAAAAATTAAAAAAAAAAAAAAACATAGAGGAGCGAAATTTAAAAAATATACTAGTTTAAAGGTAAAATTAAAAATTTTCACCATTTTTAGGGCGTAAAGCTTAAAAAATTTTTTGGGTTAGGGGGTGGAGGCCAAAGCTAGCCTTCCCCTGTCTCCGCCATTAGTTGTTGAACATTGCAAATGGTGTCTTTTGTCTGAGTGATAAAGTTGAGTTGATGCTCTGTTTGATGTTCTTTCTCTCTATTTCTAATTATTGTAATTTATGTCCTTAATGGGTGTTTTTTCTTATTTTATTGGATCAAACTACCTTTTCATTGGTCAGAAAACTCTCTGATGTAGATTTATAATATGTCTCTTGAACAGAATTGCTTGAGACAGAATTAAACTTTTCTTAACAGTTGAGTTATTAATTCTAACACAGTTGTTATTAGGAATAAAGTTCAATATTTGGAGACGCTTATGTTTGGAAGGGGCAGTAAGCAAGCATCTTTCACATATAAGCCTCTGTTTTTTTAACCATAAATAATATCAAAAGCCAACTTATACACAAAAACTTAACTTTAATTAAAAATTCTAATGTCCAAAACTAAAATTCTACTAATAAACAAGAAACTGTCAGTTATTAGTAATGTCTTGTGTAATTAATTGGTTTATGTACTGGCATTTAGATGGAGGTTGGAGCAGTTGAAAATGGGCACGGTTGTTCGAAGCTTGGAACAGTAGCAGCAGAGCTAGAGGAAACAAAACAGAGCCTTGAAAAGGCTAAAGAAGAAAGCATAATGATGGCAAATTGTGTATCTTCTCTTAAAGAAGAACTTGAAAGAACAAAGCGAGAGCTCCAACAATTGAAGGTACGTGAAGCAGAAATGGAGTCTGAAATTGAGGATGTGAAGGTTGTCGAAGATTCATCAAAATTTGAAGTGAAAAACCAATTTAAAGAAGAAGATGAAGGAATTGAATTCCAAAAGAAAAGATATGTAACTTTTGCAAATCCTCCCTCTTTAACTCAAGTTATGATTCCACAAGGGCTTGAAGCACTTGAGAGACATCCTTCTCTTAGGAAGAAGAAGAAGAAACCATTAATCCCTCTAATTGGAGGGATTTTCTCTAAGAAAAAAGGCAGTCAAAAACTCACTTCCCTTTGAGCTAAGATACTTTTGCAAATTGAAACCATAACGTCTTCCCAGTTGTCAACAATAATAATATATGTTCCACAAATTTTTTCATTTTTCTTAATTTCTTCTTTCAGTTCTGTGTAATCATTCTAGCTAATTAAGTTAGCATGGAATGTTGAATTCTGGTATCATATGGTTGCTCTGTGACAAAACTATAGAGTAATAAAATGTATTTAAATCATTTTGTTTCGTTATTGCATATTTTTCAGTGTGATTCAGGTTTCTAGAATCCAAATTCTATATTCAGTTCAAAAAAATTAATAAAGGATAGGAAGCCCAAGATTTTGAGGCTTCACGGGTCCTTAGTGCAATGGCAATGGGCCAATTAGATTGCACTGATGCAGGCACGATAAAGCTCAATTAGGCCCTTTAAATGGCTGAATCAGGTAGGAAAATGTTGGTATTATCCTGTTAAATCCATGATAAGAAATTGATTAAAAATATATGAGCAAGATGGTTAATTTCAGACCTCATGATTGTATCACTACCTTAGTTTAGAGAAGAAAGTACAAGACACACTTATTATACGTGTTTTACACAATCATTATCGCAAGCCCTCCACTCTTAATCATATCTTCTCATTCTCATCATAATGTCTTTTTTTTTTTTCTTCTTCTTCCAATTTCAATCCTTATTATTTAATCTCTATACCCTTTTGCCTTCCACTTATATATTTTCTCTTATAGGTTGTTTTTTCTGTTGTTTTTTTTTTTTTTTTTTCTCTTTATAGGTTGTTTTTCTGTTGTTTTTTTTTTTTTTTTTTTTCTTTTCCATTGAAGTTGATGTTATAAATACATGAACAGTAAACAGCCAAGCTATAGATTTTCATGCTTTTTTGGACCACATCAAGCTTCCCCTAGCGAACTCTAAATGGTCCTCAACCGAATAAAAATCACATTGATTGCTTTGTTTTTAGAATTGTTTGCTTTCATCAAAACTTCAGCTTTTTAAGCTAACATCTTAATCAAAAAATTAATTCATATATGTTTTTCCTAATTATGAAGCAGATTTCTTTTGGACCAATTGTAAAATTTTTGGAGTTTCCTCAATTTCAATTATTCGTCTTCTATGGAGCCAAAAATATTATTTTTTAAAATAATTTATTATATTGGGGTTAAAATGGTATTCAATGAAAACTTCTCCTCAAGTAATATATAATTTTTAATTTTTTAATTGAAAATAAATTTATTTTAGACTTTCACTTCGCTTGATTATTAATTAAATTTTTCAAATCCAATGAATTATACTATAATTGAAAATTTTCCAAATATGTATTATCCTTTTGGCAAGTTTTTATTACTCGCCATTGGCTCCACTCCCATTCCACATATTAATAGTGCTAATTGATTAAAAATTCCTTATTATGAATGCAACGAGGTTCATCATTAGTCACTAACACAGTCTTTCTTTTTAACCAACTTTTAAAAAATGGATTAATTTATGAATCAACAAGCGACAAGATACTTCAGTCTGGAATAGATTGGTATCAATTATCAAAAAATAACATCGTTTTCAATCAACAATCAAACAGTTTTTCTTCTTCAAATTCCCGCCCCCCGCGCCCCCCCCCTCCCCCCCGCCCCCCGCCCACCTCCCCTCCCTCCGCCTCCTCCCCCCCCCCCGCCCCCCCCTCCCCCCGCCCCGCCGCTCCCTACCACTCCCCTCCCCTCGGTTCTCCTCCCCCCCCCCCCCGCTTCCCCCCCCCCCGCCCCGCCCCCCCAAAATGGAGAAAGTAAACTTAAACCAATCAACTATTCAACCTTTTAGGGTAAGGGTTTACCACATGAAGATTCCACTATGTTAAAAGCTTTGTTTGACTATTTTTTTGCATTTTTTCATGTAATTTTTTTTGGGTATAATATATATGGAACTTCCTTTAATTAATAGTCTTAAATTTCATAGATAAAATGAAGAAAAAAATCAAATTTTTTACACAGAATCTCGAAATGATAAGAATAAGGCAGTCAGAAGTGACAGTTGTATTTTTGGTCTAACCCGATTGGTTACTAAAAAAAGTAATTTTTATTAAAATATTTGAATTATAATATTTTACAAAAACACTAAATTGATACATCCTTTTAAATAATTATAAGCTTAATTAAATATTATACGTAAATTGGATTGAAATCGCTAAATCAAAAGGATCAATAAAAGAAAGAAAGAAGGATTGTAAACTTGGTAGCCCTATAAGATTAAACTGTTTAATACTTGTTATATAAAATTTCTCAATTAATGCAAAGATTATAATTAATTAAGCTGCTGGTGGATCCACTCCAATTTCATAGATAGAATTATAAATTGAGGAGTGACTTATTAAGGTTTCCTTAAAGCATTTTTTAGTAATTGAAGGGTAATCGAAAGAAACGCCTAACTAATACTAATAAATGAAAGAGGTTTAAGAGGAACAAGCAGAGACCAAACAAATGATATGGGCCACATGCATTGAAATCTGATTCCCTCTGGGCAATATTAATTATACCTTTGGGAGACAAGTTGGAGTGTTCCGAAATAGAAAAAAAAAAAAAAAAAAAAAAAAAAAAAAAAAAAAAAAAAAAAAAAAAAACCAGTCTTTTTATATCTCACCACCCAAAACGACATACATGATGCCTTTACACTTCCCGGTTGGCTATTTGGGCAAGCCAAGACAACAATCAGAATCACTATGCACACCCCTCAATCTCATTCTTCGTTGTACATAATAACACTTCCACTTCTAATCAACTCCCACACTTTTCTAGCGCTTCTGGGTTGTCTTCTTCCGATAGTTTTAAGCCTTCTCGCCAATGAAAATGCTTCCATGCTTTCCGTAAAATTCTTATGCGACTTTTGTTTTCTTTTCCTTCTCATCACCTATCATGGTTTCTTCTCAAAGCAAAGAAACTGTAGTGGAGAGATTGATCCTCACAAAGACTTGTGCAGTTCTTATTACTCGTCGCCTCATTCGCATTAGCAGTGAGGCCATTGCATGTAAGATTGCATTGCAGTTCTTGAATAAGTCTTCTCAGGAAGGAGTTTTAGATGGTGAAATCTGAATGTCTTGGTTTGAGACCATTGAATTGCGTTGCGTTCTTTGGTTTTTATTTTCAGACCATTTGATTTTAATGATTCTGAATTCTTTCAAGAGCAATTAATACGATGATGCGATACATATGATAATATATACATTTTGGTGCTGTTTGGGGTTTGCCATGTGTTTATCCACTTCTCTCCTCTCTTCTCCATTTTTTTGTTTGCGAACGAGGTTTGATGATTTTAATAAGTTTTGTAACATTACAGTCTCGATTTCAAGATCAAGATGTTTTCTTTCTTCCCTTCATTTTTTTTCTTTAAATTTTGATTTTTTATTATTATTAATAAGCTTCAGTTGTACCTCGAGTTGGGAGCATCGATCAAACCAACAAAAAAAAAAAAAAGGAATATATTCATGTTGAGATAATCAATAATCTTAAATAATTACTCCACTAATTTTGTTGATTAAATTTTGGGAGTTAAAATAACGAACTCTTTTGTTACTACATGATGTATGAAACACGGAAGCAATGAGACAAACTAATTTCCCCGGCAAAATGTAATTTCGAGGTCCAGAGAAATATTTTCCTACCAAAAACATAATGTCCAACGCAGTTTGTGTTTTTTCATGCCAGAGTCTCAAGGAAGCACGTGCAATGCAATTGCGCCACTAAGAGCTAGGTTACAATTACATTGCTTTCGAAAAATTTGTCTAATATCTCAATAGCTTAAAAATAAGTAATTCAGTACTCATCTATCTCTTCAAAAAAAAAAAAAAAAAAAAATTACTGATCTAAAATCCGATTGCCGGATTAAAACTAATTTAATAATATTTTTCAGTTGGTTTTGCTTTTTGGTTTTACTGGTTTATAAATTTATGTGTTATCCATAAGAAAATTGAAGTTACAAATTTTAAGATTTTGTAGAATTTAATGTTTAACCTAATGGGAGAAAACTAACATCAATAAATTTACCCAATGGAGTTAAATTATTATATGGGTTTTTTTTTTTTTTGAAAAAAATATTATTATTAATTATTATTGCAAGAATAGATCAGATTTTTTATTTTTTTGAACAAAAACGAAAGAAAGAATAAAAGTGAGAAGTTGGAGAAGTCCATGATCTTCGAGGGCTTTTGATTGGGCTACTGAGAGATAGCTCCAAGGCTTTCATCTGGTCCAGTCATAGAGCAATTTTTGAGTCCATAAATTGGTAAATTTTAATGGGGCCATTGACTTTGGTTCATGATAAGGAAACTTTATAATATGTAGAAATGGGACCATTGATTTGACTTTATATTTTATCCGCTTTTGTTTTATTAACTACCAATTTAATTATCGTGCAAACGCAAACTGTAATTCCGTTATTTGTATTTAAATTTAAAATTTTTATATTAATTATTTATTTTTTATTTATATTTATATTTATTTTTTACTTTTTTATGTTAATTATTTATTTATAAATTTATTTATTAATTATTTAGATTTTATTATATTCGTCAATTTATTTAAAATTCATTATATAACTGCATATATGTATAATCACAATATCAACCTAATAAAATACGTTATAAATTATATACTTAGTGTCAGATCCAATTCCGATGGGCCGGACCGGCACTAGGGCCAGGTAGAGCTTAAGGCCGAGGCCGCCGTAGTAAGCCTGAAACACAAAAAAAATTATTATCTTCTCAATATAATTAAACATCAGCCCATGTTTTGTAGGAAATAAAATCTCAGATTTTTTATAAATCTCGCCACAAATTTTTTAGCTACAACATTATAGTTTGGCCAATTAACAATACACCACATTTATATGAGCTCACATAAATATATTGTTATGTTAAATACACGATTAATTATATTAAACAAATTTAACACTGCGGAGTCACTAACTAATAGAAATGTAACATAGATTTTTATACATCTAGACACATAGCAAAATATTTTATTGGTCTAGGAAAATTTTCTTTATGAAGCTCCTGCGCGAAGGAAATGCTTAACCGAATTAGAAGAGAAAATCTTACTTCCTGAAAAATTTGGTAATAACAAGACATTGAGTTTTTCTTTAAGGAGTAATAATTAATTCGCAAACACGAAACGCAGTCACACAAAATATGTAAACATATCAATCTAGTCCATGTCCGACTAGTTATATGCTCACCGCCAGCCA